AMSRAGAWCTACACCCACGCCCTGGATCCAACAACCTGCCGTCGAGGGCCTCGAAATATACAGACATGGCCCAAATCTGAAACTAATCCTCAATCGTCCACGAAACGGCAACGCCTTGACAACACCCATGATATCCCAACTCACCCAAATCTTCGAAAACGCAGCTTCAGACAAAACCACCATAACCCGAATAGTCCTCTCAGCAAACGGGAAATTCTTCTGCACAGGAATGGACCTAAGTCGCTCCAACTCCCCAGTCGCTCAAAACCCCTCAGCCACAGATGCACAATACACGCGATTAACACGCCTCTTCGACGCCATAGACAAAGCCCCACAAGTCACACTCGCATGCATCCAAGGTCCAGCATTCGGCGGAGGGGTAGGGTTGGCTTTAGTCTGTGACATTCGCTTGATGGTCGCAGATGCAACTCTCAAACTCAGTGAAGTTCGACTCGGTCTGGCACCCGCTACGATTTCCAAATACGTGATTCGGGAACTCGGAATATCCTTTTCCCGCGAGATCATGCTCTCTGCACGACCAGTCTCCGCGCAAGAACTACTCCGTTTGGGAAAAATTGCAGAGATTGTTGCGACGCGAGAGGAGATGGTCTCTGCGWTCGACGAGTATCTGCGACGTCTGAGGGCGTGCGCTCCGCGTGCTTCGGCGTTGACTAAGAAACTCGTGAGGCTTGATTGGAAGCATGCAGGTGGTTTGGAGCAGACGGAGGGGATTAAGGCCATCTTCACGGATATCATGTCGCAGGAGGGGGAATCTGCGTATGGTCTCAAGGAATTTCAGCGTGGTGTTAAGGAAGTCGATTGGGATGCTTACAATGTCTCTTCCTCCTCCTCCAAGGCGCAGCCTAATAAACTCAAGGCGAGGCTGTAGACTACCTTATCATGCTTAGAATAATTGATACATGCGAGAAGCTTAGTGCATATCATTGAGAAGCCATTGTCATCCATGCCTTATTGTCACCGACCCCGAGTACCCATTCATGCAGGCATACCAGCGAGCTGAGAAAGAGCAGGGTTAGCAACAACAACAACAACAATGGAAACCATCAATAATATAATGCACAGGAGGAGGCACAGGGGAAGATTTCTTTTGTCAAAAACACACAGTCATTTCATCAAAGCTTTTCATTTGTTGTTACAGGAAGCAAAAAAAAAAAAATCCTCCCCCCCAGCCACTCTCAGGCTCCAAACCCCATCAGAAAAAAACCACCTTGAGGCGCCATGCCTGGCTGCATACCCCCCCATACAGAACTCCATCCTACTCATAGTCCACCATGAAGCACCATACCCGGCTGCATACCTCATGAGAAACTTCAGCCCAACCATGAGGATCAGTTCATCTCAGTATCAGGATCCTTCTCAGGAGCATCCTCATCCTTTCTGGGACGATAGATGAAATGAAATTTGACGGCACCATCAGCATCAGCATCCTCCGCTCGAGGACCGATGAGCTTTGCAGTCTTCGGTGATTGCCTCGCAGTGCATTGAATCGTCTTCGAGATATGCGTTGGCGCAAATATCGTGATGAAAGATGGTTTTCTTCGACACCACACTCCACTTGACAACAACCTCTTGTTCCTTCCATCCCTCAGCCATGACGCCCGAGCGGCATACACGGCATTCACACTGTTTGGACCTGGGCGCGAACAAGCGTTGGAGGACATGGGACAAGTCCATTTATTCTCGCGAATCGTGATGGGGAGCACAGTAGTACCCACATCACTATCCGTCACGACATCCATTCTATCCGTCGTGATGGAAGCGATGTGCCGCACTTCCACCGCTTGCAAATATTTCCTTTCACTGATCCATCTGCAGAGCCGGTCGATGGCGTAGTAGTATTGGGCATCTCCATGGAGGGCATGGTAGAGAGCCACATCATGCCCTTTGGTACTGTCGTAGAACACAGGCAGCATTCCCGTGCGAAGAGATATCTCAAAATGTGCTCGAACATGTCGCTGTCTGTCTCGATGAAGAAGGAGCCATCTTCTTGTTTCTCTCCCCAGACGCCGGAGAAGAGTTTGTCGAAGTATGTGCTGTGTCCGAGCCAATGCTCTGGGTTCGTGATGAAGGACTTGTTCGATGTCTTGAGGGTGACGTACATGATTGGATAATGCGTCTTTTGTTTTTCGGCCTGAGTGGAGATGGGTATGATTTTCGTGCTAGATGAATGTGGAATGTGCCGGGAGGACTTGAAGTCTTTATAGTCTGTGGGGGGGGGGTATTTTTTTTCCCACAGGCCACCTTGTTCTTTGGCCAAAAGCCCGTCCGGTACCTTTTCCCAGGAACCAAATTGGGGAAGATAAATTGCGTGTGCGATGACCAAGTATTAGTATTTTTTTTCTGCGTTGTTGTTGTACGTTCCGTGGCTCAGGGAAAATCTTCATCGCGATAAGTAAGGTATTCGGGAATGGATACTCCCACGCGGCGGGACGTATATCACATGGTCGAATACCAAAAAGACTTCCCGGCTGAAAGTTCGAGAGTGGGAAGTTGGAACTCCTTTAGGTGCTGCTGTCATGTTGTGTCTGGATCTCGCTTTGATGTTTGTTGGTACGGCTAGGAAGTATCAGCAGTAGGAGGTAGTGGTTCAATTTGTCGCTCACAAGGAAATAAGAAGGCCGCATGGGTGCTTTGCAGCTTTGATGCAGACAATGGAACCTCACCCGAAGCTGAGTGAGGAAGGCTGCCTGGCTCACAAAACAATATGAAGCAGACTACAAGTAAAGTGATGCATTGCGAGGTTTCATCTCGTTCACCATTCCGAAGCATGCAATCCTACAGCGTCGCTTCGGCCGCTCGTGTGTTGGGTGGAATCCCCGTACACCGAGAGAGTCGTCCGCTTTTTGTTTTATTCAGCAGCATAGAAGGTCCGTTACGTAGTCCATACACAATCAATATACAACAAATTGAGCAATTGCGTGTCGAGATCATGCGACGGTATGTTGGCTAATGAAGTAGCGGAGACCATCGATGGTGACGCTGTCAAGTACTGTGAGCTCGCATTGCGATGGTGAAGGTGAAGAGTAAAGTGAGGTGAGAGTGGATTGGGGAGGAAAGAAGATGATGCCTGTCCATCAACTCCGATATCGCTCCGCCGTGCGATAGAACTAGTACGCCTGCCTCATCCCAGACTTCATCTCGATTCCCTACTCCATCCATTACCTGTTGGTGGACAGTTCCCGCCATGATGATGATGATATTGATCCATCATGATGATATTAATACAGGTCCGACAGACATGTCTCAACAATACATTCATTCCACCCCGTTCGTGAGAGCGAGGTGACACATACATGTAGGTAGGCAGGCAGGCACGTCCAATCGACACAGCAACCACCACGTCTCAAAGACAGTCTACCATGGGATTTCCGAAATAAAGTATGAGTGAGTGGTGGAATCCCGTGCATTCGGACCATTCATTGGAAGGCTTGACTTGACCTTCATCCGCCAGCTTCATCTCCTTCGTTACTTTGCCATTTCCTTGGGTCTCTCCCACCACGCAATTTCCTTGAATTTCTGCAGGAAAGAAATCGCCACCACCGACCTTGGCTGCAAAATCCAACATCCCCATCTCCATCGCCGACATGCGGATCTGCGAGTTATATCTGCGCGGGCGCTGCAGTGAAGGCTCTACATGTCGCTACTCACACGATGACCCACGCCGACTGGTCATGTGCAAATACCATCAAAAACGGCGTCTGTCTACGCGGAAGCGACTGCGCTTTCTCCCACTCCATCAGCGACGTCCCGGCAGCAGCAGTGATTTTCCTCCCAGCAACCGAGTCGACAAGTATCATGCTAACCTCCACCAGACTCAAACTTTACCAAGAGCCCATCCTCCGCACCATGAGCGGCGCAGTGGTGCGATTCGGAGATGACGCTGCCGTTTCGAGAGTCTCCATGTCCTCAAACTTCTCTTCGGTACGCATCGATGGCATACTGGAGGTCCACGCGACGTCAAGCAAACTTCCCGCCATCCTCGAACATTGCGGCTATTACCTGCTGCCCTCCGAGACCCTCCGAGCTGTCAAGCTGCCAGGGAAGCATGTATGCCGACGTGTACATCACCAGCGATGATCCTACTTTCGCCCGCCGATTCTGCGCAACATTCAACACATCCCGCAGGCCGGAATTGCGAGCAGTCTGCGTGCCTCCCACGCTTCCACCCGGCACAATCARTCACACGGCATGTCAGCTGCAATCAGGTTGCCGTCGCTTGGCCTCGGCCGTCACGAGAAGTCCATGTCAACTTTGAGACATACAGGGGAGCGGATTCTGTGGGTGAAGCATTCAACCGAGGAGATTGCACCATTGATGGGAACTGCATTGAGGCGAGCCCACCCGCACCCTACGCAGGCAAATGGCAGATTCTCCTTCACAATGCGCCAGTTGACATCATCACTGCACCGCGGGTCTGGAGATCTATACCTCCCCTGCGAGGACCTCTCTTACATCCGGCTGGGTGCACAAATTGCGTCTCATGAGGAGGCGGCCGCCCCTGCTTTCATATCATCTCTTTTCAACGCTTACGGGACTGTGGAGCAGATGAGCGAGATGCGGATAAGGGGCAGATGGTGGACTGTCGTAATTAACTTTCGAGAACGAGCTCGATGCGCTCAGGGCAGTGGAAGGAGTGCGTGGTCAACCGCAGAAGTTCTTGACTGATGAGATGCTCCACGTTCGGCTAATCAATGAATCGAAGGTCAGGCTTCACGAGAAGATCTTCGACGCTCTCCGCGAGGAAATCCATGCCGCGGTGACAGCGAATTCTCGAGATCACAACTTGAAGGTCAACGTTTTCCCCGACACCAGTCCTGAGAATCGCTTCGTGACTGTCAGAATGCAGGGTGAAGATAAAGAGAAGCTCGCAAGTCTGACGGGGACTCTTGAGGCCATGCTCTCAGGCAGAGTCATGGAAGTCAGTAGCGACATCTTCGACACGCTCGCATGGAACAAAACGGCGGCACGGCAATTGGAAGAGATCCAGTCCGTCAATCAGGTAAGTTTGAGAAGGGATGGTAGTACTTTCAAAGGCGACTAATGGCTCCATGAGCGATGAGTTCGGAAGGATAATCACAGTCTCTACACCAGAGAGTCCTTGCAGGAGAGAACGCTAACGTCATCTTCGTAGGTATACATCCACAACAACAACAAGACCAGGAAAGAGCTAGTATTCTTCGGCCCGCCTGCCAAGTATGAGTCCGTACAGCAGGCTGTCGTTGATCTCACTGCTGCAAAGGGGAGATTTGCCTACCAACTGAGCCCGGACGAGTTCGATTGGCTGCTTTCAGGTGGCTTCAGTGAGATCGTCTCTGTCCTCGATGATATCGCACATATCAACAACGCATTACCGAGCCCTAAGAGTCTCGTCATCAATGGCACGGCGAAGCAATATCAACAGGCGAGGACGATTATGGAATCCTTGGGAGGAAACCTTGGCATGAACGACTTGACACTGAACTCATCAGTCCARGATGATGATCAAAATTGCAGCACCTGCTGGACCCCAGCTGAGAACCCCATCACCTTGGCGTGTGGTCATGTATACTGCGCCGAGTGCCTCACAGATCTCTGCCGCTCCTCCAGCTCCGACAACGCCGATTTCCTCATCACATGCAAAGGTGCAAACGACACTTGCAAGCGAGTAATGCCTCTCAACGAGCTACAAACTCACCTCCCTTCCCAAATTTTGGATGAAATTCTACGCCTCTCCTTCGATTCCTATATTTTCCCGTCGAGCGGATATCTACCACTTTTGTCCCACGCCGGACTGTGGGTACATTTACACGAATGGAGATGGAAATACCACCACCACAACAACAACAAATACTAAATGTGTGAATTGTATGAAAGTCACATGTACAACCTGTCATGCCCAGCACCCAGCCATGAGCTGTGGAGTATATCAATACGAAAAAGGTGGAAAAGACGAACCATTCAAACAATACAAACTGGAAAACGGAGGGAAAGATTGTCCAAAATGTACAGCACATATTGAAAAGGTAATTAAATCCGCCACCTCCTCAAAAAAACACCCCTGACCAAAATCCCCCCAACCAACCACTGATATTTTCTAGACAGAAGGTTGCAACCATATAACCTGCCCCCTCTGCAAAACCCACATTTGCTGGGTTTGTGGCGCATGTTTCGTCACGGGTGGAGAATGTTATGAGCATTTGAGTGATGCGCATGGGAGTTTTGGGGATTATTATATTCCCCCTTTTCAGAGGGGGGAATCTAGAGAGGGGGGATCGAGAGAGGGGGGATCGAGAGAGGGGGGAGGAGGAGGAGGGAGGAGGAATCGATGCTGCTGTACGGAGGTATATGCTGGGGGAACGAATGGAAGATTTTGATGCGCTGAGGCGGATGGGGGATTTTGCTGCTTTGGGGCGGATTTGAATTGATGGATGGATGGATGGGTGGATGATGGAGGGTTTGGTGGGTTGGGGGGTTAAGGGGGGAAGGGGAGGGGGTTGAGGGGATGCTATGCTATACGTATGATCGTATACGCTTTTTGGCGTAGGTAATGCTTTAATCACCATGCTTTCTTATCTTCGTCGTTAAGTTTTCTTTTCTTTCTTTTTTTTTTTTTTTGATCTTACTATACGTATAGTACAAATGTAGGTGGTTTTTTTAATGCTAGTAGAATAATAATAGCTACCTTACTTACGGTACCTACTCGCTTCTTATATCCCCTTTTCCCTCCTTCTCCTCACTTACAGAATATATTTACTTACTCGTTGAATTCATACTCCCAGAAAATCCCATCTTTAATACGTGCTTTACATTGCTTATTCCTAGAAGAAGAAAAAAAACCCTAGTAAAATCCAGTTGTATAAATACTTTACTTTACCTTTTTCTCCCATTCGGACTCCGCTTCCTACCTACCCCTAGTACAAGTCAAAAGGTTCCAGGCCTTTTCAAGCCGGAATCCGGGGAACAATCATTCTAGCAAGTAAAATGATCAATTATTTTCATTCACTTACTTGTTTTGTTCAAATTCATCATCTAATCCGTTCCAATCCAATCCAAGAGAAAATAAAAACGGAAGAACTGAATAAATACTTCATATAAAAAAAAAAAAGAAGAGCGATTACGCTACATATCACCAACAAATCTCATCATCATCAACATCATCATCATCAAACTAGATCAATCTTACAACCGACTCTCCATACCACTCCAGCCCCTCTGACCAGGCCACTCATCTCCAGGCCAAATATGCGGCAAAGCCTCCCAAATATGCCCCACAGTAACAATTTCCAACCCCTCCAACACCTCTCTAGGTAAATCCTTGATGTCCTTTTTATTCTGCGCGGGAATCAACACTTTGCGCACTCCAGCCGCCAGCGCCCCGATGAGTTTCGCCTGGATACCTCCGACGGGCATGACTTTGCCCCGTAGGGCGATTTCGCCCGTCATGGCGATGGTGGGCGGGACGCGCTTGCTGGAGAAGAGACTGATGAGGGCGACGGTGTGGGCGAGACCGGCTGAGGGGCCGTCTTTGGGGACGGCGCCTGAAGGGCAGTGGACGTGGATGCTGCGGCTCTTCATGATGTCCTCGCTGGGATCGTGGGTGATGGCGAGTTCGTAGGCGTGGCTTTTCACCCAGCTGAGGGCCACTTCGACGCTTTCTTTGAGAACGTCGCCGAGTTTGCCGGTGAGTTGTACGCGTCCCGAGCCGGGCATGTCKGCAATTTCAATGAAGAGGATGCTGCCTTGATTTCCCATGCTGTATGCGACGAGACCGGTGACGACGCCGGGTTGGGAGTCGCGGGCGGCAATCTCTTCTTCGTAGCGTTCAATCCCTAGCATTTCTTCCAAATCTTCCTCCGTCACAGTCGGAACGTATGCAGCGAGTGTGTTGGTATCCCTCGCCTCTGCGAATTGCACAGCCTTTGAGCGACAGACTGACCCAATCTCTCTCTCAAGATTACGAACACCTGATTCGCGGGTGTAGGATGTAATGACCTTGTCAATGACCTCATCCTTCATTTGGACATTCTCCGACTTCAGGCCGTTGGTTGTGATTTGCTTGGGAATTAAATGTCGAGTGGCAATGTGACGTTTCTCAAGTGTAGTGTAGCCTGATAATTGAATAGTCTCCATGCGGTCGAGTAGAGGAGCTGGGATGGTATCAAGACTGTTGGCGGTGGCGATGAAGAGGACTTTACTCAGATCGATTGGAATGTTGACATAGTGATCCACAAAAGTCGAGTTCTGCTCAGGATCCAAGACTTCAAGCATTGCGGCCGATGGATCTCCATGGATGGAAGCAGCTCCCACCTTGTCGATTTCGTCCAGCAGGAAGACGGGGTTTGAAACGCCGACCTTCTTCAATCCGTTGACGATTAAACCGGGCATTGCTGCAACATATGTCCGTCGATGACCTCGGATCTCTGCTTCATCTCGTACACCACCGAGGGAAATGCGGTGGAATTCCCGACCCAGCGCAGTTGCAACAGACTTGGCGAGGGAGGTCTTTCCCACACCAGGTGGACCGACAAGGAGGAGGATGGGTGACTTATCGACCATCTTCTTATGTTTGAGGAGGTTGATCTCTTCGGTCGATTGCTCGCGAGGTGGCTCGTCTTTGCGTGTTACTTGCGTGGTCGGTGCCACATCTTCCTCTCCCTTGATGACTGCCTTTTCCTCTGGCTGGGCGGCTTTGGCAATGGCCGAAATCTGCTTGTCTAGATCCATATTCACAGCCTGCTTGAGCTTGAGAACGGCGAGATATTCCAACAGCCTCTTCTTGACCTTCTCCAACCCGTAGTGGTCATCATTGAGTTGTGTCCGCGCTCGTGTCATTGTGGAAGAATCGAGATTGTCCTCGGTCATCTTCGACCATGGAATCTCGGCCAAGTTTTCGAGATAGTTACGGCAGACCTGATGCTCGGCTTGTGCTGGATTCATCTTGGCCAACCTCTTGAGCTCCCGATCGGCAACCTTCCTCGCCTCCACACTCAAGCCAGCATCGTCCAGCTTCTTCTTCAACTCTTCAATCTCGTYGACCTCATCATCCTGCTGTCCGCCACCCAAACCCGGTGGCATTCCATCGCCAGGTTTCTGACCATTGCCCAACTTTCGCAATCGGGGATCTTGGCGGAGCTTGTTGAGGGTGTCCAGGTCGATGACGGTAGTCTGAGGAGTGTTGTTTTGGGTGGTGACGGACAAAATCCGACTGTTGCCCTGGATGGAGGTGATTTGTCGTTGGAGGATCTCAGTAACTCGTACCAAACGCTCTTCCACCGGCAGGGCGGCCAAAATCCGCAGCTTGTCCTCGTGAGTGCAATCGATGATGTTGGTCATGAAATCGGCCAAGACACCGGCTTCTTGCAGGTCCTTGCGCACGATATACAACTCCAATCGACGGGCCAAAATGGGAGAGAGGGTGGTTTGTGGACCGCGGGGAAGTAGGGCAGAAAGACGTACGAGAGCGATAAGTTCCCGACTGAGCTGCTTGAGGTTGTTGAATAGGGAGGCCACTTGTTGGTTGTTCTCCGCGATGCGTTCCTCCTGATGCAGAAGGACCTGCGCCTCAAAATATCCTCTTTCGCGCGTGATTTTCTCAATCTTAAAGCGACTGACGCCCTCAACCACCAACATCAACTCGCCCGGTTTGCGACCCTGTACGCCGCTGACCCGGGCCATGGTTCCATATTGATAGAGATCCGCCTTGCTCGCATGTGCGGGATCGCGGGGGGTTGTGCTGCTGTTCGCCTTGTTCTCCGCCACGCCATCTCCAATCAACTGCTTGCCGTCGGGGCTGAGATACGGGCTGTTCAAGGGCACACAACCCACCGTCACGCTGGATCCCTCTGGACGGGGCGTGCTGGCTTTGCTGTAGATGTGGGCGAGGATGGCGGCGATGTCGGCGCGGTTCTGGAGCGGCACGCGGGTGGTGACGCCGGGGAGGAGGACGACCGAGTGCGGTAGGGGTACCAGTGGCAGCGTGCGAGACTGCGCCATGATGGGTGGATGGAGCGCAGGAAGATACAATACAATGGAGGAGGCGATATTAACGCGAGAACTGGTAGACCCGTGGGAGGCATTCACATGATGAAGCACGCCTTGTCCTTGTCATCATCATCATCTTGTCYCGAGGCACAGCGGTCTCGGGCAAGGGAGGCGGAAGCACCGAGAATCATCCATTTCCATACATGTCCATTGCTGTAACTTACGACCTGTACACCTTTTGATGTATCTTCACAATACCTTCGTTGCCACCCGGTCGCAGCAGAGCATATCACTGCAATCCTGAGGTATCCTTTGTACGAGCAGAGCTTCGTCTCCTCCTCTCGGCTTATTGAATCCTCCTACACATTTGACTCAAAGGAATACACGCAAGATAACAAACAAGACAAGCCGCAACCCATCATCCTTCCGAGAAGAAAGAAAGATTTATACCAGTGAGAAGAGTAGACGACATCTCATGTACTTCGACTCCATCTCATATCATCTCATCTCATCATCGAACTGCCGTCCCGCAACCCGAACCCTAAGGAGGCACCTAGCTCCATGTGAACTACCCCACACCGATTACGAACCTTATCGGACTCCCTTCTCTTCTATTGAAGGTTCCCGTCTCACCCAATACTGCCCGTAGGTAGAACACCCACGGACTACCTATAACAATAAGGTACTCCATCATGAATCTTCTTACATCTCACATCCACATCCATCTTTTCACACAGATCTCCCATTTCACCAACAAATTTCTTCCAGACTGATATCCCGAAAGCATAGCTTCATCACAACCACATTCCCAACCGTGTACTTCCCTTCCCTCCACTTAGCACGTAGCCCCGATCCCTCAAAGTCTCGCCATAGTACATAGAAGGAAGTAGTATAACATCCTCTAAGAAACATCTTATACATACATATATACATGAAAAGGGACTATCCAATGACGATACAATCCAATCCTCCAACCCGATATGCCGCGTTACCTTCCTTCACTTACCATCAAGGTGTCGGGTCCATCAAGGTGTGTGAAATCGATGGGCGATGAATCTATAGCATAGCAGTTCAAAAGGCAAGCGATCCTCCTTTTTCTTTCCTTCTCTCTCTGTCACTCACAGATTGAATTCGTTTGTCATTGTTCGTGCTTATCGTGTGCAAAGGGGGAGTTGGCGTCTCGTGGAGTTGACTAGTGTCTGGCCTAATGCCTGATCGCGAGAGCAGCAGACTTGCCTTGATAAAGCAAAACTAGCCAACTCCTCGAGAAGCCAACTCTCCCTTGGACACGTTAGCTGGAGAGCGGTATGACATGACCAGAAGGAAGGAGCTGGAGACTTTCTAGCGACAAATATCCCACGACGTCCGGATTTCCGAATCGCGAGGACAGAAGGATAAGGATGCAATTCCACACGACTCATTCAACAGCCGATCGAGTTTCCTTCTCTCCTAGTGTCCGGAGAAAAATAGCAGCCAACAACCAAATCAAGAAGAAAAGTATGCTCCGGATCTCCTTCTAAGAATGACGGACAAACGAGTGAACAAGACTGTATTCACATCGAACATCCGCAGGGCCGTGGGATCCAGATGTGCGAAGTGGGCAAAAGCATACTCCCATCCCTCCCTCTTTTTTCCCAGACAGGCATGCGTTCCGTACCGGTGGTTCACAAGGGCCTGGATCTGGATCCCAAGCTCGAGCTACCTTACCTGATGAATCCGTCTGTCTACATCGAGACCTTTGAGGGGCCGGCGCATCGTCTCCAAGTACGAAGTACATGCATCTGATGACTTGCAGCCAGCGATCGATCGCACACGTTCAAGCTGTGGATGGGCGTCCAAGCTCCATCCAGCTCCACGAGCGCTCGTCCGAGTGGCAAAGGATGGATCATGGGCGCAGCAACCCTTGCACTTTCTCACAATGCAATGCTCTCAAAAGTCTGTCATGGATCATTATTGGGCGATAGGTACAGGTTCGTCATACATACAACAGAGAGAGCTCTTTCCCCGCAGGCCCGAAAGAATCGATTGACGGAATGTGGGGTGGGGGCTTGCCGCTCCGGGATCCGAAAACTCCAATGCTCGAGCTTAAACCACTACGACCCTGCATTGCCAAAGCCACATTGGACACGTGTGTCAGTGTGTATGTACGTCTTCGCAAGCCTCCTCAAGTCCAGACCCGCAGCGGCGTTTCGAGCAAGTTCGTCTGGCAAACGATCCGCCGCTGGGGGCAGTTCTGACAGCCATGAGAAAGCTAAGTCGAGCTTAGCGCTTGGGCGACAGGGACTGGTACATGCGGGATAAGGTACTGGGGTATGCAGTCCAAAGATTGGATCCATATCCCCGCCTGGACTTTCTCCCACATCTGCGACAGCGGACAGATGATGAGTGGTTGGGATCTCACATTGACCTTTTGTCCGACGAGAGCATTGCTTCTGCCCCTCCTTTCGATCGAGAGACATCATCTAGATGGTGTGGGGTCGAGAGAGTTTTCCAATGCATGGGAATGGATAAGTAGGAGCCTGGTTCCTCTGTCATTTCTGTTTTCATCACTTTTGTGTTCTATTCCAGTCAGACATACCCACGCACCCYCACACAGCCATCCAATATAATCGAACATCGCCATGTCAATCCCAACCGAGCAGTGGGCGCAGGTCGTCGAGAAGACCGGAGGACCAGTCGTATACAAGAAGATTCCCGTCCAGAAGCCGGGTCCAGGTGAGTAGGATGGACACAGCCAAGCACATCCCGCCAGCTGACAACCAGCTCCAAAGATGAGGTGCTCGTAAACATCAAGTTCAGCGGTGTCTGCCACACCGACTTGCACGCCGTCAACGGTGACTGGCCACTCCCAACCAAGCTTCCACTCGTCGGAGGCCACGAGGGTGCTGGTATTGTGGTCGCCAAGGGTGATTTGGTACAGGACATTGAGATTGGTGACCACGCTGGTGTCAAGTGGATCAACGGTTCTTGCTTGTCTTGCGACTTTTGCCAGCAGTCCGATGAACCTCTTTGCTCCAAGGCACTCCTGTCCGGATACACCGTCGACGGCTCCTTCCAGCAGTACTGTATCGCCAAGGGTGCGCACGTTGCTCGCATTCCCAAAGAGWGCCCCTTGGATGCCATTTCGCCCATCCTTTGTGCCGGAATCACCGTTTACAAGGGCCTCAAGGAATCCGGCGCCAAGCCAGGACAGACCGTCGCCATTGTAGGTGCCGGAGGTGGACTTGGTTCTCTCGCACAACAATACGCACGCGCCATGGGTCTTCGCACTATCGCCATTGACAGCGGCGAGGACAAGAAGAAGATGTGCCTGGAGCAGCTCGGTTCATACGCCTTTGTCGACTTTGCCACCAGCCAGAACCTGGTCAAGGATGTGCAGGCAGCGACTGACGATGGTCTCGGACCACACGCCGTCATCCTGGTCGCCGTCAACGAGAAGCCATTCCAGCAGGCCGCCGAGGTGAGTCCAAAAATATCCAATCAACAACACTTCACAAGCTAACACAACGACAGTACGTGCGCCCACGCGGAACCGTCGTCTGCATCGGTCTGCCAGCTGGTGCCTACCTGAGAGCGCCAGTGTTTGAGTCGGTCATCAAGATGGTCACCATCAAGGGCTCGTATGTTGGCAACCGCAAGGACAGCTCCGAGGCCATTGAATTCTACCGCCGTGGATTGATCAAGGCACCGTTCAAGACTGTTGGTCTTTCTGAGCTCCAGAGCGTGTACGACTTGATGCACAAGGGTGCCATTGCCGGTCGCTATGTTGTCGACACGGAGCGATGAAGAGGCAAATAAAAGCAAACCTTGTACATAGTCGTCAATAACGTGTAACCAATGGAAAGAATTCATGTAACCAATGGAAAAGAAATTCAAGCTTTCATTCAAGCAACTGATTGCTGTGATGCTGGTAAAAGATGTGCAGGTAAGATCGGAAGGACGATAAGTATGGCACATGTCAGTCGGGTGGGAAGAAATTGCAAAGACCGTACCTACCTATGTCGATTTTACCCGATCTCGCATCCGGATCGCTCCGAGGTCGGCAGTCAGTTGGTTTCATGGGGGCCAAGTGTTTCACATTGGTTCGCTCAGAGCAGCAGACTGCAGGCCTTGCTTGGCGTACAACCTCACACGACCGAGCCCCTCGTCTCCCTTTGTGGTCGACACACGCGGCCTGTGGAGTTTCATCATGAAATTCAGCAATGGCGGCTCTCACATCCCGTCCACCTGTTTCGCGCAATGTGTGTCTCGGTGGAGGCCGGCCGCGTCGCAATTGTTTTGGTGACGACCTCATTTGTGCTCATTCGCTGCAAGATGCGACACTGCGTTGCTGCAGATAGATGGGACGCGATGGAATGGGATTCCATCGCTGATGTACCTCCCTTCTGGCATCATGACGACCGGGCGCTCGTTCTTGTGCGTCGTCGGTCAGGTGGGTAGGTAGGTAAGGCAGGTAAGGCAGGTATCCTTTGCAAAGAGAGTACATGTATGCACACTCTTCCCGCGATTGTTCTATCATCCGTCTTTCTCGTGCAACTCCTCCGTTACTCAGTTGTGGATGGCTATTTGATGTTCCATCCTTGAACGCAAACACTCTCTTTTCTGGACCTAAGCTCAATCAATATACATCGCATCTGTCGACGGGATCACCTCCCATATCATCCTCTCTCTCTCCCTAAATTACCTAGTACATACAACCCGTCCTTCGTTTAGGAAAATGAATTACTTGGCACTCATCGCTGCACTGGCGGCGATATCACTCGCTGCACCACATCCTCATCCACCACCTTCTCTCCGGAAGAGAAGCTTCCAAGTCGAATCCCATGGCCGCCGTCCTTCCCCACTCCAGGAAGTCGCACGCACGCACCGCAAGTTCGGATGGGACCCCATCGTCGCCGATGACCATGAGCCCGACCCGATGATTGTCCCCAACAATCCCGACTCGGTCATCATCCCCGGCACTGTTGTGGTGGTGACGCTCTCGGCCACCGCTCTTTCCCTACCTACTGGATATGGTAGCCCCCCTGTGCAGGATAACTCCTCCGTGAGCGGCACTTCAAGTGGAGCTAGCACCACCCCCACCCCCACCYCCAATCCAGGAAGCGAAGATGGGGAAGTCACCGCCACGCCCGAGGAAAATGAGTCGGAATACCTGTCGCCCGTCCTCGTCGGTGGTCAGGAGCTCAATCTAAACTTCGACACGGGCTCCGCCGATCTGTAAGTCTGCCCAGAAATATCCCGCAGCAAACACATACTAACTAACCCCATCGCAGCTGGGTCTTTAGCACATCTCTTTCCCGCGCAGACGTCAAGGGACATGCTGCCTTTAGTCCCAACAAAAGCTCCACATGGTCCGAGTACGAGGATGGTACCTGGAGCATCACTTATGGTGATCAAAGCTATGCAAGTGGCACCGTCGGGTTCGACACCGTCGACGTGGGCGGCGCAACCGTGAAGAATCAGTGCGTGGAAATTGCCACCGACGTCTCTCCGCAGTTTGTGGAGGACGAGAATAGTGATGGCTTGCTGGGACTGGCATTCTCAACCATCTCGACTGTACAGCCTGAGTAAGTATCCCTCGACATACACCTCCAACCCCGAAACTAATACCAGCATTCTCCCAGACCACAAAAGACTTTCTTCGAAAATGTAAGGGACGACCTTACTCTTCCCGTGTTTACCTCAGCTCTCGAGGAAAGCGATGGCAAAGCGACCTACGAATTCGGCAAAATTGACAGCGACAAGCACCGCGGCAAGATCTACTACACTCCAGTCGACAATTCCGCCGGCTGGTGGCAATTCAACAGTCCCAGCTACGCCGTCGACGGAGTTTCCACTCCTTGTCCCGACTGCAGCCCCGTCATCGCCGACACGGGTACTTCCCTCATCTACATGGACTCCGGTACGTTCAACCTTTCCCTCCTCCTACTCTAAATTCTCAACCACTGATGATAACTCCGTTCCAGAAATCGTAGCAGCCTATTACGAATCCATCCGCAGCGCGCAAAATTCTCGCTATGGATATGCCTTTCTCTGCGAAGAAAAGCTTCCGAGTTTGAGTATTGCTATTGGAGATGCATATGTAGCTACCATCAACGGAAGTGATATGACTTATGCTTCCCTGGATGACGGCAGCGGGTATTGTCTCGGGGGTTTACAGCCAGGACCAGGACGCTTTCAAATTCTCGGCGGGGTTTTCCTTAAGCAGTTTTTTGCTGTTTTTGATGGAGGGGAGGAGTTGCGTTTTGGGGTGGCGCTGAAGAATTGAATTGAATTGAACTCCTGGTGGCTTCATGGAGATTCAAGCTGCAGATTTTTTGTGGGAGGAGAAATTTAACGAGAGACGATCGATCACTGACACTCACGCCAGGAAGCGTGCTTTTTTGTTGTATGAAGTAGATGAATTTTTTTTTTTTTGATGTCCTTTTCACTTTCTCAACGTCACTTCCACGGGATTTAACTTGCAATGACAGTATCAGTCATTTTAATCATTGGAGTCGGGTTTAGTAGGCCGTGGAATATCGGATGAATCGTGGTGTTGCGGTCCTAATTGTCGCTTTGGTCTAAAGTATATAAGATCTCCTCATTTTCCCCTTTTTCCATTATCGTCGTTCATGGTAGAGTATAGCTCTCGAAATCTCTTATCTGTTGCGCTCTTGCGATAGGGGTGTGTACATGAGATACTATGCATAGAGGAATAGTTGATCGATTCGTAGGTCGTCGTTGCATAGCTGCGATAGATAGATTYTAAGGTCTATCTACATCTCGCAATACCCTGTTCTATTCCCCCATCAGTAATTAGATATTATTCTTCTTTTCATTGTTGCTTGGATAAGAAAGAGAGGGGAGGAAAGGTACTCACGAAATCCACAAACATGCGAACAACAAATGTAATATACTTTGCAGGGTGTTCCGAGAGGTAGGCAGCCCTGTTGTACGGTATGATGTCGTTAGTCTTCTCGATGGAGTATATACAGAGAGGGAGGAGGAGGATGATGGGGAGGATGATGTGGATGGAAGAGGATGGTGAGTGATACGTACCCATTGCTCACTGGGGAATGGAGAGGGAATCGCTGATGCTTGGACGAGGAAGTTGGTTTGAGGGAGGATGGTGAGGAGGAGGGTTGTGAGGAGGGCTAGAGGTTGCATTTTTTGTGGGAGGTTGTGTGGTGTAGTGTGGTGTAGTGTGGTGTGGTTTTTGATGTGGAGATTGGTTCGGAGTTGGTTTCGATTTGGAGTTGGTTTGGAGTTGGTTTGGAGTTGGTTTGGAGATCGAAGATTGGTGTTTGGTGCGTTGTGTATGTATGTGAGAAGTTGATCGTGTTCTGATTTCCTACATTTCTGGATTTTCCTGCCGAAAGTGCCGGCATTGATGACTTTTGAATGGACCGGGTGGTAGCGGGACTTCTGTATACTCGTGGTCATGGGACAGATTTTTTGGTTGATTAATTTGGTTGGCCAATTAGAGTTGATTAGTACGAGCATTATGGCCAGCTATACAGGATTGTGGAAAAACAAGCTTTGAAAATCAGCTCTCTTTCTTGGGCGAGGGGATGGGATACGAGCACGGTCCAGTGGTACTGCATTTCTAGTATCTAGTACTCTAGAGTTCAACTCCCGGGTTTCGAGGCTTAAGCAGGGATTACTACTGCTTTCTTGTTGGATATGATTGATGTCGAGATGGTGTCTGTAGAGTCCACTTAGCTATGCGGTCATTCAAGTTATGCTGTTTATTCTTTGTGTGTTGTGTCCTGGACGTCGGCAGCTCTGTTGCGTGAATTGGCAGGCTGGGCTGCACGTGGGCTTGATGAATCATGCGGTCATCTGACTTGAATGGAGGTCACTTTTTGGGGCATTCAYGTGGTTATGAAACGCCAAGTAAGATGCATTACCTTGTGAAAGTCTGTATGGAGTCGAATTTTTGCATGTGAATCTGTGATTGTCTTGGCGTGAGGCATAGCACTACGCGTTATGTCAAATGTGTGGACACAAATACACTGCTTAGTTTTAGCGTTATACAATAACATACCACCGTCAAAAAGTCTTGTACGTTGAAAATACAACATCAAGTCTATGGACGATGATACCCTTGCAAAGCAAAGAACAAGTCCAGCACGGTATATACGATGTCTCTCTTGACACTCGCCTCTCCACCCCATGGCATCTCTATCTTTTCCATCAGCTGAATTCCAGCGTGCAAATTCACCGCGGTCGTGACCTTTCGACCCGTGATTTCCCACCACAGCATGACCGAAGCAAACTCTGCMAACAGCGACGTACACCTTTCTCAAACTTGCACCGCCACTACATCTACTTACCGCACCATTCAATCGCACAATCAACGCTTATTGATCTCTCGAAGATATCCAACGAATTTTGAAACACTCGCAGCACCGTTTTTGTACTCAAGCACTTCTTACACATTTTACCCCTTTGATCATGGCGAATCCTTTCGCCGCGGATGAAAGGACCAAGGATGTAGATTGGGATAGGTAAGAGCATCGAGCTGTTCAACCTGAGAATAAGGAAACTAACATGCATTCCAGTTTCCTCGACATGGGCATGTTGGAGGAGATATCGCACCCGGGGACAGCAGAGACCACAAACGCTTCGGAATCGAACCTCATGCTCTCGGAGGATTCAAACGAACTACAGTTCCCCATGGAGGATATACGAATGGATACTTCAGATTGTACAATAGCTTCAAGCAGTATCAAACAGGCAGACTATACTGGACAAGAAACTGAAACAGGAGATGCAGAAGATCAGTGTTGGTCACAAATCCCAACGGCAACTCAGCCAGGCGCGCTTATGTATGCTCCCAATCCTCCTCCTCCATCGCGGTATTTCCCATCCATCGATACTCATACATCTCCTCATTTGGGACAGATACAAACAATCGATTCAATATCCAATGATTCAAGATCTCTTGTGAATTCAGAGCCTGGATATCCAAATCTCATGCCGATGGATACAGAGATGTACTTGACAGGAGATTGGAATGTTGGAGACATGCAGCAGCCTCCTTTGGGATCTTTCGTGCAGCCGACGCCAGCACATGTTGGGGATTCGTATTCGCCGCTGGTACCTCCTTATCTCTTTGATCCCGCTGTTATGGGTCAATCACGTTCTGAGCAAATCGATCATACTCTCCTGAGTCAGGGAGTCGTTAATCAACACCCTCAATCCCACTATGAGAGAGCTCTCGCTCTTGAGGTGCCACATCTGGACCTTCATCTCCAAAACGCTCTATTCACTTTCGACCACAATGATGGCAGTCAGAGTCGGAGTTCTCAATATCAGCACATCGACCAGACATTCCCATTACCTCCTCCCAACTCACCAAACACGACTTTCCTCCAAGAGATCCCTTTCTCCCCACTACCTCTTCCCAATTCACCTAATACAACCTTCCATCAAAAGATCCCCTTCTCCCCACCACCACCTCAATCATCGCCCCCAACCTCCCCCCYCACCAAATCCAAAAGCCGCGCTCGCTCCCTCTCCTTCACACCCCAACCAAACATCCAAGGACCCTGCCTCACATGCGGTCGAAACTACCGCACCTCCACCTCACCAGGTCGATGTGCTCGCTGTGGTCTCAAATGGGAACGACACACCGCGGGTCCACCAACCTACACTTTGGATCCCACAGTCCCATCCCTAGAAGCCGCTCGACAATTACTATATCCCATATCCAGAGGACGACAACGTCCAGACGATGATGTACATTCTGTAATTTCCGTGCCTGGGAGTCAGGATTTTTGGGTGCGGAAATGGATGGATGATATTAGTACTCCTGTTACGAATCCCGCCGAGGAAGAAGCCGGAGCGAAAGCGAGCTGGGCGATGAATCAACAGACGACTTTTAATCAGAAAGCTAAGATGGATCGGGAAGGGGAATTTTCGCCTGCTTTTGTTACTGCGAGGATGCGGGCGCTTTGGTGGGAAGTGGTGGTTTTTCATGGAGGGGGGATTTCCTTGTATCCTGTTGGGGGGGATAGTATGGGGTATCCTGAGGATTTGGAGTTGAGGTTTGGGGAGAGGTTGGAGGCTATTGGGGATGTTATGAGGGTGGATAAGAGGACTGTTATGGATGTTGTTGAGGGGAGGGGAGTTGGTGCTTTTGTGGGGAATCCTTGGGTTAGTATTTCATTGTTGTACTACTTTTCCTTTGGTTTGCTCATGGGGATATATTTGCTGACGTGAAGATATGTGACAGGGCTTTCATAAGCGGAAGGATTCGAATAATGGGTGTAATGTGAAGAAGAAGGATGTTCTGAAGAGAGTTCTAGGGGATGCAAGAACTGCTGGGAGAAGAAATAGAGGGAGGAAGAAGGCAAGTAGAGGTTCTTCGGTTGGAGTGGCAGATGATGGTGAGGGAAGTCGAAGGGAGGAGGATGATGATGAAGATTTTGATCCTGATGGAAGACCTGTCGAGATGATGGAATAGAGCTCATTATGAGCTGACCAGTATCGAATTATACAGCGTGTGATTTGCGCAGATCGATGGTTGTTGCGGGCGAGTGGTTCTTGTGGAGCTATACAGCGTCGTAGCAGTTTCTCCGAGCGATCAATATAAGAAATCATTCAACAAGATCAAATTCAAATTCAATCCCGTCGTTCGTTTCTCCTCCTTCTCAAAAGAATAAAGTTGTGATTTCTGAAATATTTGACTACTCCTTAACTCGAAGCCAAAGCAAAGGCTCGCCATTCACGCTTCCAATCCCMATTTCCAGGCCAAATCCTTTTGAAAACATCTTCTAAATCCCAAGGAAGCCTATTTTCTTCCTCTTCCAGATCACCATCATCCCACTCATTCCTGACCACGACTTCCTCACTCTTCTTCCGCCGGGTCTCGATCTTCAAATCTCCAGAGCATCTCTCCACGATCCATTCCTGGCTGATTTCTTCCACCACTTCCTCAATAGACATATCCAAAACCCCATCACCAAAATCTCCACCACCTTGCGCGGAGAGACAAAGTCGAGTGAGTCGCGAAGATGAGTCTTCTGAAGAGCTTGCTATGGCGAAAACTTCTCGAGCGAGCTCAGCATCCACGGCTGAATTGATCAGAGCATTCCGGATGTGTCCGTTGCAAAGCCCGTCTTCCGTTCCGAATGGTGCTCTGAAAGGTTCTGCGTCTGGGCCTGAGAAGTTGTTGTTATGAATTTCTGCCCCTTGAGTATTGTGGATTGCGATGTAGTCTGATGCATCGAATGTTAAATCCAGGGAGTCTAAATGTGGAAATGTGCCCAGTGTCTGGAGTATGGAAATTGTTTCGGTGGAGTCCTCCCAGTTTCGAGAGATTGTTACGCTGAGATCTCTCACGTGTTTACAGGTTGACTGTAGATGACTTATGCTGTASTTGGAGGAAAAGGTGAAGCGGTTTGATGCTGTGCCAGAGGGGATCAGACGCAAGGTATGGAGTTTCGGGCCGTGGTGGGAGATAATGGTAAGGAGATTCGATGCATCGAGTCCACCTGTGAGTCTCATGGCGTAAAGTAGAGGGAGACTACAGATGAAGTCGGATACTGCTGTGTTGTATCGTTCAGAGTCCGCGTTGGAAGTGAAAGAGGATTCCAAGACGAGTGTGAGAGAGCGTAGGTCTCGAAAACTAAATGTCGATAGAATATCCAGGATGGGTTGTGAGAGGATCGTTTCGTATGACAGTGTACGAAGATACATAAAGTCTGTACATCGTGCCCAGCGTTGTAGGCTTCCAGTCAGGGTACCGGGTCCAAGTCCAGCTAGTTGAAGCACTTGCAGACGGCCAGGTGGGGTTTCAGAAGATTCTTCTTGTCCCCAGAATATTTTCTCGCCAGAGGCATATGGACTTGCACCAGTGGACGACCAGAACATACGTACTTCTTCCAAGTTGCTTCCTGACGCCAGGATATTCTGGACCAGTTCCTGCGCAGAGGTGTCATCATTGTGCCGGAACCAGAGTGTTCGAAGATTTGGCAGGGAGAGTAGCGAGCGTGCGTAAGATTGCTCCATGCCATATGCAATCCCAAAAGCCTTCAAATGTAATTGGCAGTAAGGCAACTCATCGCGTAGGAGATGGACCACTGCGGGTGCAGGTGGTATGGCGATTTGCCAATCCAGATGGGACAATGATGGAAGCCGACGGAGGAATACCAGAATATTTTGCGCTTCGGTATCGGTATGCGGTGGTTTCAGACTAGATTTGCCAATCGAAGATCGCAGACTGGCGTCTCCAGTGCTGTTGGGATCGTCGTCGGTGTCCAATTTTGGGGATGAGGACGACGTGACGCATCGAGGAACTCGCCATGACTGCGTGCGATCGAATAAAACTGTGAAATTCTGAATCGAGGCCTCAAAGTTTGAGTAATCGATCACCACAGTCCTGTATAGTACTCCAGAACCGACTTTGTGTAGATAGCGACAGCTGCGGACTACACATAGCAAGCTGCTGGAATCCGTATGCTCGCATATACGGGTCAATACCTCGGGTGGGAGCTGATTCAGCATGATGAAGAGGATGTGCAAAGAGGAGAGAGGTACAGAAGAAAATGAGGGAGGACTTGCAGTAGCTTTATAAGGTATCTGTATTCACGATGATACGCTAAGCCCGATGCGGACCTCCACCGCCATGCCATGTACGAAATAGGGAATATTTGCTGTGGCGCTGCGGCGAGTGCAACGTTGCGCGATATCAGTGGCTTAAGCGGCCGTCATTAATTCGCTCCTTGTAGTCCCTGCGGTTGGTATCTGGGGCGGCTGGTATGGCTACCATTTACATGTCTTTCAAATCTACAGTCCCATTCTCACTGATGGACAGAGACTTATTTTACGAATGGATGAGCCTAGGTAGACCGACCATCGTTGGATATTGGTAGAGCCCAGAAATGTCCATACGTGCGCTGTCGTTAGTGAATGCRTATACACCGCCCACGGACCGATAGCTAACTTAGCTCTCTCGAAAACTTCATCGAAGAGYACGCATCTCAACCAACCARGCATACCTTGTGCTCTCTTGGCAGAGACCGACTCACAAATCTCAATACAATGTAGAGTATTGAAGTTCAGGTCAAGAAGCGCCCGTTTACCTTCTCCTACCAGCCGGCAAAAACTTGTCCTCGTAGAACAACCGCCAATTGCCATCACCATCGTATCTACAGACCTGATTAGCACGCTACTTTTCCGATCAAGGAGATGAGGTCGACTTACTCAAATAGTGCATGACCTTTGGCAGCTTGAGGGTTAGTGTACTCTGCCCAATCAGACTCATGGCCGAGCATTTCCACTTCACGTCCTTGGTCGTCGATTTTATACTGTAAGCGTTGATAGCCTACAATCGTGACTCGCAGGCCCCTCACACGTTTGAGCTCATCCACCAAAAGATTAATTTTCTTTGCGTATTCGTATTTTTTGCTGTTTGGCCCGACGCCCATCTCTAGGGGTGTCATGATGAAGGCCTGTGCGTTGTCTCCTCTCTGATTGAACATGTCTGGATTGCTGTTTATACAATTTGGTTAGCGCTCGTTATCGGCTCGCTGGTCCCCGCTAGCAGCGTCGATTTCCCTTACAAAACGTCACCATTGGGCTTGATGTATTTATGGTTTCTGGCAGTTCTATCCGAGGGACTTTGAGCTTCGGGAGGATTGTAAGGGTTCGGGACTGGAGTAAGTGTGAGAGCTTTGATAACTCTTTCTTCGTATTGCCGCTTGCTGTTGGCGTCGTCGATGTCGTCGTCGCCGTGCGTAGAGTATGTCTCCCAGAAGTGTGCCTTGACATGATTCTCAGCATCGTTCATCTCACCGTCAACAAGCGTTTACATACCATGTACACTGCTCTTTTGGACACCACAGTCAACATTGTACATCCGTGAAGGCCCTTGGTGCCATAGGTGAATGGCGTATTCCCAAACTCCGTCATGTAAGAGACTGCAGCAACGGTGTCATCAAAAAACCCATCAGGACCCTTGCTCACTTCCTCTATGACGTGGGCGGCGGCTTCAGCGTTGTTGGTGATCTGGTTCTCGAACGCTCTCTTATCCAGGCCCACTCGTGCGAAGTTTGCCGTGATATCAGACGCATTGAAGAAGTAGTCAGGGACAGATCTTACAGCGATGGGACAAGACGAGCCACTACATCCTCCGCCAACGTCGCAGCGATTTATACACTGAAGTCCAGACTCGAATGGATCAACGTCTGATTGACGCCCGTACAGGAAGCTGTGTGGGAATGGAGACAATCCAGGTGAGCGTCAGAAATACGTCTGCATGAGAATGCTTCGATCCTACTCACTGCTCTGAATTGGACAAGCCGGTCAAGGCCAGGAAGTAGGCCAAGAGTAAAGGTAGAAGCATTCGGGCCATGACAGCCCTGGCTGCAAGTTATCGTACGGGTAGCCATAGTACGATGATGGGTAGAGTGCTTGATATAGCTTCGATCCTGTCGCTCCACGTTGGTGCTCAACGGCCAAGAATTCCTTTAATGTCCTTCGCTTGGCACATCGTAATCCGACTTACACACCGGTGAAGCTGGGATGTCGAGAGATTCAGCCGCATATTGGATTGGCCATCGTAATGGCTGCAAATATTGCAGCCGACCTTGGCATGAGGCACTGCTGATAGACTATTTCAAGAGGGCTTGCATTTTTATGGGTCGGCCACCCTTCCTGGGTAAAGAGCCGGGTAAAGTCGCAGTGGCAAAGAGGCCGCTTCGAAGCGCGGCCAGACAATTAGAAGGATCGGCAGTGGGCAAACATACTCACGTCCTAGTGATTGCCGTATGTGGACTCAATTCCGGTATGCCCGTTCCCTCGCGCAAGGCTCATGCGATCAGATGGCATTGACATTCTCGGACTTGCTCCGTTTCGGATTACTCGCGACTACTTTGACGTAGCTGAAAGAAGATGAAGCGTCAAGTGGCTAGTGGCTCGCACTATCATTCCAGCTTTTGGCGTGTTGTGGATGCTTGATGTGGTAAAGTGTAGAAAAATGGGGCTCCACAAAGATACCAGGGCTTAGTAGCTCAGCTGAATGAATCCTTCCGGAGTTGTTACCGTCAAGGGTTCTTGAGCTACGCCAAATAGATCCCTGTTATTCATTCCTTCAAGTTCTGCATGCGGAAAGTTCTCACAAAGCTCTCTCGGTAGTCCAATTTAGTGGCTCGGCGGAATCCTTCAGGATCTGTTGGCGTCGTTGGATGTGGGAGCTCCATCCACACTTCGAGCTTCATACCCAGTCTACAGGGTTCATATTGCCCCGTCCAGCTGAACTCTATTTCACGGCATGGCCGAAGGATCATCGACTTTTGTCGAGTTCCAACGTGCCAAGACCAGGGATGTTAAGACATCTTTCAGCTTTTGTCGATCCTCCTGGGCCTTGTTGCCGTTACTGGAATCGATGAGAAGCAACATATACTGTGCTCAGTACCCGACGACACGATGACAGAGGCATTCGTTTGAACGATCTCCTCCAAGATGCTGTTGCCTTCGTGTCTGTTTCTCCTCTTCAACATCTTGTCAATCAACCCCAGCACTGCCTCTCCCGTCACATACGCTGATACAGCCTGTCCCRTCCCCTGCGATGGAATTCGATCGGGAAGCTGGACCTCCTTCCATCAACTGCATGATCTCGAAGCGTGTGCCGGCACCGTCTTGTTTGAGACCAACCTGTACAACGCCATCGACGACCCTGAGACGCAAATTTTCTTTCGAGCATGTACGGCCTCTGGAGTCTCAGCGCCGAAAGGCGACAGCCAGGGACGCATTGCGAAGAAAGCCAAGCGGCAGTATCTGTCCTTCAACACGACCGCTCCTCACTCAGCTGAGGTTCAGCTTTTAGCCCCGGCAGACGGAGCGGCGGCGGCCGTGGCCGTCCCCGCGGAGGACGTCCAATCGGCTCTCACGGCCCTTGGCAGCCACATGCAGGACCTCCCAGACGACGAACAATCTTCGACTTCTCCCGTCAGCCTTTTTGCCAAACATGGCGGCGCTATTGCTGGAACATACGTCGGCACTCAGGTGCAGAAAGACAGTGCGGCTGCAGCGATTGCAGCTTTCGCTGAGCATCTTTCAAGATCGGCCTCCAACATAGGAGCTGCTCAGGCCTGTGGATCCCCTGGCCGCAAGGAAACATCCTCATCGCAAGTCTTTGGAGTCGTCGCTGGTTACCAAGTTCCTACCGTTCAGGATTTCCTCCGAGACTGGAATGATGCCTTGTGCCTCGCAGAAGGCTCTCAGACGATTGAGGGTGCAGTCATTGACTACACTTCTGGCGCTCAGATACGCATCTCGCCAGAAGGTGTAGAAGATGGCGCATCCTTGAGGCCACGCAACTCACAGCTTCGTCCTCGCGCAACATGTCCCTACACCCAAGTACAGTCGGGAGACGGCTGCTGGGCATTGGCAGATCGATGGTAAGCTAGCTTGAATATGCAAGAGCCATTGACAACATGACGGCTTGTGCTCACCATAACATTAGTGGGATATCCATCACGCAGTTGGAAAGCTTCAACGGTGGGAGTTCTTTCTGTAACGGTCTTCAGGCGAGTCTCCTCCACGGGCATCACATGTGTGGTCACAGCGGCTGACATGCTACATTAGCCKGGCCAATACKTTTGCTGCTCCACTGGAGAACTGCCAGACTTTACGCCTCAACCAGGTGCTGACGGTACCTGTGCCACATATGTAGTGAAAAAAGATGACAACTGCACGTACATTGCCGACCAGTATCAGACCACAGCAGACGCCATTGAAGCGAGCAACCCACAGACCTGGGGCTGGAGGGGCTGCAGAGGCCTTGTTGTTGGAATGAGCATGTGCTTAGGTCGCGGTATGACTCTAAGTTTGTCCAAACTATCATGAACCTATCATTGACACTTCTTAGGGAACCCTCCATTTCCAGCCAACGAGCCCACAGCTGTATGTCGTTTACACCTCATGCAAGATTGGGTATCGGCTAATGCGACTAGAATTGTGGCCCGCAAATGAACAATACGCAAAAGCCCTCCGATCCCGCCGTATGGGAAGGCCTCAATCCTTGCCCACTAAATGCTTGCTGCAACATTTGGGGTCAATGTGGCATAACTTGTAAGCCTCCCGTCCAGACGGACTTCTTAGCCTTCGCTGACGGTGGAAGCCGAATTCTGTACACCAAGCTCTGCGGCAACGGGAAACCATGGCACGGCCGCGCCAGGTGAGAATGGCTGTATTTCAAACTGCGGTACAGACATTGTGACTGGTGCGCCGCCTGCAAGTTTCGAAAGAGTCGGCTACTATGAGTCGTACAATATTGACCGGTCCTGCCATACCATGCGGCCAGGCGCTATTCCATCCGAGTATACCACCATACACTGGGCTTTCGCAGACTTGTCGACGAGTTACGATCCCAGTATTACTCCTTACGAAGATGACTGGGCTACTTTCAAAGCATCGAGTAGCTACAAAAAGATTGTGTCGTTTGGTGGCTGGGCTTTCTCAACCGACCACAACACTTTCGAAATCTTCAGAAAGGGTGTCGATCCAGACCAGCGGGAATTGTTCTCGGACAAAGTTGTCGACTTTGTGCAGACAGAGGGTCTTGATGGGGTTGACTTTGACTGGGAGGTGAGAAAGCTCATTGAATCTGCCGTTTGCAGCCCTCAACTGACGTACTTTTTGCAGTATCCAAGTGCACCTGATGATCAAGGTGAAGGGCTCCCTATCGACGGTCCTGCTGATGGATACAATTACCTTGAATTCCTACGACTGGTAAGACAGAAACTCCCAAGCAGATACAGCGTGTCGATCGCTGCGCCTGCTTCCTTCTGGTATCTCAAGGCTTTCCCCATGGATGACATTGGAGAAGTCATCGACTATGTCATTTACATGACTTATGACCTGCACGGTCAATGGGATTACGGCAATAAACACAGTTCACCAGATTGTCCGAAGGGGGACTGTTTACGATCACATCTTAACCAGACCGAGACCGAGACTGCCTTTTCCATGATTACTAAATCGGGGGTACCTGCGCACAAGGTTTATGTTGGACAGGCATTGTACGGTCGTAGCTTCAAGATGACCACTCCTGGCTGCTTTGAAGAATCTTGCACGTTTGTTGGTCCAGAAAGTGGTGCCAAGCCTGGTCGCTGCACGGGAACTCCTGGATACATCTCCAACATGGAGATCCGAGAAATCATCTCCAACGGTCAGCATAAGATTCAGCAAGTAAAAGATCCCATTGCTGGAAATATCCTGATTTACGATGACACGGAGTGGGTGTCGTGGGCGGATGTGGAGTTTTACAATCAACGAGCTGACTGGGCTCGTGATTTGGGATTTGGAGGTCTCTCAGACTGGGCGATTGATCTCAACATGACAAGCTCTGGAGACAATGGAGGCGACGATGGAGGCAGTGGAGGTGACGATGGAGGCAATGGACCCATCGACAACATTGTTTACATCGATCCAAGCGTCTACCAACAGCAAAGTCCGCTGGTTCAATGCGAGCCGCCTTGTGTGCTCGTGATGCCACCATGGACGTTGCCATATACCACGACTATCTCTCGCCCTCCAGTCACCACAACGTGGACTGATGAATGGGCATACGTTTCGACACAGTCAGGCGGCGTAACGACGACAGTACCTGTACGCCACGAGACAGGTAAGCAAACAAGTCCCATCCATGAATTGTACTTGGAAGTCAAAACCACTAATCTCCCCTCAGTCACCACCATCAACATACCGCCGCTGGCCACGACCGAAATCCATCTTTCCAACTACGACTGGACCAACACTAATGACAACAACTTCGAATTGACCAGCAGTGTTGCGTTCCCCGGCGTGACACTAACGCAAGGCTCCACTGTACTGACGACGGACGGCACAACGACCACTCTTACTGGACTTACATATGTATTCTCGCCAGGCCCTTATCCTCCTTCTTCCACTGTTCCTACCAGTGGTCCAGCACCGCCACCACCCACTTCATGTTCAACTTGTCCTGGGACGATTACTGCGTCCACCGGTCCTCCATGTGAGTATACTTACTCCTCCTCAGCGCGTGTCCGACACTAACTCGTCGTAGCACCTACCTGCACATCTGGTTGTGGAGAGTTAGACGACGAACATGACGATGACAATGACGACAACGACGACGATGACGACGACGACGATGACGACGACGACGATGATGATGGCGGCGGCGGCGGTGGTGGTGGCGGCGGCGGCGGCAGCTGTCTTGGACCCCTCTGTCTGTCATGTCCCCCGTTTCTACCATGCTGCCTCGGTTTCTGCGGTGGAGGTGGTGGAGGCGGAGGCGGAGGCGGAGGCGGAGGCGGAGGCGGAGGCGGAGGAGGAGGTGGAGGCGGAGGAGAAGGAGAAGATCAGACCAGCTGCGCAACGAAATCGACAGTAACGGACTGCTCCGTTGCGTGCTCGGTGCAACCAAATGGAAACACGCTATCAACCTCGTGCTACACAACAACGTGTAGCGAGACAACTGTCTGCAAATCAACGGGTTCAACAACGACTTCACGCACCACCGTGGCCTGTCCCTCGGTACCACAGTACACTCCGTGGTTCGGCGGCCAAAATCCTGCAGAGCTACAAGCCTTCCTCGGAGACGGAAACTATGGAGGAGAAGTCGTGGAGACCGGCACCTATACCGATCCGGAAAGTTCTCAGCCGCCGATGACAACGCCTTTCATCGACTGTACACATCGTCAACAACAGCCAGGTTCCGGCATCACACGAGCACACTGTATATGCGATGGCTCGACCTTTGCCGAGTCGCTCAACACGGCGGTCACTCCAGCGGAAAGCTGTGCCTACACCTCAAAGCCAACCAGCACCATTGCAATCACGACCCGCCAGACGGTTTCCACCGACGTTCCCAACTGTAAGATCTGCACCATTATTGGCAATAATCAACAGTGTGGCGATCTACCCAATTGTACACCTACATCCACCACCCAACCTTCACAGCCAGAGCCTACTACAATTAGAGTTGGGAGCAGTTGCCCCCGTGGGTTAGATAACGTTTTGACTTGTAGCGGGGACCGAACTCAGGTGGTAAGTTTTGGCCGTTTCCGTCGTTCGTGACGAAGTGAGTGCCTGCTGACAGCAAACAGATTGCTTGCAGCTGCGACGAGCCGAACTCTCTCTTCGAGTGCTCTTATGTACTGGAAAGGCAATGCGAGTCTGCGTCTTGCCACGGTAACGGCGAGGGAGGTGATCGATGTTTTGGTCTCGGCGCAGGTCCGAGGTATTGTTGCTGAAGTGCTTGATTGGATATTATTGTGCCTTGCTATTGCAATCGCTACTTGCTTGGTGATTTCTGCCAAGTCGGCTATCTGGGATCTGTCTGTTTAGCTTTCGAGATGTATCGATATGTTCTTAAGAGACCAACATCGAGCTGTACACCCTAACACCTCTTCGTTGCCTGTAGTAGGCTTCAACCGATTTATGCTGCAAGATTACATCAAGACCCGTCATGAAGTACGCAGCATGCTCTCGGAACGTTGCTCGTCCAACTAGATGGGCTGAAGCCACATCTAGGCAGAAATAGGGGGTCCGCAGCCTGCGATCGACACAGACCAATGATTGTCGTATGGAAGTTGTGAAGTTGTTTTGCCTTCCTTATTAGCGTATTGTGTGTCTTGAAGGAGGGCGGGAGGAAGAGAGCAAGTAGAGGTTCAACTTGCAGCAGTTAAAGATATTGTTCTTTCTGCGATGACGAAAGCACCGTTGGGCAGGAATTATTCGATAACAAAACTGACACTCCGCAAGGTTGCTACTTTTGAGTTTATGGCTACCTGTTCGCGAGTCTTGTCGTAAATATCACACAACGAGAACCGGTAATGTCCAACTTCACCAAGTCGTTAGGATGAGGAAGAAGGAGACATTGATGCCAATGGCAAATCTATCGAAGAAACGGCATAGAGCTTGTCATTGGGGGAGTACCATAAGATGTTTTGCGTAGGTCGACATTGTTTGTCGTTAATGATAGCAAGGCTGTCCTTCTCTCAGCGATGTGACCCCTTCTGTCAGTTAAAACTTCATTCACTTCTGTACCTTCCGCCTTCCGCGCACTTGCCGCATCGGCATATGACATATCTTGGCAATCGTCCCAGTGGCGGGGAAGCCTGTCCCTCGGTATATGCTTATAAGCACATCACTGACGCCTCTTCACATTGAGCTGGAGCAAATAAACACACTCGCAGGCCGATCATGGCTGGCGATCGTCGCAGAGCAGGGTATGAGAGTTACGGCCCTTGTTGCAGCCCGGCTGCAGTGGTTCTGTTGCTGTCGTCCTTGGCTGGCGAACTCCACGAGCCAAGAATCTAGAAGATTTGGATGGCCCGTGTCGATGTCGTGATCGCAAATTCAGGCGGAATGTGGGGACGATGTGGCCAATCATCGTCGATTCTGGTCGCTGACCGAGCGGGCAAAAATCTAGAAGGCCGAAGCCGGGGGCAGTTTCTCAACTGGGAAGAAACAAAGCATAGTCCATGACCACTCTTTGCCTGTTCCACCGCCACCACAGCCAGTATCCTCTTTCCATAATAAACACCTAGACATGCGATAACAATCCTCGATTGTCCGACATCCCTCCCACATTTCCTACCACGAGGGCTAGCATGTCGTCCATCACTACCGCGGGAGAGGCAGGTAAGCAAACTCAGCCCCGCGATAGGAAACACATTTCATTCCACAGTGCCTCTGGAGAGAGCTGGTGAAGATGGAACGCGCTGACAACTCTTGCAAACAGTCGCCCGTGTTGCCTACCTCTCGTCCGACGCAATCGTTTCGGTGGTGCCATCCCTGGCCTCCGAGTCCGAGTTCAGCCACTTCCTAAAGCAATATGCTGCCAACAAGGCATCTTCAGTGGTTTGCCGCGATGTACCTGAGGTGCTCTCAGTACGCGCCAATGCCGATCCTTTGCTAGATGTATACCACAGAGTGCGCAGTGGAAAGATCACCACGGTCACCACTGCGAGTAGTGTGCTCGTCAAGAGCATCCCTCACCTCTACCGCCTGGCACAGCATCCTGTGGTCATCCACGTTGCATTACACCCTACTGGATTCCCCGACTACGGCGACATTACGAGCATCCGCAATACAGGCTTCACCTTCCTGCAGAGCTCTTCTCTCCAGGAGGCACAGGATTTGGCCTTGACTGCACACGCATTGGCCATCCGTAGCGGGCGTGGTGTTATTCACTTCTTCGACGCCGCCAACAGCCAGCATGATCAGCCCATTGYACACGAGAGCAGGGATGTGGTGGCGAGCACGCTGAGCGTCGAAGGTGCGAGGCAGTACCAGACAAGTACCAGCGAAGAGTCGAGCATATACGTCAGCGAGGGCCTCCCTTCAAGACAGTCGGGAGTGGCGTTGAACAGCGGCAATGCAGTCAACACAGCGCTTCAGTCCACAGCAGTTTCTGCGGCTGCGACTCGTGAGCCATCTACTGCATCTGAGGCATCATCGGATCGTAAAAACAGCAGCTCAGGTGCCTCCGAGGCCGAGTYCGCGACCACTGTCGACTCTCAGTCTTCAGCTAGGCCTATCAGCTCGGCAGACATCGACGACTTCTGTACCAGTATCTGGGCGCAGATACAATCCCAGACCGGGAGACAATATTCCGCATTCAACTACACTGGCAAGCCAGATGCAGAGAATGCACTCTTCCTGTTTGGTAGCGACCCCGGCCTCTTCAGCGCGGAGCTCRACTCTGCAACTCCTTCAGACTTTTTTTCCCGTGTTGGACTGATAACACCCGTTCTCTACCGACCTTGGCTCACCGAACGCCTCGTCGCAGACCTGCCCAAAAGCATCAAGCGAATCGCGGTCCTTGAGCAGATCAAGCGCAAGACGACCAAATGGGGGCCCATCCTTCTCGATCTGCTGATGTCTTTGAAGTCTGCAGATGGAAGTGCGGCTCCGCAGATCGTTGGCTACCAGCTTGGACACCTCGAGCATTCCACCATCACTCAAGCCTTGAGCGGTATCTYCCAGAACTTGACCTCCGAGTCACCGATCCAGAATCTCGAAATCGGCGCACACGACGGCCCGAGTGCATCGCCTGGGAAAGAGCATGCGCTTTCGCAACCTGCATTGGAAAATGCATACATGAAGATTTTGGATCAGTTATTCGGGGAGAAGTTGTATGTTGCAAATGCACTCAAGGCCAACAATGCTGGGATCAGCGACAGTATCAAAGCAAGTCCCGAGTTCGGATTTGGCTCGCTGCTGGCTAGGAAAGAGCACCGCAAGCGCTTCATCTCCGAAGTCGAGGCCGCAGCCAAGACAAAGGACTTCACAACGGACGCTCCTCAGAAGTGGCTTTCACAGTGGGCACTTGTTGCGGAGGAGGCCGAGAAGGTCAACAAGATTGCACCTGATGTCGTCTCGCGACTTGCCACTGATGGCTCCTCTGCAGCATCCAAGCTGCTCAGCTCCAAGGGATTGTTCTACAAGGAGTCACAGTGGTTGGTCGGAAGTGATGCATGGAGCTACGATCTGGGAAACAGCGGTGTTCACCACGTTCTTGCCAGTGGCGAGAATGTCAACCTCCTCATTATTGATTCCACCCCGTACAGCGAGCGCATGGCGGCCGACGCTGCGCGAAGGAAGAAGGATATTGGTCTGTACGCCATGAATTTCGGCAACGCATACGTTGCCAGCACTGCCGTCTACAGCAGTTACACCCAAGTTTTGCAGGCAATGCTAGAGGCTGAGCAGTTCAATGGTCCGTCTGTTGTTCTTGCGTACCTGCCTTATCAGCAGGAGAATGACAACCCAATCAAGGTTCTGCAGGAAACCAAGAAGGCCGTCGATCTTGGATATTGGCCACTATATCGCTGGGACCCCAGGGCTGAGGAGAAGAACGAGGAATGCTTCAAGCTTGACTCGGAGCGCATCAAGGAAGAGCTGAAGGAGTTCCTCAAGAGAGACAACCATCTAACTCAGCTCATGAGGCGGCATCCTCAGTTCCACGCCAACCTGTCAGAATCGTATGGTTCGGAGGTGCGGAAGATCCAAAAGAGGAAGGCCAAGGATGCATACGAAGTTCTTCTTGAGGGACTTCAGGGTGCACCCTTGACTGTGCTCTTCGCATCGGACGGCGGCAATGCAGAAAATCTGTCAAAGAGACTAGCAAAGCGTGGTAAAGCTCGTGGTCTCAAGACAATTGCAATGGCAATGGACGACTATCCTCTGGAAGACCTATCCACCGAGGAAAATGTCGTTCTCGTCACTGCCACAGCTGGTCAGGGAGAGTTTCCTCAGAACGGTCGTAACTTCTGGGAAGGCCTCAAGAACTCCGTGGATATTGACCTCGCAGGTGTGAACTTCTCGGTCTTTGCACTTGGTGATTCCCACTACTGGCCACGAAAGGCCGACAAGCACTACTACAACAAGCCTGGTAAAGACCTCTTCGCGCGATTGGAAACCCTAGGTGGCAAGGCCCTTGTAGCGTGCGGCATGGGTGACGACCAGGATCCAGATGGGTATCAGACTGGCTATGCCGAGTGGGAGCCGAAGCTGTGGGAGGTTCTTGGCGTCGACAATGTCAGCGGCCTTCCAGATGAGCCGCCACCAATGACCAACGAAGATATCAAGATTCAGTCCAACTTCCTCCGTGGCACTATCGCCGAGGGCCTCCTGGATGAATCCACTGGAGCTATCAGCGCGGCCGATCAGCAGCTCACCAAGTTCCACGGTACATACATGCAGGACGACCGTGATCTACGAGACGAGCGCAAGGCCCAGGGTCTGGAGCCAGCATACAGCTTCATGATTCGATGCCGACTGCCCGGTGGTGTGTCCACTGCGAAGCAGTGGGTGCAAATGGACGACATCTCCAACGAGCTTGGCAATGAGACCATGAAGCTCACTACCCGTCAGACCTTCCAGTTCCATGGTGTTGTGAAGGGTAAGCTGAAGCCGGCTATGCAAGCCATCAACCGCTCGTTGATGACTACCATTGCCGCTTGTGGTGATGTCAACCGAAACGTCATGTGCAGCTCTCTCCCGGAGATGAGCGCTCTACATGCTCAGGCTCAGGAAGCTGCACAGCGTATTTCCGACCACCTTCTCCCCAGCACAAACGCATATCATGAGATTTGGCTCAAGGAGGACGGCGAGAAGGACGTCAAGATCGCTGGAGATGCCGTTCAGGACTTGGAGCCCTTGTACGGCCCAACCTACCTTCCTCGTAAATTCAAGATCACGATCGCTGTACCACCGCACAACGACACCGACGTGTACGCACATGACATTGGTCTCATCGCCATTCGCGACGACAAGGGCGAGCTCGCCGGTTTCAACGTGCTAGCAGGAGGTGGCATGGGTGCCACTCACAACATGAAGAAGACCTACCCCCAGATTGGTCGCATGTTCGGATACTGCGACAAGAAGGATGTGCACATTGCGTGTGAGAAGATCATGCTTGTCCAGCGCGACAACGGTGATCGCAAGAACCGCAAGCATGCCCGTCTGAAGTACACCATCGACGACATGGGTGTCGATGTCTTCAGATCAGCTGTGGAGGAACTATGGGGGAAGAAATTCGAGCCCGAGCGTCCATTTGAGTTCAAGTCCAACGTCGACACTTTTGGCTGGTTGAAGGATGAGAAGGGCATGAATCACTTTACCCTGTTCATTGAGAACGGTCGCATCGAAGACACGGCAGAATTCCCCATGAAGACTGGTCTTCGAGAGATTGCCAAGGTGCACAAGGGTGAGTTCCGACTCACAGGTAACCAGCATCTCATCCTCTCCAACGTCGCCGATGAAGACCTCGACACCATGAAGCAGATGATGAAGAAGTACAAGCTCGACAACGTCAACTTCTCTGGTCTCCGCTTGAGTTCCAGCGCCTGTGTGGCGTTCCCAACCTGTGGTCTCGCAATGGCTGAATCCGAGCGATACCTTCCAGTGCTTGTCAGTAAGCTCGAGGGCGTGCTTGAGGAGAACGGACTTGGCAAGGAGTCCATTGTGATGCGTATGACTGGATGTCCCAACGGATGTGCACGACCTTGGTTGGCCGAGGTTGCATTCGTTGGCAAGGCTTTTGGAGCTTACAACATGTACCTTGGAGGAGGATATCACGGCAACAGACTGAACAAGCTCTACAGAAGCTCGATCAAAGAAGAAGAGATTCTGGAGATCATGAAGCCTCTGTTCAAGAGATATGCGCTTGAGAGGAACGAGGGAGAGAGGTTCGGYGACTTTGTGATTCGTAAGGAGATCATTGTCAAGACTACTGAGGGACGCGACTTCCACGATAACACCGCGGAGGTTGAGGAGGATGATGAGTAAAATGCATGGCATGAGTTTGCGCGCGAGTTGTTAGGCATAGCGCGTGGCGTTGTTTGGTGGGAATAAGGCGTTCCTCGCTTGCTTCGTGGAAGAGGTAGCGGGTCGATGGAGGACCTGTGAGATTTGGTGATTTCAATCTTGATGCACATATGATGGTTGAATGTACTTTTGTTGGAGTGTGCTTTTAATACTGTTATCGGTGAAGTCAGTGACGTTCCTGTGATTGATCCATTTCGAATATGATATGTCCAGGAACTGTAGGCGAACGGCCAATGTGCTACGCCGCTCACGTGTCTCGGATCTACTTTTGTAGCTGATGTCGTATCTCTACGATTTGAGCATCGTTGGAAACGTTACTCTGAAAGCTCTCTTGAAGAAGAACAACACAAGCTCTCTCTCTCTCTCTCTCTCTCTCTCTCTCCATAGCCACGCACGACAATGACCTGGCAACGACACATAATGAAAAAGCTGGGGAAGCATCATAGAGAAGTCACCCAGAACTAGTTCTAATCCCAAGCCTTATCTACTTTGTTATCAACCACTAAAGCAGACATGGTACCTAATCGCTCACATACCGACATACATACAGTGCGCCAGGCAGACTTCGTATACTCTCGTGATGATTGATGATAGCAATCGCAGAGCACAGCCCCCAGGATTCGAAGCGAGCAGTACTTTGGTTTAGTTTCTAAGCTACGAAAAAGGGGAAGGAGCTCGGCCCGATGAGGTGGTCAGAACAAGATTTTCCAAGCAATTCATCAACGTGCGCTAGGAGATATAAAACAAAATAAGCAAAGTGGAGCGCTATCGCGTAGATTAGCTTGATAATGGACATGTGATCCGACGGTACCAACCGTCGTCCCTCATGGCGTGTGCTAGAGGTGGCGGTGTGTAAGAACATCCTGGTGTTGGACAGCAAGAAAGATGCTACAGTCCGCGATACATAGGATGTAATCTTTCAAGAAACAGTCGTAACAATTCATAAAGAGAGCTACACAATCATGTAAAAAAACTACCCGTCGGGATATCATGGCCTCGCTGTCTCTGCTCGTCCGTCAAAAATTGGGTCAAAAATCCACAAAATGCATGCGTTGCGTAAAATGGAAAACAGACACTGATGAAAGAAGCTTCGCGATCCCGTTGAGTGGGGGTGAAAGAGAAATGAGAATTTACATTATCCACAATCCAATAGCCTGTCTGTTTTCCTTCCTTCCAATTTGCACAGGTCGTCAGACGTCAATCACTTTACATGAAGAAAGCGGCGATTGCGCCGATTCCTGCAAAGAGGCCAGCGGCGTTCATTACGTTGGCCGCGCCCGTGTATTGAACAGGCGTTGAGGGGTAGACATTGCCAGTTCCACTTGGGTAAACTGGRGCAACTGGAGAGCCGCTACCTGTGGGGTAGTATGCTGGCTTGGAAGCGCTGGGCACGGGGTATGGAGCGACTGGGACGGTCTTGGACTCGCCAGCGCTAGGGTACTCTGCTGGGGCAGATGGAGACTGGACAGATGTTAGTTTGAGGGTAAAGAAACGTGATATGCATTCCGACTTACCACTGGCGAGTTCTCGACCGGGCTGGAAGGCTGTGGAACGACTGTCACAATGCTGGACGATGGAGCCTGGTACACGGGTGCGGCTGGGCYTGAGGGAGCGCTGTACACAGGTGCGGCCGGGCTTGAAGGCGCGCTGTATGCAGGAGCGATGGCTGATGGAGCGGACTCCGTGACGTAGATGGTCTCGACGTGCTTGACAGTAGTGGTGACAACGGCACAAGTCTCAGCTGGCTGAGCTACGGTGTTCCATGGCTGGTACGCCGATGGCTTGACGCCGGCGGGCGCGGTAGCCCACGAAGTTGGGGTGTCGAGGGTCGCGTATGGCATAGAGCTTGGCGCGTATGATCCATACGAGTAGGCACCAGTGACAGAGGCAGACGGAGATGCTTGGTAGCCAGCAGGAGACGACGCAGACGGAGATGCTTGGTAGCCAGCAGGAGTCGACGCAGATGAGGCCTCGTGGCTAGCAGGAGACGACGCAGAAGGAGAGACCTCGTGGCCAACGGCAGAGAATGTAGAGCTGTACGATGGGGCCGACGAGGCGGATCCATGAGCTGCGGTCTCGTTCTTTGGAGCAACTGGAGAGGACTCAGAGGAAGATCCGGAGCCGTACGAAGGTACGTTGGACGAGGCATCAGATTGATCATCGGCAGTACCGAAGATAGCCTTCGCGGCACCACCAGTCTTGCCCTTGGTAACCTCGACCTGAGGAGTGAACTTCGACCACGATGGGAGCTCGCCAACTGACTTTGGCACGGATGCTTGACTGGAGTAGACGGAGACTTGGAAGCCCTGGACAGAGTCGACATCAACCTCCTGGCCGTTCTTGGAGATGCGCCACTCGAGGTTCTGTGTCAGWGATGGGAGAATGTTATCCTCGTCCATGCCAAGGAGGCTACCAACGGTGACCATTCCACGAAGAGAGCGGGTGAGGGGGATCTGGCCAGTAACGAGCAAATCGTGGTTGGGCATGGCATCTGGAGAGGCGAGAACACCCATCATACCGATGAGGTTCTTGTCCTGAAGCCAGTTGGCGGGAGAAGCGTTCTCTGGGGAACCGTTGAACACGTAGACGTAGTAAGAACCGTTGAGCGCGTAGCGAGGAGTTTGGATGTTGGCGGCGTATTCGTAAGCGTTTCCGGTCGCGGCATCGATGAACGAGTCCAGCAAGTCCTCCACTCCACCCATGACAGTGTCAATCAGCGATGAGAGACCACCTACGATGCTTGGGGTGTTGGATGGTGAGGAAGTCGTGGGCAGGGACAAGTTGAACTTTGAGCCTCCGAGAAGACCTCCATTCGAGCCTCCGAGAAGACCACCAAGAAGACCACCGTTTCCGCTCGGGCTGTTGCCACTTGGGGCGTTGCCACTTGGGGCGGTTGCTCTCGTGTCGGCTGGAGACTTGGGAGGGCTCGATGAGTTGGACTGGGTCTTGGCATCGGGAATCTGAGCAGAGATGGCGCTGGCGGAAAGGGTTGGCTTGTTTCCGTAAAGACCGTTGATGTAAGTCGCAATGTCGCTCTTCTTGCCATCGCTGGTGGTGAACTCGGGGTAAGTGTAGCCGAGCACAGTCCAGTCGCGAATCTCGTTGGAGGTCCAGTACGAGCTGGCGTCCTTGTTGAATGGCTCGAGCGGGTAGTCACCGTTGAGCGTAGCGCCAGATGGAATAACCCAGGTGGCGTGAGGAGCAGTCGAGGATGGAACGAAGCTGTTTGGGTTGATTGTCTGCCAGAGGGCGAAAAGACGATCAACGTTGCAGTGGTGCAACCAGAAGATTGGGTCGTAAGTCGAGAGGGGCAGGTAAGTCAAGTGACCACCAGAGGTACCGTCGCTGCCAGCACCGCCGGCAAGCGTGTGAACAGTGTTGTGAATTTGCTCGAGCGAGTTGGCACACTTGGAGGTGGCACCAGCTTGGTCGTTGGAGAAGTGAAGGAAGTCGTCGCAAGCAGTCAACATCTGGTAGACCTGGTCCTTGAGGGATGTCTGCATGCTGTCCAAAGCGGACACGGCAGCTGCGTCCTCGCTGTTGGTGCTCGGAGAGTTGCTGGTGGGGTAACGGTAAGTCTGGGTCCACTCGGTGAAAACGCTGTAGTAGTTGGCCTTGGCCTCCGATTCGGTGAACTCGAACTTGTACAGAGGGTTGTCAAGAGTCTCAGCGCCGTCAGGTCCGTTGATGGTGATCTGGGGCGAAGAAATGGTCTCTGGGAGACAGCTCGAGTTGTCCTCTGGCCTAGCTGCCCAATCCCAGTAGGGAAATCGGAGCGTCTTCTGCGCCTCAACCATGCGAGCGCGCGACGATGCCGGGTAGCTCTCGGCGACCTCCAGGGCCGCTTCGAGGAACTTTTGCTCGAAATGGGAGAGGTAGAGACGGTGCCATGTGGGGAAGATGACCATGTCGTGAGTGCCGTAACCAGTGGCGCTACCGCAGCTATCGCACTGCTTTGCGCCATTCCAGTCCYCCTGCGGCACTCCGTGAATGGAGGCGACACCATAGTAGCCGGATGATTCGTCCTGGCCGGCCTGTTGCCACTTGGACATGGTCTTGATGTAGAGCGCCCACTGGTCGTCGCGGGTGGCCAAGTTGCTGATTTCGAGACGAGGGTGGACACCACCTGTGGCACCGGTGGTGATGATCACATCGGCGCGGTTGACCAGCTGGTGGGCTGGCTGGTTGTTGAAGGGAAAGGCATCCGGCGATGCACTCACGGCGACGAAGAGAGCGTAGGCCGTCGCGGCGATGGAAGTGCCGGAAAACATGATGGAAGAAAGAACGCTGCGGAGTGAACAAAAGAGWGTGGTGCAGTGTGCGAAGTCACACTGCTGCAAGTATGGAAAGAAACGGCAGGGGAAGAAGTTGGTACGCAAAAGGTGGTAGTTGGCGAAGACGAGGTTCAAAGATGATGGCGGAAGTGCACCTGTACCTGCAGCCGCCGAATTTAGTGTGCTTTGACGGAAACGTCGCCCAGCCGGCCAATCACTGGCGTGGGACCAGGGGACCTCTTACAGGGATCTACAGCGAGGCTTGTTCGTATGGGGGGAATCCATTCGTTTCAGGTCTCCTGTTCGTCACCGCTGCATCTCCCAGGGCCCGCTACTGCTCTGCGTCCTCGACACTCTCTGCTGCTATTCGATTGCAGTCTGATTGCAATATCATCATCCCGTGTGGTGGACGAGGACGAGGCACAGCATACACTGGCGTGTGTTGCCGACGTTCCCAATCTCGCTGTCAAAGCTAATTACCTGTTCAAACGCGTGGCTTCGGATCGACGGCGGACAGGGCACGGACACGCGGGCTTTACCTGAATCCACTTTCTGCGTGTGCCGAACTGCCGTGGGGTGGGGACACTGACGAGGCATTTGCTGTTTTGGAGACTTTCTTTTGATGCAAAACATCGTGCCTCCGTCATGGAACGCTGTTGCTTCGCAATCGGCGGTCCGTATGGTGGATGTGGCGTTCCGCACCATCCGGGGTGCGTTCGGTTCATGTGGTCTTGCTGTACTGTACCATCACTGACGTGGTGCACTGGTGCGAAGGTGGCTTTTGCGAACTCAAATGGAGGACACGAGCAGTCATCATAGGAACAAAGAAAGGAATCAAAGGGGGACATGCAAGACCTTGCAATCTAAACGCAGGGCACCCCGAAGTGAAAGGTGAGGTCAAGATACGCGCAGGAATGTGCCTTCTCAATTTACAGGTGTGTTTGAGTGGTGTGTACGATCTGGACACTCCAAGATAGAAGACCGATTTGCATGCAACTCTGGTTGCACCTCAGCTCCTGCGATACTCTTCGCCGTCGCGAGAATCCGCGATGTGCTCCCCTCCATACTATTCCCTGTACTCAAGCATCCAATGTCCATGTGGAACCCTGCCGGCCGGCGTTTCATACTGCTCGGTCATCCCTTTGGAAACTTAGCGACGTAATTAGAAGCCCTGCAAACTTCGCTCTACGCATTATTGAGTCCTTCGCGCCATCGCGTCTCTGCTTTGGTGATAGGAGCAGAGCTTGTCGCAGGACTGTACAATCAGCTGCACTTGCCAACGTCTGCTTTCGCTGCAGACTCAAAGCAGTGCTCCTGATCCATCTTCGAGGAATACGAAGCAATTTGAACGAATACGCATTATTGACAAGCATATGAGGACAAGGCAAGCATCTTTCAAAGCTGCAATGCCAGTCGCTCGGATGAAGAATGCAGGACATCTCCTGACTCTTGATGACAGTGTGCCAAATAAAGCTTGTCTCGTAGCTGGCCGAGACACTTGTGTCTAAAACTACTGTATGACGTTCTACTAGGAGGTGAGGGACCATCCCTAGGTCATTGCTCCGCCATTCGGTGAAATCAAATCACGCATGGATAGTTGACTTGGCCCGAGGAGCTCCATCTTGGCTTCTGAGGACCGCTTGTCTAGGCAGAGTACGGAATCCTAGATCAAGTAGGAATCGGATACTGTATGTAGGTACATGTAGGTTCGATACGCATGACCCAGGGGCCATGACGACGTTGTCCATGGCTAAGAACCTAATGCCATGCGAGATGTTCGCTTAGCCCTAAGGCTTTCGTTAGCAATCATGGCATGAATCTGGTTATGGACGTTGTGACTCAACGGCATTGCTTTTCGCTTAGCAGTCGCTTCGGAACATCTTGTGGCATATATACATAGCAGTGGCGTTCTTGAGGGATGATATATGTGATATCCATGGCCAGGACAGGTTTGAAAAGAGTGTTATTTACACGTGAATGAAGTTCCCAGGTCCTTCGACCAATCTGGTGACGATCTGTGCTTACTTCTCCAGGAAACTGCACAACAGGACGCCCATCCGCCCAAAAACCAATATGCAGCCTTCAACGCGTGTATCAACGGCTCCGTGGCTCCCCAGATCATTCCCTTGAGTTCTGGATCGTATCAGGCACATGCAGAGGGCACTGCGGCGTACCGCTCAACCCTAAGCTACCGATGCTACTACCCAAACCCTAACCCTATTCAAAACTCACTGTCCACGAATCACGAACCATCAATTCGTGCGCGAGGATGTATACAACGCAAAGGACAAAAGAGTCTACTATTTGAGAAGATGTTCAAGATTATCTATTGGCAAAGCACTACCTAGTACTGTCGCCATCCGCTTATTGCTGCACCACCCACTCATGGCCGATCCCGCTACTGACTGAACACTCCMGTACCGTGCGGCATATCTCTCTGTGCACTCCCCAAAATGTCCCCCACCAGATCAGTCACTGTGAAGTCCAGCTCTTGCGAGTCCATATCAACTGTCTGGAGAAAATGCCCGCTCACATCGTCGCTTGCAGAGTCGTGAGCTTGCYGGTAGGGCGGCAGAGAAGCAGCCGGAGTACCATAGTCTGTCGGGGTGTCTTTCACTTGCTTGGCGTTGGAAGTACCGAGTAGTGGTGAGAACGACCACGAACCGTGCGTTGAGAGACCGATGCGAGACGTTGTGCTGGCGGCAGGCTTGGGATCCGCTGCTCGTGATTCAGATCTTACGATTGGAGAGAACGAGAGGCTAGATTTCTCATGTTGTTGCTGAACAGTGGCCGGTAGACGGGTAGGTGACAGGCCGGCTTGAAGCGAGAGTGATGAGACTGTGGTAGWTCCTGTCGTGGACAGAAAATGCCCCTGAGAGAATGTGGCTGACGAGGCGACAGCCCCGCTTGGTCGGATAGACTTCTCTTGCGCTTGGTCGGAGACCTGGGCTGTGCAGACTGCTCCACTAGCACTGCTTGACTCAAGTGAGGTAGTACTTGTGCGTTTTCTGTGCGCGGATTGCCAGGCTGGGAAAAATGCTGCCACGGGCAGAGACTCTGTCTCCTGCTGACCAGGAGAGTCGTTGTATGATATCGAATAGCGGAGACTGCTCTTCCTCAAACGGGATTCGTCGAATGAATGGGAAATGCCCGGATCCGAACCAATCAGGTTTTCACCAGAGCCTTTATTTAYACTCGGTGATTGCTCAATGCTGGAACGTTTGCCAGTAGCACTCCTGGGTTTCTTGATACTAGACCAGCCTTTCCACCCATCAAGAAGTGCCTGTGTGCTGGGCATTGGGAGGGGCTCCTGAGACAGCGTCTGCAGTGGTCGGCGGCGAGGAAGATCTCGTGTAGTCTGTGGAGTGGTCTTGTCGCCAAGATACAGTGTTGTGTTTTCCTTGTTCGGCGAGGTGAAGAGGTCTTTTTGTGCTTCAGCGAGCAAAACTTGAGTGCCGGGCCAGAGTTGAGGAGGAGGCATCTCCGGCGCACGCTCAATGGCAACCTCACTGACATCGACGTTCTCACCCGAGGAAGGTTCCTGTTGCTCTTCTGAAGCGACGGGTTCTGCTTGTACATAGGACGGCTCTCCTCCAATGTGAGAAAACTCTGCACCCGCCAAACGCATTTCATCGCGGAGCGCTTTTCTGACCGAAGATGAGTCTGAGCCCGAGTCCCCTGCGTTTGGCAACAAGCGATTGAGATACTCGTTGACCAGCGGCGTTGTGGGATCAACTACGGGATTGATTCGTGCAAGCTGAAGACTATTGGAGGCGAAACCAACTGTCTTTGGTGTTCTAGTTTGAGGCTGCCGCTGTTTCGTTTCCACGACCAGAGTCTCAATATCGGGATCGTCACTGTTGTTGAACTTCGATATCCGTTTGCGAAACATGAAAGGTGAGGAATCCTTGCCCGGCACAGACATGTACGTATTCTCACCAGCTCTGAAAGAACCCATGCGGCGCTGTTGCTCTACAGGAAGTTCCGCCATGTCAGTCACAGCAGATTGGGACTCGGATGGCGCCGATTTGCGACGAGATGATCTACGCGCGCTCGATGTTGTTGCGACAGGTTGCGCGGCTCCCGTCGATTTTGTAGCTCTCTTACCCTTTGGCACTTTGCCAACATTCAGACTTGCTGAATCCTGCATGGCCGTTCGCATGCCGCCGGGCGACAGTGCTTGTGCATGGATGGGAGCAGTCGTCGAAGGTTCCATCTGTGTGGCAGGTTTCTCTACTGTTTTGCCAAAAGAGGCCCAGGACTTGCGAGGGGCTGCGCGAATTCCTTGTCGACGAAGAAGTTGAGCTTGGCTGTCCTGTGATTCCTCGTCCTCCTGCTCGTAATTCCCAGGTGTCGGTATAGATACAAAGGCAGTCTCTTCGGACTGCTCCGGTTGTTCATCCCCACGGCCTGAGTTTCGCTCATCATTTTCCAACGAAGAGGGCATACTACCAGCAAGTTTTCCAGCACCACCCGGAGGTCCACTACTTTTCTGCGACAAAGCACTCCTTTCTCGCCGCAAACTCACCATAGGACGAGCTGCGGCTCTTTGACTTGGCGTTGGGAGTGAACTCAATCCGAGTTCGTCTTTACTGCACTCCTCGTCCACGGCCTTGTGGCGGAGCTCAAGCATGCCGGTCTTGAGCCACTTCGAACTCGTCCAGGCTGCGGTCGGTGTGGGTCCAATATCTGATGTAGAAGTCTGTAGTGATGAAATTGAGGAAGCTTCCTGGGTCTCCTCAATCGTCGCTTCAGACTGAGCACGCTGCATCGAGGGAACGGACAAACGCCCACTTCTTCTCAACAGAACGCGAGTGCGGAGAGCGGCAGCTTGTTGAAGAGCTTCATCGCTTGGTCCCATATCGATTTTGATCGTCCTCTGTCGACGGCGTGAAGTGCAGCTCGCTTGGGCGTGAACTTCGACAACAACCTCTTCATCATCAGACTCCGCAGCTTCAAGATGGCCTTCATCGTCGTCGACATGATTGTAATTCTGCAACACTTCCCACTGATCGTGCACGTCCTCCCAAAATGCCTCTGCCGCCAACGTCGTCGTCTCAATCCCAGTCATAGCTCGACGTGCATCCTTTGGTCTTGCAAATGAGCGAGCTACGGCATGCTGAATACCTTGTGGTGGAAGTCGAGCCGAGGGAATATTCAATGCATGTCCATTGAGAAAGTCGTTGGCAAGCTTCTCGATCCTCTGTCGCTTGATTGCTCGCTCTGATAGGGCAAAGTCATCAGTCTGCCAGTCTACCTGACATTCATCGTAGCTGATGTTACGGAACTCGGGCGTTTGCTGGAACAGAGAAGGACAGGTCCATGCGTATCCACGCGGTTCATGAGTCCGTATCATCGTGCATACTCCACAGATCCAGCGGCCCGGGCATCATCCAAGTGTTAGCAAGTGAGGTGTGAATACCGTCGGTGGCGGAGGAGTGTCGCACGCACAAGGCATCAACTTCAGCGGGAGGGTGTTGTCAAGCCAACCACCGAACTCCGGTGGTTGCTTTCGCTTGGCATTTCACGATAACTGATCTCCATCTCGAATGACATCCGTGCAGTGTCGCGTTCACTTCAGGTCCATTCACACTGTTTCGTCCATTTTCTTTTGCCTGCGTTGGGGGTTTTTCGCAGAGCTGATGGAGCATAGTGATTAACCAGTTTCGAGTCATTTCCAGGATCATAACAAGACAACAGCATACCAACGCGGATCAAGGATTGCCATTACTCGATACAAACGACGCGCTCGACATGGCTTCCGCTGTCGCGCCGTGGCTACAAGGCCTGGAGGAGGCCTGGGAAATTCCCGCTGGCATTCAAATACCGTCGACAATTCCCATATCCTCCGCCACGCACGACGCGGACTCCCTCAACAATGGCTCCGTGCGCATGTCCAAGCACGCGCAGCACTCGGTCCGCTCTCGCCGCAGCCCGCTTGGTCCATTGAGCAATGGCAGTAACAACTCGCGCCGTGAACTCAGCAATCGATCTCGCGGAAAGCTGACTGAATCGCAATCCTTCTCCGCCGCCTCAGACGGGTCTACCGTGCAGTATGGCACTGTGCAGCAGCGCAGCAAGAGCGCTTCGCCTAAGAAATCACAAGAAACCCTGGAATGGAAGCGACGGCTTGTGCGTGGGCAGGTGGGCTATGGAGATCAGACGGATTTGTTTGGGCCTTCTGGACTGGAGAACATATTCGCGCAGACTCCCCAAGCGGAGGCCAGCAGTGCGCCCAAAAACAGAAAGAGCATGAATTGGCTGGACAGATCCGCGCTTGCTTCAATGCCGTCTAGTCCGCCGCCTTGGCCCTCGCATCTGGATGATTCGCAGTCGGAAAGAGTTGTGGAGGATGAAGAACGTTTAACAACCGTTGGCGAAGGAGAGGAGGGTAGCGAGGCTTCCTACTCCGAACGATACGAACAAGATGAAGAGGATGAGACTAGGGATGATGTCTCTAGGAGTGACACCTTCCAAGGAAGCACATCGCAGAAGTCAGACAACAGTGTTCGTCAAGCACCGGGTCATCAGATTACAAGCCCGGAGCGATTCGAGCCGACTCCTGGACACCAAATCGGGAATCGCACCATCAGCGGTCGCACCGAGCTCGAAGAAGACTTTAGTCCAGTTTTCATCTCCAAACACACCACCATGAACGGTACAGTCGGTTACACTGCCCTGGACTCCCACACCGTCAAGCAGTTCCAGGAAATGAACATCAACCTTCAGCACCCAGACCAGGATGACTCCACTTACGAACAAGGGTTGTACCCAGAGGAGACTGCAGAGTCGCAAGACAGGAGCAATATTTCCGTTGAGCATTCTGCCTTTACCGATGGCGATTCCATTGCTACAGCGGCTCCTGATCTGTCCCTGTCTGAGAATCTTCCAACCGGTACGCCGGAAGCAGCTGGCCTGGGAGGAAATGTGCAGGTAAAGAGGGGTGGCTACTCTGCTGAGGGTTCGTTCCGTGAACGGCCACTGAGCGCCTCTCCCGAGCGCAAAGCAAGTGGATTGCTATCGCCAGCGCCGACCCGGCACAACACATCAATAGAAGCAAAGCGAGACCATCGCGTACCCAGCACGCCCTTTAAGGGGGCAGAAGAGCCCAGGTCGAGGTCTTCAGGCAGTCCTCTCAAGCTCTTCGGGCCTCACGATACTTTCACAAGTAATCGCCTACTAAGGAGATTGAGTCAACTTGACCCGGACCTTTCCGCCATCCGGTCCGAAGCAGATTCGGTAGGAGATGATTCCAATAATGCCACGCCAGCCCGGCGACAACAGTCGTTTGCACAATCTTTTGGCAGCGGCTCCCTGAACAACCACCCCTTCCCGRCCGAGATCACCATAACGGGTGCCTCCGACGAGTCCGAAGAGATGATGAACAGCGATCTCTCACCCGCTTCGGATGTCCCACCGCCAGGAAGTCGAATGCCTCTGTTGTTCAAACTGGAGAGTTCCCCAGACAACAAAAATGCTCTCAGAATCAAACGTAAAGCCTCGGGACATGGCACTAGCAATGTCGGGAAAGTTCCTTCCACTAGATCGAGGCATTCGAGCTCAAGAAAGCCTTCGCGACCAGTGTTTCTTCAAGCTACCGTCGAGGATGCGTCCGATATGGTCTCAACCTTTGAAGTTGCRGCAGGAAAAGTCTCTCAAAGACGATCCAGCTCCAAGCATCTCTTCGCTCAAGCTTCGGCCGATGTCAATCATGGCACTATCCCGCAGCCAACATCTCCCGTGAAGCAGTCCTCCATTCCCGTGCTTCGCGGCCCCACTGGTCAGATCCGCGACAATAGCGAACAGCCTACGCCTGGCAAGTCGTCTTTCATCCCCGTGGCCGTTGGAAAGCGGCCACCGAACTCGCCATTCAAAGCGCCAACCCCAAAACGTCGTAGGACTCTTCATGCCAGCGAACTTGAGGTAGACGCAGCCGAAGTCAGCAGATCTCATCGTGGAAACGCGGAGGAGGAGCAATATCTCAAAAGTGACGTCGCCGATGCAAATCGCTCCTACCATGAACAGCTACAAGAAGTTCTCAGCAGTCAGAAAAGAACTTCACGCGGAGACGATCAACCGACAACCGCCGAGAAGGAAATGCTCACTCGACGTAAGATACTTCGTCCACGCAATCCAACTCCGAGTCAGCGTCAAGGAGAGATGGGTGGTCGCGTGCCATCTACGCGCAGAGAGCAGATTGAAGCCGAAATACGAGAGGCCACAGAAGCTTTCGCGATCCACGAGCCAGAAGCTATGGAGGCTGTTCTAGAACAAATGGAGACATCAATGGCGTCCGGAAGCCCACCCTCAATCCAGCAACAAGCCCGCGCTGTTGCCACAGAAGTCGCCAAGTTCACACTTCGTATACAAAAGGCAAGCGCCGAGCACACCAGTCCTCAAGAGCGTAAGCGCTCAGTCACCACTCAGGACTTCTTCAACGAAGCGGTGATGGTAATGCGTCTGATCCGCGAAAAGGCAGGTCGGCAAAGTGGCTTGGGCAGCGTGGCAGAATCCGACCAAGAAGGAATCAGCCAAAGTCCCTCTGAAGATTTTGACAACTCCATGCTTAGAGAAGCGCCAGCACCAATCTTGAGAGTGTCTCGACCGCCTTCAAGGGAGGGTGTAAGTGGATGGAGGCCCCGGACCAGCGCAAACACGGATGCCCGGGTAATCAGTCACTTGCGCAGATTCCAGGAGAACGATGATACGGAATTCATTGCGCCATCAGTGGCTTCATTKCGTGTCACCGGCCACGAACTCGAGGAGGACGGTGATGTCTATGAGGACGAGGACGAGTATGACGAGGACGATGAAGATCTTGTCGCGGTGGATGAGCATTCGAACATTCGCATCAAGGGACCCCTGCCACAAACCGACCAGGATATCGATTCCCGGCCATCATCCCAGCGTTCGGACCAGGATACACTCCACACTCAATCCAGCCAATCCCAGTCATCGGCAGGTGGACGCAGCATCAACACATCCTGCACAAAGAAGTCTTCTGACAATGTCGGCAACCTCGCACCGGACGCAGTTGCTCACTTGATCGGACAGCAAGTCGGCAGCATGGTCTTCGACAAAGACAAGCAACAGTGGGTACGCGTGAGAAGTAGCCCGAAGAAGAAGAAGCGGGGGTATGGCAGCTTTCTGGAGCCGCCGAGCGATGTTACCAGCAGTGATGATCCGTTTGGAGAGATCTCAGATCTGCCTGTCGACGAAAGGAAGGAGGAGGAAATCCGCAGAGCTAGTGCTGCCAGATCACGTGTTGTCTCTGCCGACAACCGTGCAGATGTTGCGCACCCCAACATCAGTGAGAAGCGGGAAACCATGCAGGTGCAAATCGAGTCGCGTACATCATCGCAAGAGACCGTCCTTGCCACTAGGCCTACTACGCGGGACAGCAACAAAACTAGACACACGTATTCGAGCTCGGATCCATCACGACACACAGGCCTCAGCTCCAGTCAACAACAACACGAGACTCGTGCGACATCGTGGGGGAATGAGGAGCTAGAGCTGTTAGCGCGACAGGGAAAGAATGTGACGAGGGAACAGCCTTTGGTATATGCGGCCGCCCAGGCCGCTTTATCAATGGCGAAAAACCAAGAGCAGATCCAAGCACCAACAAAAGGCCAGCAGCAAGTTAATATCGGATCAACCCTAGGTCGCCACGATAAGGCCAGCGAGATGATACACGAGGACAGTGATGTTCTCGCAGAACTACAGGATGACACCGAATTCGACGGTGCAGATTCCGATGTAGGGAATATGATGCCTCCCAGGCTCCGTCAGGCGAATTCCAACACCCGCTTCCCATCGCAGTCTGCATTCCGGAGCACGCGTCAGATGTCTCTCCGACGAAAGACGTTGAACAGCCGCTTCAACGACACTGACGCATTAGAGCACAGCGAGCTYTCCTTTGTCGCTGCTCTACCCGGCGAACGTATGATGAGCGTCAATTTGAGCGTCTCACGCCCATTGAGTGCTAGGTACCAAGGGCACGTTGTCGAGGCAAACTCCCCGTCCAAGACTGTGGACCAGAGCTTTTTCTTCAGCGACCTCCCCGACTTCACTATTAGCGAGGAAGATGCCGAACGCCCATCGGAGCAAGCTCTTGCGCATCGGCTGGCCCAGCACGCCGCGGATGAGGTCAACGACCGCTACTCTCTTGCCGTCAAGGACATTGTGAAGACTCTTACGGACGTCTACGAAGAGGAGCCATACTGGGAGACGATGAAGAATCTGGACCTCCGCGATAGGACTGTGACTACACTACATGGATTGGACCAGTTTTGTGGCGCTGTGCAACATGTGGACGTGTCAAACAACAAGCTTGAATTTCTCAATGGCGCGCCTATAACCGTCCGCCAGCTCATTGCGAGGGAGAACCAGCTCAGTAGCCTGACATGCTGGACGCACCTCATGAATCTGCAATATCTTGACATTTCGGGAAATCGATTGGAGAATCTAGACGGCTTGTCTTGTCTGTATCATCTCCGGGAGCTACGAGCTGATGACAATTCGATCACGAGCCTGCATGGAATCGCCGATCTGGATGGTCTACTCAAGCTGCGACTCCGCCGGAACAAGGTAACTTCTGTCGATTTCGGATCAGCGCAGCTTCAGCGGCTCGAAGAGCTGGATCTTTGCGGCAATGGTACCGGGGAAATCCACAATTTGCACGAACTGCGCTCTCTGAAGGTCTTGAAAGTGGATGGGAATCGCCTCGACGGATCCATGGAAGTTCGAGACGCGATGGCGAATTTAAAATATCTGTCGTTGCGTAGTTGTGGACTACAAAAGCTGGACGTGATCTGCATGCCGAAGCTACAGACCCTGCTGTTAGATGACAATTGCATGGCTGATGTCGAGCATGTCGAAGGCCTTCGATACCTCGACCTGCTGTCCATGCGTAATCAGACCCTTCCGGTCAGCAGAAAACTGTCCATCCTATCGCGGCCGCTGCCAGCACGAATTCTGCGCCTCTCTGGAACGGGGATCTCCAGTATGGACTTACCAACAAGCCAGCTTTCGATTCAGCAGCTCGAACTGGCATCTGTTGGATTGCAAGAACTGCCGAGCACTTTTGGCTTGAAGTTTCCCAATCTTACGAACTTGAATCTGAATTTCAACTCGCTTCGAGACATTCGTCCGCTCTTGAACATCCAAAAGCTTGAAGTCTTAAGCTTGGCGGGAAATATGCTGGGTCGACTCAGGAAGAGCATCGCTACCTTGAGCTTACTGCCAACGCTCAAAGAGGTCGAATTGAGGGACAATCCCATCACGCAAGGTTTCTACGCCCCTCACACGGGGTGCGACGAACAGAGTCGCATCGGTAGTGTCATCCGAAGGTGCTCAACTGCCGGAGAGGACACCGAGGATGAGGATGTCGAATACGAGCGTCGGATCGCGGCAACCTTCAATCTTCCAGTCTCGCTTACTATCGATGAGAAGCATTTCGATAGGTTGGACTCGGAGACGAAAATCAGGAGGAGGGTCTATGAGATACTGCTTGCGCACTGTTGTCCGACCATGCGACTCTTGGATGGAGCAACACTGGACCGTGGGAAAGCGATGGAGAGAGATGGAGCGTGGATGAGGCTTGTAGAGTTGGGAGTGGTGAGGAAGTGTAAACAGAACTCGGGACAATTTGGGCTTGGTTTCGAGGTGAAGTCAGAGGACCTGAACAGCATTGCCAGTCAGCGGAAAGCATAATTTTGAGGAGGATAAGGACCTTTGGATTTCTGGAACCGGGTCGTGTTGCATAGCGTGTGTACGATACAGGACTGGGGGTGATGACTGACTAACGTATTATATGGCTGCATGATTATATGGAATCAACTTTCTTCATTCCGCACTTTCCCACACCGTCTTTAGATTGGCTTGCCAAGTCCATCATCCACGAAATTGTAAAGCAGCGCTCGAGCGACAGATTCAATGCGGATGCTGTCATCATGTCATGGGAGAACGTGGTCACGCAGGCAGCAGTCGGTGTGGAAACTGAAACTGCACGCGTAGCAGCCAGGTGTCGTAGTCACGAAGCCAAAATCCCACAGCCACCCGACGTTCTTGTTTTTGACCGGCTCGCCGTCGGCCCCACCCTTCTTTCTTCCAACCTTTTCCTTTGATAACACCAACATCCCTGACACTCTCAAAAGTACAAAGCTATTATTCAAGCACGGCCTGGTACTTTTCGAGTGAATCTGTGTCACTTTCTACCAAAAATGTGGTGGTCGATACCATACGGCGATACCAAAGAGCCATTCTTTTGGGGTACTCGCACCGCTGCTGTCAAGTAAATCACCACAACCGACGATCTACGTTTGCATATGCATGCCAAGCTCCATACAAAGCACTGAGTACACCTTGCTGACACACTGCATTTGTACAGCTTTTGCGAAGAGGTCAGTATTGATCGCTCCCTGAAAACAAAGCAATGACGTTGGACTAACACCACAGTAGGACTACATCATCACTCATTATGTCGCCGAGTTCTTCAACACCCTTACCAGTCTGGCTTACAGTGAGTTTGATCGTTGAGCCTCATCGAATGCAGACGGCTGATGGGTAATTGCGCCTCCAGTTGCCTACGGAATCCACGGAATCCGTCGGTACAAGCGGCAAGACCTCAGCATCTTCGCCGGGGCGAACCTGTCCTACTGGGCACTCATAGGAGTCGGGATCTTTTCCGGTCTATACCATCTGACTTTGAAGTACCACACGCAGATGTGTATGTCCCGCTGATGATTCCGTCCACGTGGCCGTACGCTGACATTCGCAGCCGATGAACTTAGCATGCATCTGGCCATAGGGACTGTGCTACAGCAGGTCTTTACCTTCAAGGAGCCGCCGAAAGTGCAGGTTCGGAACACTGCGATAATTCTTGGTGTCTTGGTGCCGTTTGTGATTTACCATTGCGTGGCTGACGAGTTTATGCTCCATGTTATTTTGTTCTTTTGCATGTCGTTGATCGTGGCACGTCGAGTAAAGAAGCTGATTCGGGAGCAAATCAACGATGCAGGTGTGTATACCTTGGAGATTTGATAGAGAGCCAGAGTCACTAATACTGATGCAAACTTAGACCACCGAGCCAAGCTAAGGTCACTGGTGACTCTAGCGACATTCATGGCCATGTTCGCTTATTTCCTATGGAACATCGATGTCCATTGCTGTGGAACTCTCACACGATGGAAGCGTCAGCTAGGGATGCCTTTGGGAATACTGCTCGAGTTCCACGGATACTGGCATATCTTGACGAGCATATCCGCGTATACTTTCATGGCCATTATTGAGTTCTTGATTAGTGAGGGCGATGCCAACCGAGCGAATGGTTTTGCATGGTGAATATTGGCACATGTTGATTGTCCGCTTATCATATGCTGACACATTCGATCCTAGGCCAGCAAAAGACGTCTTGAAGATGTTACCGACAAAGAACGCAGACGAAACGCCGATGAATGGCGGTGCCAAGGGCGGCAACTGATACCCCAGAGATATACATACATTACTACCAAATCCTCACATTCCTGTGAATCCCCCATCGACAACAATTCCAGTTCCACTGACATAGTCACTCGCTGCGCTTGCAAGGAAGATGACAGCACCCGAAAGATCCACCGGTTCTCCCCAGCGCTTCGCAGGCGTGCGACTCATGATGTAATCATTGAACTTTTCGTATTTCGGATCTGTGGAATACTGCGTGGTGAGAGGCGTGCGGAAGTATCCTGGATGAATGGAGTTGACTTGTATTCCTTCTTCGGCCCATTCATTACTGAATGCTTTGGTGAGCTGCATAACTCCGCCTTTGGATGCTGCGTAGGGCGTGATGTTCTTGCCTCCAATGAAGGATATGATTGATGCTATGTTGATGATTTTCCCAGGACGACCCTATATGGTGAAGGAAGGAAAGTTAATATTCGTCCCGAGAGCACACATGTCTGACTTAAGACTGACCTCTTTCAGCAGTGGCTTTGCGAACTCTTGACAGGAAACCATTGTYGCTTTCAGATTGATGTCCAGGACAAAGTCAATGTCCTCGTCGGTAAAATCTTCGGCTTCTGCTCGCTAAAGAAGTCAGAAGAGTTAGCAGAATTCTACATTTCAGGACGCCATCTGGACGAAAGAGGTATGATCAATCTAGAAAAGTCTCAAGATTCAAACATACCCTTTGCACCCCAGCACAATTCAACAAAACATCCCCTTTAATCCCCTCGGACCAAAGCTTCTGATAAACCTCCCTTAGAGCCTTCGGCTCTCTAACATTACAGGTATACTGCCGAATCTTCCGACCAGTCTTTTCCACAGCGTCCTTGATGGTCTGACTAGCCGGATCCTCTGGTATTTCTATCGAGACAATGTCCGCGCCTGCTGAAGCCAGAGCTGTGGTCATTGCTGCTCCGAGTCCTCCGGTTCCGCCTGTGACTATTGCTGTTTTGCCTGCGAGGGAGAAGAGTTTTGAGACGTCTACTATTGGAGTTGAGTCCACCATGGTGAGGGATTGGGAGGGAGGTGTATGTTCAGGGTTCTTGGTGAGGACTTAAGGATCTTAATGGTTTGTTTGTTTTTTTGAGGTTTATAGTGTAGACTGATGTCTTTTGGAGATTTGAGATCTGTTGGAGAAGGCCATAGTAGTGGCGGGGTAGTCTATCAGTTTGAGGAGAAGCTTGAGGAAGCTCGCTCGATCGGAAATACGGTACGGCTTGATCATCCGCAGCTCTTTACTGGATGTTGTGAACCATATATCATCTACAACGCCTATCCAACAAGATGTAGTATTATACTATACATATTGCCAGGATCAGAACTTATCGGTCCCGAAGGCTAGGTAAGATCGCTATTGGCATTCCTTGGCGTAAGAAGCTATTCTGCCATAGCCAATGTCCACGGCGACATGGAAGGCTTTCGGATCCGGACTGTCGTACATCGTACATTGAGGAGGCGACTCGTGTCTTACCTACCAGGGAATGCAATTAGGATATCCTAAATGCCGCARGACGTAAAAGTTGCGCCTTCAGAACTAAAGTGGGCCAAGCATCACACCATTTCCTGTGAGAATTCGCGAACTCAACGAACGCAAGTTGCGAAAAAACCCGCAGACACTGATGTAACGTAGAAAAGCGACGCTGCGAGGAGATAGCCTTTCATACAAAAGGAACGCGGCCCGTGAACAAGCATTCGAGAATGTAWCAACAACAGAGAAAACGACATGGCGGATACCGTACCCAAAGTAGCTGCGGTCCAAGAGTTGAGTTTGCCCACCGATGAGCCGACTCCTCCCCGACAACATAGAACGTGGTAYAGGACAACCCTATTCAATGCGTTTGTTATCGGAGGAGTTGGGTTCATAGCACCTGGACTCTGGAATGCGTTGAATTCTTTGGGAGCTGGTGGAGGTCAAAGTCCCTATCTTGTTAACGCGGCCAACGCGCTTGTGTTTGGATTGATGGGGATTCTCTGTTTGTTTGGAGGGCCGATTGCTAATACCATTGGATTGAAGTGGACGCTTTTCCTTGGAGCGATTGGATACCCGGTGTACTCGGCTGGTCTGTATTGCAATAATCGATATGGCAATGTATGGCTTGTTCTGGTCGGCGCTGCGACTTGCGGAATCTCTGCTGGTCTTTTCTGGGCTTCGGAAGGTGCTGTTGCGTTGGGATATCCGGAGCCAAGTAAACGAGGAGTAGGTTCTGCTGTTGAATCGATCTGATCTATGCTGATATTGTTTAGCGTTATATGAACATCTGGCTGTGGTTTCGAACTGGAGGACCACTCTTGGGAGGAGTAATTGTCCTCGCTCTGAACAATGATGCGAATGCCGTCAAGAAAGGCAAGGTCGGATATGAAACCTATCTGGTGTTCGTCGCATTGCAGTGTGTTGCCGCACCCATAGCGCTATTTCTCACCCCGCCTGAGAAGGTCCAGCGTGCGGATGGGAGCCGAGTGATCGTACGCGCGGAGAAGAGCTTCAAGGCGGAATTCGTCGCTCTCTTCCAGGTATGGCAATCATCGCATCGATGTGAAACTCTGCTGATATCTAGCAGGTGTGCAAGAGGAGGGAGATTTTGCTGCTTTTACCGGTGTTTTGGGCAGCGTACTTCAACCAATATGCTGGTAACTTCCAGACGTATTACTTTGGCGTACGAGCCAGAGCCTTGATCGGTACTTTATATGCGTTTCTGCTGATATATCTCATGCTGACCTTTCCAGGCCTGACAAATTACATCGGAGCTCTGGTATCCTCACAGATCATCAGCACACTGCTAGATTACAAGAAACTTACCGTGAAGCGACGCATAGAGATTGGCTTCTACTATGTGGTCTTCCTCCACATCGTCGCCTGGGTCTATGGGTGGGTCATCCAAGAGCGGTTCACACGCACGAAACCTGTATATGATTGGGCGGATAAGGGGTTCCTCCAGGGATACTTCGTCTTGATCTTCTGGCAATTCGTGCAACAGGCACTGCAAAACTGGCTCTATTATCTGTTGTCGACCATGACGGACAATATCTCTGAGCTCTCCCGTTTCTCCGGGATCTTGAGAGGTCAAGAGAGCTTTGCACAGGCCGTGTCGTTTGGGATCAATTCCAGGGAATGGAAAGGCGGCAGGGTGCCTTTGGCGATCAATACCGCGCTCTTGGTATTTGCGGTCGTTCCGACGTGGCTGGTAGTCCGGTCACATACTCCACACGAGGCCAAATCCACAGAAGAAATCGAGGTATCAGATCGGAAGGACCTGGAGTAGGAAACTCACTTCGACCAGCTTCTCGGAAAGATCCATGCTGGAATTGCCGGTCTCAACAACCGCAAACCCGTGGCGTCGGAACCTGTGTGAAGGTGATTTGGCTCGATGTGGCGCCGAATGTCGGCGAGCGTGACGTGAGTGGAGGGAGGCAATGGAAAGAACACGCCAGCAAATGAATCGTCTTTCATAGCATTTTGAAGAAGAGCTCTGATGAATGGCGACGAATCTGTAGCGCTTCATCTTGCCAGCTGAAGAACAAACTTTGGTATTTCCGGAGGCATCGCCTAAAGGTGGGCGGAACAGGATGATCTTGGTTGGGGTTTCTAGAGCTTGCCACGTTGTTGAGCAGCCAATGCTTCTAGAAAGAAAGGGTATTTCATAAGGTGGTGGATAAGTCGTATTGTTGATGTAATGCACAGAGTTCTGAAATGAAGTAAGAGCAGCTGTTATGCACAGTCACAGTCCACCACTCCTTCTCTCTTCTCGATGCGGGAACAGTACTGTACCTAGGTACTTCGCTACTTGCGAATCCGACACTAATGCAATGCCGATACAATGCATCTGTCCAGCGATAAGATTCCACTCCAGCACAACATCGTCTGCATACACGAATACCTAGTTCCCATTGTTCGGCTCGGATACTACCCCAGATTTCTCCTCATTCTGCCTACACGGTTAGGTAACAAACACAACCTCGCCCCCCGTACTTTCCCCGCGCCTCGGACTCTGGTCCGCATAGAGAGATGGTGTAAAAACTATCAGCCKCTGGGCTTGATCAATACTCCAGCCGTACCAATGAATTAATCTCGGCTGCATCGATGAGCTGTCAAACAGGACAGGGAGATCGCATGGGAAGGCCAGTCGACGCGGGTGCCAGTGCCACTTGCATGCATACCATGCAACTGCACGCGCGGAGGCGTTTTCGTGCGGGTTAATATATGAAGCAGTCGGAGACTCCGCGTGAAGCGAGTTTCGCTGTTCTTTCGAGATTTTTCCATTGCTAAAGGAATCAGTTTCCTTGCACTCATTCATTCATTCATCCATGTCCTCTTCCAACTCCGACAGAATGACCGACAAGAATCTCGAGAATGGCCATCATGTCGACTATGCTAATGCTCCATACTCTCAAGGAAATGGCGCCAGTCTGCAGCAAACAGCTACGAACACGACACTCACCAATGAGCAGTTCGAACGTCTATATCTGTCACCCAGGAACCAGCCTGTAGCAGGTAACCTTCGAAAGACGTTTGCCAACCCTACAGTCCTTGGTGTTGCTGGATTCGCTGTGGGCTTGACACCCCTGTCTGCTCAGCTCATGGGCTGGAGAGGTGCTGGAGGCGGTACGGGAGATTCTCAGGCAACAGTCGGAGCTACCGTTTGGTTTGGTGGCATGTGTCTGATCATTGCTGGTATCCTGGAGTTCTTCCTTGGCAATACTTTCCCTTTTCTGTGCGTATATTCCCCAGCGTGGTCTTTCGAGAGGCATTGGACGTGTTTCGAAGCCGTCACCGAGCTCCTCAAATTGCGAGAAAAGTGACTGACTTCCGCATGCCGCTCTAGGGTCTTTGTCACCTACGGCGCTCATTTCCTGACGTACGGCGTTACTTTCATCCCCGCATGGAACGCTGTCAGCGCCTACAACGGCGGTTCCCCATATGCCGAAGGGACGCAAGAGCAGACGGCAGCATTCGCCGCGGGATTCGGTAACACACCCTTGAWCCCAATCGAACCTTCCTCGCTAAAAGTTCTCAGCATTCTACGCCTGTACCCTCTGCGTACTATCCTTCATCTTCCTCATCGCCTCTCTCCGAACGAACCTCGTCTTCTTCCTCGTCTTCGTCGCAGCGACCATAGGCTTCGGTCTCGCGGCCGGGGCATTTTGGAATATCGCGGAAGGGAAAACGGCACTTGGTCTGAGGCTCGTTGTGGGAGCTGGAGGTTCATTCTGGGGAGCGGCTATGTTGGGTTGGTATCTGTTGGCGGCTTTGCTGTTTCAGATCATGGAGATGCCATTCCCGGAGCTGCCGATTGTGGATCTTTCGGAGATTATTAAGGCGAAGAAGTCAAAGGTCGTGTAGATGGTTCTCAAAAGCTGTGCAGACACATTTCATTCATTGCATAAATGCTGGGTTCGATCCATTTGTCGCGAGGGGGAGGGTACGACCCACTTGATCAAAGTCACGGTGCGGTATCTTTCGTTCTTGCGTGGTGCAGAATCGAAGAAGAGTCGCCATCGGTAGCGAGATCGAGGAAAGTGGTGCCATTGTTAATTCAGATCTTCCATATCTTCCCAGTCGTCTTCTCCAGCGACTAGGCCGTCTACCATTGCCAAATCAGCGTCGCCAGAGAGGAAAGTTGCCCAGAGATCTAACCCGTCAGCCACCCATACTTGCTGCGCGGATACCTCCTTCGATGCCTCCTCATCGTTTCCAGACACATCAGGTGCCAGACTCAAGGCTCGTACAGCTTTGGTTGGAAGTCGCAGTGCTCCATGCGAGGCGGTGGTGTAGGTTGTCATGATGCAATCGTCATAGATTGCCATGAAACTGACAGGAACTGCAAGTTGCGAGGTGAATCCGGTGGGGAAGCTGAAAGATGGCCGAGCGGTATTGTTGACGGCAACCTTGTTATCGTCCGTAAGACCCAGCACRTACACCTGTCCGCCTTCTATCTCGAATAGGACTCGATGATCTTTGACGGAGAGCCAGCCACCAAAGTCAAAGGTACTACCATCCGAGTCACATTCCACGATCGAAGAATGGAGTTGCATCTTCTCGACACTTTCTAGACTGGATCGCCAGTCGGAGCACACAAAGACTCGTCCACCTCTGGATATCCCAACCATGAGCGACCCGCACAAGCTCACAGCACCCCATTCATCATCGTCGAGCCAAATGCTGTTCTCTCCTGGGTCTGGATAGGTGCCACTTTTGACCTGAATGGGCTTGGTCCGCACAGTACTCGGCTTCTGAGAAGTGCATTGGTTCGCACCGCCGATCAAATTTTCAACGGTATGAGGTCTCCGTCCTGGGGATTGCGAGACGTCCTCGATGTGGAAGTTGCTAGATGTGCACCACTTGGGCTCCATAATTCCGAGACGTTTCCCCAACTTGTCGTATACATAATAGCCATCTACTCCCATGGAATACACGACGACATCTGCATCTTGATAGACGTGTCCAACAGCACCCTCCTCAATGTCAATCTCAGTCTTCAATCTCGGCGTTCCAGACTGCGTCATGCCTTCATATACATAGCCCTTTCCATCAGTCGAGACAACACACAGATTGTCATACGATAGCTGGAAACCGCGAGTCTGTGAATCATGATCTAGAACCGCGATTCGTCTAAATTCTCCTCGTTGGCATCCTGGCTGATCAGTTCTCCAGACTTCCAGAGCATTTCCCTCACGATCCCATACCGCCGTGCCATCTTGGTATTCGAGATGCGCATAAGGCCGAACAGTTTGAGGGCTCAAGCTCCATATCACTTGGTCGGTATCCATGTCGGTGACCTTCATGTCGCCGGTGTGGTGTGTTGAAAGAATCAGTCTCCTTTTAAAGTCGGGTTTGAAGCGCCAGACAGGATCTCTGGTGGAGGAACTGGATCCTATTATAAGCTCCCTTGTGATTGGGGACCGTCGCGACCAATTCTTGGAGAGCAGTGTCTGTCGCTTGCACAAGTCTTTCCATGATGTGACGCCGGCATAGTATCTTGTGAAGCTGGAAGAGTCGGTTTCGAAAGAGGAAAAGTCACGAAAGTCTCTCTGGTTGGGATTGCGAGATGTCTTGGCAGAGTATATGGCATCCTGGTGTGTCGTGTCGATGAATGTGTTCCAGCTTCGGGTGAGGCGGGTGAGGGAGGAGATACCAGACAGGGGAGTGAATTCCAGTATACGCAGGACAAGCTCAGCGGGTAGCAGATGGAGCGGATCGGTCGTCGCCATTTTGATGGATTAGCCCAGATCGCGGTTACAATTGCGATGGCCTGAAGGTTTGCTGGGAGGATGAAATTGGACCGGGTTTCTTTTCTTGGCAGGCGTCATAGGACACGACGCATTCACCTGCTCCTGCTCCTTTAGCTGTCTCCGTACAACACCGCGACAATCGACGTCGGTCCCGCCTGGCTTGGCCTGGGCAATGGGATCGCAGATGCAAGCCTGCCATTCTTGGAGGTCGCGAGCCTACGCAGGCCGAGGAAGATGTGATCTGATCGCGCAGCCATTGCAAGCAGGAGATCTTCTACCGCCAAATGCGAACCTGTCAAAAGCCTCTGTCATCTATCATAAGAAGGAGCAGCCTGCCTTGTGAGAGAACACAAGGGTAACGAGACGCGTGCATACAGGAGATGGAATTTGATCAATATCTACCTTGGTAAGGTAATCTTGTTAAGCCTTCAATGAAGACGAACCACTTTGTACCTATCCCTGCTGAATGCACGCTGTTGGTATGCACAATTCACGGTGACATCAGGATCTCGGAGCAGTCATGTCATATGCCATACATGGTTGGACGGATAAATAGGATGGTACAAGGTGGAGGACCATGTCCTCCACTTCCCTCCTCGACAATGATATGTCCTCCACTTCCCTCCTCGACAATGATCGGCAGCTGCCCCGCCATGTTGGACAAGCTCGACAAGCACTCGGAGAGAACGTGGAGAAGCAACGCCCGTCATGCATGGCAAATGCTTGCATCACAGACCTTCTATTGCCGATTTTGCGCCTGATCATCCTGGTTGACTGCCTTATTGAGCGCATGGAAAGCCGTCCGGCTCAATGCCAATGCGGAGACCGGGTGAACATACGGCGACGTCTTTGATCAAATACCTTACAGTCGAATGTCTCCATTCCTCTTCTTCCAGCCAACTCGAAAGCGAATCCTACAATGTTGTTCCGCAGTTTTTGTCACGCAGCTCTGCTGTCTGTGGCGGCCATTCAGGCTACTGCTTTGACAATCGGCGGGAAGCCAAATCTCTCAATCAAACCATACAAGAGAGAGCCTCTCCAAGATCTCGTCACTTGGGACGAGCATAGCTTGTTCGTCCGAGGCGAGCGCATCCTCTTTTACTCGTGAGTGCGAATGTACTGAAGACGAAAGCCCAGCGACCAAGTCTCATACGTGCACAGCGGAGAATTCCATCCATTTCGATTGCCTGTCCCATCACTTTGGCTGGATGTATTCCAAAAGATCAAGGCCCTAGGTTACAACGGTAAGCTTAATGGACTTCTCATCCAACCAAATACCTAATATCGAACCAGGCGTATCGGTCTATTGGGATTGGGCATTACTTGAAGGGAAACCGGGCGACTTCACAGCTGAGGGCATATTCGCTCTTGAGCCGTTCTTCGAAGCGGCAAAGACTGCAGGCATTTACCTGCTTGCACGACCTGGACCATATGTAAGTCATCAACAAGCCAGACAGACTTGATGGATGGTGCACAGAGTCTCGGCCAAAACATCAAAAGTTCCCTTCTCCAGCAGGAAGCTGATACTTTTAAGATCAACGCAGAGGTGAGTGGCGGCGGCTTTCCAGGATGGATCCAGAGAAACCCTGCTCTGCCACGAACGAGGGATCCTGAATGGCTCGCAGCGAGCGAGAACTACTCGCGCAACATGGCCAAGATTATTGCAAAGGCTCAGATCACGGAAGGTGGACCTGTCATCCTGTTCCAGCCCGAGAATGAGTATAGTCAGGCAGACGAGGAGCTCGATCCCGAATTTCCAGATCCAGTGTATTGGAAGGGTGTTGAGGATCAATTTCGCGACAATGGTATCGTCGTGCCGTTCATTTCGAACGACGCTCGACCCGCCGGGTATTTCGCACCCGGTCCTCCACCGGCCTCTAAAGTCACCGTCGATATCTACGGCCACGATGGATATCCCTTGGGATTCGATTGCGCCAACCCATACACGTGGCCTGCAGCAGCCCTTCCAACCAACTATGGCGAGTTGCACATCAACCAGAGCAAAAGCACCCCCTATTCTTTGATCGAATTCCAAGGCGGGTCATTCGATCCGTGGGGAGGTCTCGGATTCGCTCAGTGCTCTGATCTGATCGGTCCCGAGTTTCAACGTGTCTTTTACAAGAACGACTTCTCGTTTGGCGTTACAATCTTCAACATTTACATGACATACGGTGGCACCAACTGGGGCAATCTTGGCCACCCGGGTGGATATACAAGCTACGACTACGGCGCTGTAATTGCAGAGGGCCGTGAGGTCAACAAGGAGAAGTATTCGCAGGCCAAGCTCCTTGCCAACTTTTTGCAAGCCTCGCCAGCCTACTTGACAGCGGTCTATCAGAACAACAGTAATGCGAACGGATCTTACACCGGGAACTCGGCGATTGCGACCACTGCATTGTTTGGCAACGTTACCAAGTTCTTCGTCGTACGACAAGGAGCTTACCAGTCTCGGGAGACGGTCAACTACAACATCACTTTGCCCACTAGCAAAGGAGATATCAGCGTTCCTCAGCTAGGTGGTAGCCTGTCCATCCATGGAAGAGATTCGAAGATCTTTGTGACCGACTATGATGTTGGAGGGTCTGCCAACTTGCTCTACAGCACAGTCGAGATATTCACATGGAAGATCTATGGCTCGAAGAGTGTCTTGGTGCTATACTCTGGCCCGGACGAAACGAACGAGCTAGCATTCTCGAACTGCGGCGATGCTAAGCTGATCGAAGGCGATGGCGTTCAACTTGACAGTAAAGATGACGTGACCATCATCCACTACAACAGTAGTCCGAGCAGAAGGATCGTTGAGCTCAGCGAAAATGTCATTGTCTACCTCCTGGACAGACAGGATGCTTACAACTACTGGGTGATTGACTTGCCAAACGACAGCACAACTGGAAACTACACCAACAACAAGCTCTCCCCATCCACACCTATTGTCAAAGCAGGTTATCTCCTCCGTACTGTTGAGGTTGTAGGTCAAAGCATGCATCTCACAGGTGATCTCAATGCAACCGCCCCCATTGAGATCATTGGAGGTGCTCCCGGTTGCTTGGAGAAGCTCACATTCAACGGAGAGTCGTTGGATTTCACGCAGTCTGAGACTGGGGTAGTGTCATCTTCTGTTCATTACTCCGAGCCGGAGGTGTCCCTGCCGGATCTTACTTCGCTCCAGTGGAAGGTGATTGACAGCTTGCCCGAAGTTCAATCCAGCTACGACGACAGSCTGTGGACGACCGCGGACCTCAAATATAGTAACAATACCGCCAGAAATCTTACCACTCCCACCTCACTGTACTCCAGCGACTACGGCTACCACACGGGCAATCTGATCTACCGCGGCCACTTCACTGCCACTGGAAACGAATCATCATTGTACTTGGCGACCCAGGGTGGTTCTGCGTATGGTCACTCAATTTGGCTCGATGACAAATTCGTCGGGTCTCTGTATGGTGCTGATGTGATCATCTTCTACAATCAGACTTACACACTTCCCACTACAGTGGCCGGCAAAGAGCATGTCATCACTGTGCTGATTGACAACCAAGGGCTGGACGAGAACGGCGAAGCTGGAGAYAGTAAGATGAAGAACCCAAGGGGCATCACAGACTACAGCCTTTCTGGCCGCAGCCAGACGGATATTACGTGGAAGCTGACTGGCAATCTTCATGGCGAGGACTATGAAGATCGGACTYGCGGTCCACTCAACGAAGGTGGATTATACGCCGAGCGACAAGGCTATCATCTCCCTGGCGCCCCAACGAAGTCCTGGAAGGATAGTGCTGGACCAGCAGAGGGTATCTCCGCACCCGGTGTCGCCTTCTACGCAACCACGCTCGACCTCGACCTGCCAATTGGATACGACATTCCGCTGTCTTTCTCTTTCACGAATAGTAGCGCGGCGGACGCCAACATCACCACGCAAGGAAACGCCGTCTCAAGCTACCGCTCGCAAATCTACGTCAATGGGTATCAATTTGGGAAGTACATTAACAACATTGGCCCTCAAACGGTCTTTCCCGTTCCCGAAGGAATCCTTAACTACCATGGTAGCAACTACATTGCCGTCAGTTTGTGGGCTCTGGATACAGATGGCGCAAAGGTCAACAACTTCAGCCTGATCGCTGGTCATCCTGTTCAGACCGGGTTTGGCCCGATCGAGCTGAGTCCTGCACCAGAATGGAAACAGAGAGAGGGAGTCTATTAATAATGATGATGAAATGAATAGGTACTACCAACTAAAGATAGCATGAAATCTACTTTTTGACAACTTTCTCGAGCCAGCTCTGTATCGGTAACAATGCCCTCCTCGGCAAACCCTTATACCTCTCCTCATCAAACGTTGCGTTGATATCCTTTGCCAATCTTTCAGCCTTCATAATAACCATCTTCTTCGAGTTACCAGAAGGATGTTCCCGATCAAGAAACGCAGCCACAGAACCTTCCAACTCACGTCTCTTCCCTCGCACATCCACACCATCCGCCTGCTCCGCTTCGCAAAGCTTACAAACGCATCGAAACCCCCACGTGGTCTCCAATTTGGTTTGTCGGGCATCATAGTCCGTGGACTCATCATAGCTGTGCGTAATCTCTTCCCCTGCAACTATATCCCGATTTGCACGCAAGATGAGCATGTCCCCGATATATTCCTTGTTAGCATTCGCCAAGCAGGAATGATTCGCAGTCGCGGCAATGAGCCACAATCCAGTGCTTGCGTATCGCGCATCTTCGTTTTGAGAGGGATCGACTGGGCCAGGACCGAAAGCGTTTCGGCAGACAATATCGTGGATTTGAAAAGTATCGACCACGGGACCGTCTTCTCCCATGATGGTTTCGGTCCCGATGCTTTGCCAATCGCTGTAAAGTTGCATGACTTTGGCGATTTGGCTGGGGTTGTTGAGGAGTTTTTGGACTACGACTTTGGAGAGACCGGCTGGGAAGGCTCGAATCTTCTCGTCTCGCGCATCGAATGTCAYTGCTGTCCAAGCGTCCTTTTCGTGATTCCATGCTACGCGGAAAGCTTTCTCGCAGAGGATCAGGTCTCCGGTCGGGATGTCTTGGGCGGCGAACATTCCTCTTCCACMGAGTGAGCTTTTGTCTGTCTTGATTCTGTTGGAGAAAGTTCCGGCGTCTACTCTTGGACGAGCTGTGGAAAGTTTGAGTCGCATTTTACTGAAGCTGTATTCGCCGGAACGCTGTTCGTTGAGTCGAGCATCGATGTTGCGCAGATATGTGGCCGTGTCTTTGTCTTCTGGTGATAATTCCAGAGCTGATTGGAAGAGCTTTTGAGCTTCGACGAATTCTCCTAGACTGTATGCTGCAGAGCCTGCTCGGAAGTTGGCTTTGCTGTCCAGAAGCTTGTACTTCTCGTCTGCGATCCCGGTGATCGCGGCTATTCCATCGGCTCTGGCTTCGTCAAATCGACTCAATATCAGGTTGACATGGGCCCGATTGCGGTGGATGTCTTTGGACATGTCGGGCTCACCCTCCTTTGGCTTTGACTCAAGACCTTGGGTATAAAAGGCATGAGCTTCCCAAAACTCCTTCTTTTTGAGAGCTGCATTTCCCAAGTCCTTGCATYTCTGTTGAGTTCTGATGATCCTCCCCATTTGTTCGTCTGGCATGCGTATCAAATCTGAAGGGTGATGGACTCTAATCGTCGGCTCTCCCTGTTCATTGATCGTGAAATATGGCTCCTTGATTTTGAACCAAGGTCCCGCTTCCAGCATATCTTCACCTCCTTTGACCTTGTGGAGGTATACTTCAAGTCGCTCTACTTCGCCTGCATCATCCTCAACGACTGTCCAGGAATATGCTACGAGCGGAACTGCGGGAGCAGAGAGACGAACTCTAACTTGAGCTCGACGAACGTTGAGCACTCGACCACGATGATGCGTATCAATCTGTAGCTCAGAGATCTTCATCGGTGTAAGATCCTCCAATTTGGCGGTACATGGTGGAAAAGACATTCCCACGGCCAGAGCAACCATAGCATCGCTTCGATTGCTTGTCGACATTCCTTGATCGGGCTCTCCAGACATGTCGGCCATTATACCCGCTTGAGTGGCTTCGCTTACAGCTTCTTTGCGGTCTCTGGGCTTGCGAGCCTGGCCTTTTTGTTCTCGACATTTTTGTATTCTAGTTTGTACGGTTTTTCGCATTAGGTCGGATTCTTCCGGGGTCATGAATATGGTGTGAACATATTCATTTGCAGCGCTTTTTGGCTTGGGTTTGCCCATGGGTAATGTGGCTTCGGAAGCCATGTTTATGTATGAATAGATCTAGAAATGGGTAAATGCTTCGCTGCTTTTCTCTGCAAATGTCAGATGCCTCCGGGTTAGTCTTCCTCACGCAATTTTTCAGGGTTTGCTTCCGCCATCCGTTGTTAAGCTAATTACTCATACTCTTGGTGTCCTTCGGACCGTCCCGTTCTAAGGCCATTGCCTTCAACCTCAGCTGTTCCACTCCATCACATCCGCAGTCTCCATGCATCACTTGTCGCTAGGCGGCAATTATTTGCAGGCATACAAGACGAGCTGATCTCCTGGGTCAAACTTTTGCTTGAAAATGGAGCAGGTGATGCTACACAGCACAGCCTGTCGACTGATCGGTTTTTGCAAGGCCATGGTGCTGGATGGCGGCCTGCCCTTGGTACGACTCTTGAACTTTTCTCTTGAATCGTCAGCCCGTAGGGAGTAAAGTGGCCTTGGCCGGAGTGTAGTCTGATATGGACACCGTCGGATGGAACATCTGGTGAGGCCTGTAACACGGCCGTGTTTGACATCGTCAAGCTTGCTCGATCCATCCTAAAAGATCATTCTCATCCGACATCGCACCTGCTAAAGGCATTGCCTGGCTTGCGCTCGGGCGGATCGTGACTGCCCATTCACATTGTTCTTCAACTCCGCTTACGTCACGTCGTTCTCCAAAGCTCGAGAAACGGATTTCCGCGTCTTCGTTTGTAGTGGACRTCTACCTCCACTTTCCACAACCACACTGTACGCTCGTGTGTAAATGAGCGCGCTCAATCTCTCATCCGCAAACATGGCACAGAAGCACTTTGACCGGCCAGCAGAGGCCAAGTACTCCAGCGGCATCATCGCATCGTAAGTCGCCAGCGAGTTTTCCGGAGCCTAATTGACGATCTTGTAGTGCCTTCAATGACCGCTCCAAATTCCCAGACCTTACCGTCACATGCAACACCAAATCTTGGTACTGCCACAAACTGGTACTCTGCGGTCGATCGGAATGGTTCCAGAAGGCATGCTCCGGGAATTTCAAAGAAGGCGGCGCAGATACGATTGAAGTCCAGGAGGAGAACCTCGACGCTTTCGAAGCGATGTTGAGATTCTGCTACACACTCGATCTGGAAGACAAGGACACTACCGCCATGTTCAGTGTACAGGTGWTCTCTCTCGGCGAAAAGTACTTTGTCAAGGGACTGATTGCACTTGCCGCCGAAACCTTCGCCGGATGTGTTCGAGCCAAGCAGAGTACAGAAGGTCTGTCAGTGGATATGGCAGAGGCGTTGGTCTATGCCTACAGCGACACCAGTGACGTGGACAGGTTATTGAGAGACACCATATCGAAGGCCATGATGGATAACAACGGAGAACTCATGCAAGGGAAGAACGAAGGCGTGTTCAATCAGCTTGTGGAAACCCAACCCGAGTTCGCGGCGGACATCGCCAAAGTCCTGTCAAAGAACCTCAAGCGGAAGCGCGACAGATCGGATGGAGACAACGTAGAGGTAACCGGGCCTGGGATTGTCGGTTCTCCTATCGATGCGATAGTCCCGGACCATACTCGAGGTCACGGTCGCGGGTGGTTCCAATGTCCGAGACGCTGTGGCGGTACTATCTACTCCTTGGCCGCACAGGATGGTCCTTCCACTTCTCGATACAATCTGCATTGTTGGAACTGCAAAATGAACTCTACCCAAATTGCGGAGTTCTGGAGACGGAACTATGCCGCTCTGGCGCCTCCCAGCTGATTCGTACATTGCAAACAAACACAACTTGAGCACGGGTTTGGTTTTCTTCGGGGTGAACCGAAGCCATGTGAGTACCGTGGGACATTCAGCTGGTGCTCAATACAAGCTGCAGCTAGGAACTAGATCGACATCAATGCAAAGGCTCGCAGTCCATTCAATGGGGCAGTAGGAGGCTGGAAGTAAGAAACATGTGTTTTCCTACAAGAATTGACGTGGACTTAATTTGTATGACAGCACAAATGTTCACCTTGACCTGCTCATCTCCCGAGTGCTCGTAAAACGAACGAGGAGCTTTGAAAGTGAAACGATGAAAGAGTGGCGTATGACATGGGAAAGAGTTATTGCCCCCGTGTATTCCAATAATAAGAACGTAATGAACCGCAAAAGACATCTCTCCAGAGGTCAGAGTTGATAATGCCTGTTCTATCTACCTGATCACTTACGTCCACATATGTTGTTAGCTCACGGCACTGCTGCGTGATGGAAGCACCCGAAATAAGATCCACTTCATTGTTCTCCTCCATCTGGTCTTCCTCTCCTCCATCTCGACTCGCAGATCATGTCCTTCTGTTCACCACTTCTGTCCGACATCGTTCTCGATTGAAGAAGACATACGTCCATTGACTAGTTGAAGTGAAGTAGTCGAAGAAGTATCATGTCGCCTCGTAAGTATTCTCCCACAGAGTGATCTTCTGTAAGCGCTCCGAGTAGTTTGCGACAGCTTGCTCTAGTCAGTCCAAAGAAGGCGATGTCTGGACTGTCGATGTGCATGAGGTGACCTGTGTGCTCTAAGGCAGCTCTGGAATATTGCTACAAGTTGAGAGATATTGTTCTAGATTGTTGGCCTGTGATGTAACAGCTCGTCAGCACTGTAAAGTGGAAGACGCCCTTGCAGATCCACGCGAACTGACCTCAGCTTGATAGGTGAGTACGGCTATTCATGCGTCAGCTCGACTCCGACTCTCTCTCTCTCTCTCTCTCTCTCCAACATCTACGTTCACGATCTCAGACGCCATCGCAACTGCAAACACAACCGCATCAAGTACCGCGTGTGCAAGTGTTGTGATGGGACCGCCCGCGTCTTAGCTCCGCTTCAAAAGTTGTTCTTCTCTTCCTCGACCCGCGAATTCCTGTCTTCGCTTCATCACTCCCACCATCGTACCAAGATGGCAGAATCCAACTTCAACCAGGCGGCGGAGCAGCGGCAGCAATTGGATAGCCTTGCTTCGTAAGTCGTCCATGGATACCGAGATGCTGCGCGTCACTTCACTTCATCAAAGACATGCTAACCTTTGCAGATGCTTCAACAATCCAGCCAGCTTCCCCGATGTGACAATGACCTGCGATGGAAAGAAGTGGCGATGTCACCGGATGGTCCTGGGCATGCGATCTGAGACGTTTCGACGCATGTTTTCTAACAACTTCATGGAAGCCGGCCAGTCTGAAATTCCCCTTCTCGGATGCGACCCTTTCGCACTGGAAGCTGCCTTGGAATACTGCTACACCCTCAAAGTCCGATGCCATGACCTAGCGCAAGATGGAAAAATGAGCCTGGCGCTCTTCCACGTCCACCTTTTCGAAATCGGCGAAACTCGTTTCATCAGAGGCCTCGCCGGTCTAGCGGCAGACGGCTTCAAGAGAGCCATCGACTCTGACGACATTACTCCCGAGCAACTAGCCGAAGCAATTAGAGCAGCGTATGCCGTGTCAGATCCTACGCGACTGCTGCGCGACCCCATCATAAACAGAGTGCTGAACAACAAGGAAACATTGTTGAGTGGTAGCATGCGTTGCTTCAACGAGCTAGTTTCAGGGGGGTCAGATTTTGGATATGAGATGATAAGGGCTCTGAGGGCCCACACCGGATCCGCCAACATTCCGCTTGCTCGCCTCCAGGTGCTGGCAGGTGATCCGACGGGTCGCCGCGTCGCCATCGGGCTGGTTGCCATGGACAATCCAGTCGGCGGTAATACGAACAGTCCGCCAGTTCTCGTGGTCACCGTTGGAGTGGACGCTCAGGGCCGCATCAACTACCGCGTTCGCGCCACCGACCTGACAGGCCACACCGTTCTTGGTGGTGCTAGCCGTGCCAACTCTATCAGCTGGACGGGTCTTCTCGCCCGCCGTCTCCAGCTCCTCGGCCGATTCACCTGTGCCACGGAAGCTGAAGTCCGAACCTTCGCCACCAACTTGGACGCATCTGTTCGTTCGGGGGGAAATACCGATGCAGATCGCCTCCCACTGGCCGAGCGCTCGCCAAGCCGTAATTCGAACGGTCAGGGCCGGCGCTCGACCGCATACTAGGCAGCTAGTGCGCTCGGCACCAATCGCTCGAGGGTCAGGCGTTTTGGGAGTGCAATTGTTTGGGATACCTATGGGGATAAGGAGTTTTTGGGTACTAGACGACCTATTAATTGTCCCACGGGTCGTACTTCAATAGGCAATAAAGCATACCAATGAAGTTCGATTCCCACTTCTCTGCTTCACAACTCGCAACACGTCTAGAGACTGAGTCCTACACGCTTGATTGTCATCCTTGTGGCAAGATCTTCAACAAGACTGTTGCAAAGTGGCGCAAGTACCACCAGGTCGAAGCTCGAGAGGATGAAGCAGCTAGCGAAGGCTCTGCAGACGTATTGCCCGCCGGATGGTGAAGTTACCTGTAAATGAGTAGCGACCGAGCAAACGCTGTTTGTGGATTGTATCGGCATGGGCGGAAATCAGCTGGAGGAACGAAGAGCAAATTTTCACAACCTCAGAAAGACACGTACCAATCTCATTGTCGCCTTCCATTCCACCTCACATCTTGATCCTAGACCATGAACGCGCTCTAAACCATCTGTAACACAAAGGAGTTTCATTCGCTAGGCTGGGTACCACCGTTCTCCCTCCCCACAGGTCGCAAGAAGCTCGTAGTTCGCGTCGCATTGTAGATCGTCCCGAGAGTCTCTCAGATTCAATCGGACAAGCAGGCAGCATCGCCCGCCCCAGCACCCTTCCCACTCGGCGTATCGCAGTCTACGTCGATACCCACTCACTTTCTCCGGTACCTCAWATACCGTCCACCCTGTGCCACACCACCGTTGCCATTGTTCCGACTCATCGTCAGAATCGGTCGCTCTTCGTCAGAATGCATACTCGCCAACGCGAAAGAGTCTGTGTTGTGTCCAAACAAGAAGTAAATTCCATCCTTGGTCTTCTTGACGCTCATCGTCCCAATGCTTCCCGTACTCTGGCTTTGCTTGACAGAGGGATGGTCCATGAAATCGGTCTTGATGAAGCCCGCAACGGCTTCTTCTTCCATGCAGCTTTTGTATTGGCCACGTACTTTGCGTTGGCTTTGGTATATGCGTTCCGAGCAGAGAGCTGCGGCCATGGTGGTTGTCATGTGCTCTCCTGTGCCGCTCGTAACAGTTGCTACAGTCTTGCCTTCGGGATCGTCCTCGTCTGTAGGTATGACCGCTGCGCCAATACCAACAAGAGCAGCTGGCCCAACGCGGCCGCGATGTTTCATACTAATACCACCAGAAGATGCGCCACATGCGATGTTGCCAAACATATCAATGGCAATGACGCCCACGGTGTCAGTGATAACGTCCTCTTCCGCGGAGGGRGTCGCTGATAGGTTGTGGGGAGAGATAACATATGCTGAGTGCTCGGTATTCGAACTGGAACTTGGAGACAGATGTGGATCAACATGGTAGGTTCCAGTGGAGGAATCGAAGTGGACCGAAGGGTTCACAGGGAGTATGTTTGGCTCAACGTCATTTGCATCGCGCATCGAGAGTTCTCGGATTCCGGGATCGGGCGGGGATGCAGTAACTTGCTGGGGCGGCGATKACTGCACACAATTCTCGTAGAAGTAGTCCGTTCCGGTATCCATCTCATGATAATGTCCGCCGCCGTTAATGGCAGCACTGGCAAGGTTGGGCAGGCAAGTGGAAGACGGAGGTGGCGAGACTTGCGTGCCATTTGCAAATGGATGATTGACCATAGCACGCAGCGATTCTGGTCGAGACAGCGGATCTGGATCGCTAGCCTCGTCTGGGTGGCGATCAGGAGTCGTGTTACCAGTGTTGTCAGTAGCTTTCGTAGAATGTCCCGAGCTAGATCGTGCTGGTGTGGTGATCGATTTTGTGTCCAGTCGGTCGGATCGTGGTGGCGACGCTGTCTGCGCATCGAACGGCAAAGCTTCCACGTACTCGCAGGCTGTCTGCGCACCGTAACGGTGCGCTAGAGCTTCTGCGCACTCTCGAGCTTGTGCGTACACCAAAGCTTCTGCGTACATGCGGTCTTCATGTGCCTTGCGCTCGCGCTCGCTTTTGTCATGGCTATCGACCGTCCGGATGAATTCTCGAACAGAGGCGGAAGAGGAAACGCCGAATTTCTCATCGTCGTCCTGCTGTTCCCTGCGTTCGGCTCTCATCAGGTCGGAGCGCGATTTTCGCCAACGCTGTCTGACGGTTGGGGAGATGAGGTCTGAGTATGGCACCTGAATCATGCCATGCTCGATGGCAAAGTCGGTGGCGCCTTGGCCGACGAGTAAGTTTGCGGGTACACGCTTAAGGGACAGCAGCTTGGTGGAATGGTCGAGTACGARCCTGGCCAAGCACACTGGGTTTTTGATTTCTGGCGATGTTGTTAGTCCAAGTATTGTTTGTGCGCATTCATATACCAGGATACACTCACGCGCAACAGCTCCAACAGCTCCGCTCGTGCCTTTGTGATCCACGACAACGGCATCGCACTCGGCAACTCCTCCCAGGCACAGATTGCTTCCATAGCCTGCATTGGTGATCTCTCGATCCTCAAGCACTTTAATAGCTATCTCCACTGCGTCGACAGAGGATCCGCCGTTGTTCATGACAGCCATACCGGCCTTGCACGCGCTGTACTAGGTCAGCAGGGCCGTCCAGATCACATCTCCTTCGCCTGAACTCACTCCTGGCAGGCCTTGAGGTGGGCAAACTCATTCTCACGGCTATGGAAGCCTGCGCCACCATGCACAAAGATGCAGGCGAGATCTGTGCCCTTTCTGCTCTTCCCTCTCTCATTTCGGGTGAACATTGTGCCGGCTCTCTTCAGCATATGGCGCCTCAGGACAGCCACTTCCGCACAAGTCGATATGCAGTCGCAGGTATATCATAGGCTGGCAAGAAATGAGTGTTAGAACCGTGAGCGCGTGCGGGCTTGCTTGGTGAAGATGAAGAAGATGAAAAAGAAGATGAAATGAGCGTGGTATGCCGGCAGCTCTGCTCGCCCGGCGGATGTGCGCACTCGGAGGTGAAGGAGAGGATGAGAATGGAGAAGTGCAATGGAAGGTCGAAGGGCGAACCTTCTGTGATTCGTCGTGGTCTGTTCCTTCCGACCTACTTGAGAGGCAGGAGCGCGACCCAGCGTAGTTTGTTCGCCGACTTCACCTACTGATCACCATACCGGCAGTGTTCTGAGGATTCAYGTGTTAGCTTGTCGTTCTTTGCCGTGCAAGAAACATGTGATGGTGATGTGCAGAGAAGTTGATGTCCTGAAGTCTGGACAACGTTTCGAGGTAACAGTGGTCTTGGCGCTGCAGCGATCGCGGGGCGGCGCTTCTTACGCAACATCTAAGCGGCCAGTCCAGGCGATCACATTCGCAGACCAAGCAGAGGACGAGCAAGCGGAACCTCTTCTCACTGCATCTCATACTCTATCTGCAAACAGTCTGCCGATACCACATTTCCCAGCGTACGCATTRACGTTCCACCGCCAACATGGCGAACCAGACTCCTGCTGTTGTCATGGACAAGTATGCGCCAACCTTTCTACACAGCTCTACTACCTCACCACTAACACCTCTTCAGCGGTACCGGATACTCCAAGCTAGGATTCGCCGGCAATGACTCGCCCTCCTTCGTTTTTCCCACCGCCATTGCAACCAAAGGCCCAGCGGCAGGTGGAGGCTCCGGCTCCGGACGCCCCGCGGTCGCCAAYAAGCCATCATTTTTGACAGGCGGCGCAGGGCCTGGGGGTCACTTGTCGGCAAAGAGAGGAACGGAGGACTTGGACTTTTTCATCGGAGACGAGGCGCTGGCAGCATCATCGGGTCCTGGTAAGCCTAGCAATGGCTGGAAGGATGGTAGGACAGGAAGCTGATGTTGAACACAGGATACGGACTACACTACCCCATTCGACATGGACAAATTGAGAACTGGGTAAGATATATGACATCGACAGTTGGGAAAGTGCCAGAGCCTTGCTAACACTCTCACCAGGACCACATGGAGCGCTTTTGGTCCAACAGCATCTTCAAGTACCTGCGAGTCGAGCCTGAAGACCACCATTTCCTCCTGACCGAGCCACCTCTTAACCCACCTGAAAATCGCGAAAACACCGCCGAAATCATGTTTGAATCCTTCAACTGCGCAGGTCTTTACATTGCCGTTCAAGCCGTACTCGCTCTTGCCGCTTCGTGGACCTCATCCAAAGTCCAGGATCGCTCATTAACAGGAACTGTTATCGACTCCGGTGAGGGTGTGACCCACGTCATTCCTGTCGCAGAAGGCTACGTCATTGGCAGCAGCATCAAGAGCATCCCAATTGCAGGCCGTGACATCACCTACTTTGTGCAATCCCTTCTCCGTGACCGAGGCGAGCCAGACAGTAGCTTGAAGACTGCCGAGCGGATAAAGGAGGAGTTCTGCTATGTCTGCCCTGATATCGTCAAGGAATTCGCACGCTTCGACCGGGACTCAGATGATCGATTCAAGAAGTACGAGGTCAAGCAGCCTGGTGGYAAGAGCGTCACGGTGGACGTTGGATATGAACGCTTCCTCGCGCCTGAGATCTTCTTCAACCCCGAAATCTACAGCTCTGACTTTCTTACTCCACTACCAAACATTGTGGACACCGTCATCCAGACATCACCCATCGATGTCCGAAGAGGTCTGTACAAGAACATTGTCCTCTCCGGTGGATCCACCCTATACAACCAGTTCGGCCGTCGACTACAGCGAGACATTCGTCATTTGGTAGATGCAAGGATAGCGGCTTCGGAAGCCAAGGCAGGAAATGCGGCCAAGAGTGGCGGATTGGAAGTTCAAGTCATTACGCACAAACGGCAGCGACATGGTCCATGGTTCGGAGGCTCGCTTCTTGGTCAGACACCAGAGTTCAGGAGCTACTGCCATACCAAGGCGGAGTACGACGAGATAGGTCCGAGCATCGTCCGCAGATTTGCATTGCTGGGAGGCCCAGGCAGTACGTAGGAGAGATCAGTGAGCATACCGTAGCGGAGTGATGTGGGCGAATATCTCTAGGCAGAGAACGAGGTCTGAGCTTCCAGTGTCACTTCCAGCGCCGGTAAGGGGTTTTGATAGAGAAGATGGGTATGAGACAAAGACTAGAACGAACTCGAAGATCATCACCATCTTTGTGATACACCTTGCTTACCTGTTGCTCAGGCACTGGACCACTCACTCTTCAAACACTATTTCATCCCAGAGGAACGCGGCCTACATCTGTCTAGCATCCAAAACTGTACCGAGCCACAGTTTAAAAGCGTACTCCCGTTTCGTGGAGACCATCGACATTCCACATCCCTTGCGGTTCTACTTAGTCGAGTAAGCGCATATAGGCGCCATTCCTCACGAGAACCAGGTATTTGGTACATTTATGACATTGTGTTGACAATACGCCGGGTCCAGGGGCGGCTCCTTGGAATGCCACATTGCGGAGACGACTCCGGGGCTTACTCTTGTGATTCATGCAAGATAGTTTGCTAGTAGCGTCGCATGGAACAGATCCATGGGTTGAGTCTGCGATGCGTGGATTATGTCTTTCGTGCGTCTAGGTGGTGGATGTGCCATGTAACCCCATGTGTCCGGTTGGCAGATTGTGGCAGTCGATACCTGAGGTACTCTTGGGCGCGGAGAATCTCACCACTGTCACTTTTCTCCTTGCGTACCTGAGGCCTGTGTCAAATTTCATGGACTGATCAGCCTGCTGAAGGAAGGAATGTGGTTGACCCACCATTTTGGCTGTGACATTCGAAGATTTGATCACTGGAAGAGGTCACTCGCCGAAAGAAAGGAGAGGTTTTGCAACGACGAACGCATAGTCGACTGCATGAACAAATATCTTCATTCGGTGAATGTACGACGAAAGTCCAGTCGTCTATCGAGGGGTGAGTGCCAGTTCCTCCTTCTCTTTTCTATCTCAGTGATATGTTGAAAGAGCGGAGCGGCCTCGCATATTAAATCTGTCATTGGCCCGGATAGTTCCGGCGCTAGCTTAAGTCCAGGGAAAACAGCAATCCTCTCCGGCCTCTTTTTTGGTCAAATCGTGGGGAGAGCGCAGAGATGGAAGGGCGGTCTTCACTTGCTCCCCTTGCGTGCTGCGATTCGATTGGTGTGGAAACAGCCGGCGCTAGTCTGGGTCCAGAGCATCACTCACTTTTTTTCTTGTGTAAGATCTGAAGCTACCTTTCCAGCTTAGATGTCTTGAATAGTAAATTGCGAAGCGAGAGACAGTGAGTTACTCCATTTATGAGAAGATCAAGGACATTGCATTGCTGCCGCTCTAATTTGCCGTCTCGAGAGTTGGTTCTAAGACAGCGGGATCTGTTGCCCCATTCGAGCTATACATAGGTAACCTTTCCGAAGATATTCAGCGTCTGCAGCATTTGTCCCCCTCGCGGCTATCGAGATATGTTCGTKACACCTTAGGTGGATTCCAGCCAGCATGAAGACAGGAGCATCAACCGGAGTACCGGAGCATGAGACTTCCTTGGCCAAGCGATTCCACTGATGCAGATCTCGGTTTGACACCGCCAGCTTGATGATCTTTGTAACGGACACCGTATCGCTCTACGCAATGCATGGCACATCTTGCATTCTTGCTAAGCTTCCAGCCGTCAGACCAACTCATTATCAAAGCGTCATGATCGAGGTCGAACGAAAAGTCCTTGCGTCCTCGGGCACGATAACATCTTGACGGCGCCTAATAGAGGCTTCCGACCGGGTCATCGTCACCCTGCATGAGCAGCCAATTCCACGTTGTCAGGAGCTGTGCGTGATTTCCCGAAGCAACGGATCCTCACAGGTGCAACACCAGAATTGAGGAAGCACACCGGAAGTGAGGTCCGCTGTGTGACCTCGGAAGTTGGTACCCCGCCGCCGTTTGTGCGGACTCAACTCTGATGATTCCATTTCCTTTAGACTCCACAGACGATTTCGCCGCCGGTGTCAGCTGTATAACGGGTTTCATCGACTTTGTGTTGGGCTGTCTCGTAAGTTTCGTCCTTGTGGCAGCTTCAGAGAATCAGAGCATGCAATTCGTAGCGCCGTTGGAGTCTCAACCAATGAGCGGGTGATTCGTGAATACCGCACGGAGCTACACATTTGGTAGCTTGAGAGGTACCACAGAAATATCGCATCTGCCGAGTCCGGCAGATGTTTCACTATAATCTGTGGGGCGGATGACTTAAGTCGTCTGTGCTATAGATGATATGTGAAAAAGCATCATTGTATCATTCTACGATGAGACTGCTGGTGATGGGGAACATCTCCGTAGATAAGGTAGCAAGACGTAAGTTGGTTGCTTGTGGTCTAGATCTGCCAAATCTACCCGCGTCTCCCTTGCTTCTTCACACGGCGTGGAGTGCTTGCTTTTCGGCTATGGATGGCTTATGGTATGCTGGTCTCCCCAAAAGCATACTGAGTCGTGGTCAATTGATCGACCCTTGCTTTCCGCAGAAATGCATGCGCTTCCCGGTCAACATAGACGCATCTTCCTCTTACTCCGCCCGGGCGTGCAGAGATTTGTGACGACTGTAAATTGACCTTTGCCATTTCCACGGAATCTTCCGACGCCAAACGGGCCGAGAACGCGCCGCTTTGCCGTGCATGAGCGTACGTGAGCCGTTATATCGATCTTCCACAGACTGGGCCGCCGGGAAGGGGAGGATAGAGGGAAAGGAAGGAGTAAGAGATAGAAGCTGTTGGTAGGAGTAGCAGTAGCAGCAGCAGCAATACGGGCGAGCGCAGCGACACCAGCACTTCCAATCTTAAAGTCGAACCATCACCACTCTGGCGATCATCGTGGGTCGACCGCCCAATGCACGAGAACATCCAAGGCGCTCCAAGCTCATACCAGCCCACCGCTACGGTAGAGCCCCATATACCACACCCGCAAGCTGCTGGCGGTCAGGCGCAGGCACAGGCGCWAGGCCGAATGCGATCCAGCATCGCATGTATACGATGCCGGCGGTCCAAGGTCAAATGTGTGAACAACGGGATCGGAACGACATGTAGGACGTGCGACAACTCGGGCAGGGAGTGCTCTTATCCATCGCCGCTGGCCAGTGGGAGCCGACGACGTGACAGTCTCTCGGGACGGGGTGAAGACGGCGAACGACGCCAGCGAGCGCGCAAGAGTACGAGCGCCTGGGTCGGAAATGCCGGACCGGCCTCGCGGGAGAGTTCCAGACCGATACTCGATGCGCTGGATATGAGAGTGCTCACGCCGACTGTATGGCAAGAGCTGTTTGACATATTCCAAATCCACTACTCTGCGGATCTACCATTCCTACATCCTCCTACTTTTCTCAGGCCCCTTCGGCAGGCAGCTTGTCCACCACCCAACGATGCGAGTGCACCTCCAGAGGGGGTCAGACCCCCTGCTTCGACCGAGTTCCTGCTGGCATTTCTCGCACTGACGGCTCGGTTCCACCCTAAGCTGGTCGCGCATCACTCTCCTTCGTCATCCACACGGGCCAGCAATCCGTTAATCGCATCCGACTACTACGCCGCGGCCGCGAATCGACAGATGGCGAACTTGTGGAGCGATAACCGTGCACACAACGACATCAATCGAGTTCAGGCCACTCTCATGCTTGGACTGCATGAGTGGGGCATGTGCAGAGGAGCAAAGGCATGGCTGCTTGTGGGAATCGCTATTAGATGTGCACAGGCCATGGGCTTACAGTACGAATTGGAGTTGGACGACGAACCAATGTCGAGATCACTAGCGCTCAAGTGCGAGGCAGAGCGCATGGGCGTTGATCCCGATCGTAAAATGTCGAAATCGGAAAAATCTGGCGACGATGCTTTTATTCAGCAAGAGATTCGAAGGCGAACATTTTGGAGCTGCTACATCATGGACCGATATCTCAGTAGTGGCAAATACCGACCTCAGATGCTGCTCGCAAGAGAGCTTAGAATTCAGCTTCCAGCGAGTGAGCGGTCTTTCCTCTTCGCGGAGAAAGTTCGGACTCTTATGCTGGGTGAAGAGGACAAGACTGATACCATTCCCGGAAGAGCGGATCTTCAAAGTCAACGACAACAATCGGTGATGCTAGGGACCGCGAATTGTACACCCGACCTGAACATTGCCTCGCCCAGGAGCATGGCACTTGAGAATGACGAGGAAAAGGGGAGAATGGAGATTGGACCTGAGGAGGGACTGGTCAGCCGCTATGTCAAGGTTTTGGAGATTTATGGCAAGGTGATTAAGTGGGCTTGCAGCGGTGGGCGGAGGTGAGTCGACCATGTTCTACATCCCAGACATTGCYAACATGTACAGAATTGAGGAGTGGCCGCCATGGGATCCACGCTGCAATTTTTTCAAACTCCGCCGACAATGTCAGGAATTCAAAGCCAGTCTACCACGACAAAACGCCCTCACCCCTCAAAACACCCAAGCTCACATCAGCATGAAGACATCGACACCGTACACTCTGGTGCATGCTGTGTATCTCTTATGCCAGATAATGCTACATCGCGAATATGTGCCATTCATCCCAATCCGCTGCGCCAAACCCGAGGGCCCGGTAGATCCACCTCTGTTTCCGGCTGATAAATATCTCGTTCCTCCTGGCTTCTGGGAGGATACCGCGCGGCAGTGTTTCAAGTCGGCTCGAGAGATTATCGATCTGGTCCGGACTTGCCAGGAGTGGAGTGCGCTTGTTGAGACTCCCATTATTGGTTTCGCCATCTATACAGTTGCGTTCAATGGTGTCTATTGTATAAACTTTCCATGGATGGACCCGGATGGATACATGTGTACAGCGTCATCGTCAGCAGCACATCTGAACAGCTCCCGAGCTGGTGAAAGCCAGGGGTTTGAGGCTGCGAGGAAGGCCTTGGAGATGATTGGGTCGATGCGACCCAAACTCCACATGGCCGACGGGTGGTTCAAGACGATCAATAAAATGCACAAGTACTTTCGAAAGTTGAAGAGCGATTATCGGAAAAGCTCCCAGACAATGGAGAGTTCTTCGGAGGGAGACAGCCCCATCAGCACACGGCATCTCAGTCTGAGAGAGGGAGGCTCAGGAGGAGGTTTGAGTGAATTCCGACTACTGGAAAGGACATTGCAGGAGTTTGGAAACCTTGAAGATGAGGATGTGGAGATGGGAGACCTGCAGCACGATGATTCAAAGGCACTGGATGAGGCGTATGATGACAGCAGATCCGATTCCGAGGTCAAAAGCGAAGGACCAGGCGAGCGTCTGACGGGCGCTGAGCCACCCCGAACYTCCGATGCAGGAACTTGGAGTGCGATCAACACCGCTGCTGCGCCTCCCAACCATCAACCGACTTTGCCAGCTCCCGTCAGCCAGTTTAGGAGCTATGACTCTTACCCTCAACGGAACCACCAGCAGACGTCGCCTCAGGGACAGGCAACCCCACATCACGGATACAGTCATCATCACGCCAACAACTTGCGTCCTACGTATTCAGATACTGCAGGTGGCGCACCTCCCACCCCGGCGAGCCATTCTGCAGCGGGCACAACGCCTTCGGTATCGCAACCCTCTCCACCTTATGAGAATCGACAGGGCTATCTTCAGCATCATCAACAACAACAACACCACACCTACCAAAATTGGCCGGCTCCGACTTCGGGATATCCGATGCAACCTCCTCCTCCCAATCCCTACGTCCACAACCCTCCCTCACAACACCTCCACCACCACGCCATGCAAGTGACATCGCCACTCCACTCGGCGTATTCAAGTCCAGGRCATGCGATTCATGCCTCGGGTCCTCTTCCACCCATGTCTGCTGAACCTCAACATGCACCCCAACAACAACCCAACGATTGGGCGATGAGCAAGGAGGCATGGCTCAACAGCCTTGATACGCGATTGGGAGGGGATGACGTGGCTGCCTTTGTGGATGGAGGGGAGATGAGGGAGTGGGTGGGTATGGCGGCCAGTCAGGGGTTTGGTGGTTGGTGGTTGAGTACTGTTTGGGGCGGGGGAAATCCTTGAATTAAAGGGTAAAATTCTCATAATGTCTGAATGGTATTGTGACGATTACGATTTGATGCGTGTATGTTTGAATGAGAGTGAGAGAGTTTGATTCGGTGTATCTCTTTCTTCTTGTGGACTGCTATCATGTGAACATGTTTCGTTCGAAGCAGAAAGATCATGCAGAGGTGAGTTTGAGGGCTTCTTGAAGTATGTGAGCTCTCTGTTCATGCACTGCCATGAGGATGATTGAATGATCAATATATTGTATGCTCTATGCTGCCATCCTCGCCCATGTGAACGAATGGCGCTACCCCACATTTTCCACGGGACAGCCCGCGTACTTTGACTTTCACGTTCACTTTCACTTTCACATCCATCAAGATCCGCGTTCGAGCTCCACTACCCCGTCGTATCTCCATCGCCGCGATGGACGACCTGGAAGAACTCGAGCTGCTGGGACTGGTGACGAAGGTGACGAGCGAAATCAACAATTATATGGGCATCAGCGACAAGACAATTGCCGAATTTGTCATTTCGCAGCACGGAGACGATGTCGACGCCTTCAAATCGAAACTGGCCGAATTCGATTTCCCCGCGAGTTTGACGGAGAGTATCGATCGCCTGATCAGAGCTTTGCATCCTGCGTGGAAAGCAAAGGCTGCGCAGAAGAGCAGTGAAGGGCAGAATGGAGGGGATAAAAGTCAGAAGTTCCGCGGATTGGCCATTCCCGACAAGGAGATTGAGGTGGAGGAGGATGCGCTGGACGATACCTTTGCGCTGCTGGAGGGGTTGGCAGATCCGGCGAAGAATGGAGCGCAGACTTCTTCCAAACGCCCCATTTCGCCTGTGAGGAATGAAAGCAGTCGGAAAAGATCCAGACGGTCGAGATCGCGAACGAGAAGTCCGAAGAGGAATAATGATGACTACTTGTTTGAGGATGAATATGGAAGGACGCGTGCACACRAGGCTTCGGACACGCGATCGAGAAAGAGTCGTAGGGATTCCTTTGATCGGAAACCCCCGGCGACGATGGATGACACGCCGGTTCTCTACAAAATCTACGATGGAAGAGTGACGGGTGTCAAGGACTTTGGCGTGTTTGTCAATCTGCAGGGAGTCAAGGGCAAAGTGGATGGGTTGGTGCATGTTTCTGCCATGGCGGAGGGAAAGGTCAACCATCCTAGTGACTTGGTGTCGAGGAATCAAGAAGTCAAGGTCAAGGTGATGAAGATGGACAACAACCGCATCAGTCTGAGCATGGCCGAGGTGGACCAACGGACTGGACAGGATCTGCAACCATCGAGGAGGATCAATACAGGCGCCACGGGAGCGAATGCTATGGGACTGAATGGCGTATCCATGGGCGGGGATGTGCAGGTGCTTGACAATACCCAGGGGAATGGGAGGAGACCTCGGAAGCGTATGACGAGTCCGGAGAGGTGGGAGATTCGGCAGTTGATTGCCAGTGGTGTCGTCAAGGCTTCGGAATACCCTGACCTGGATGAGGAGTACAACGCCATCATCAACGGAGAGCAAATTGAGGAAGAGGAAGATGTCGATATTGAAGTTCGTGAGGAGGAGCCGCCATTCCTTGCCGGTCAGACGAAGCAGTCTTTGGAGCTCTCCCCGATTCGGATCATCAAAGCTCCGGATGGCAGTATGAACAGAGCTGCCATGCAGGGAGATGTGCTCGCCAAGGAGAGGCGCGATATGCGACAGTCAGAGGCTCAAGATAAGGCGGCCAAAGAAGCTGCAAAGACGGATCTTGCTCAAGAATGGAATGATCCCATGRTCGCAAAGGGTGATAGAAGATTCGCCAGCGATCTTCGACAGACGAATAACAACCAAGCTGCAGAAATGCCGGAAYGGAAGAAGATTGCGACCAACAAGAGCGAGTTGGGAAAAAGGTCGAACATGTCAATCAAAGAGCAACGAGAGTCTCTTCCTGCCTACAAAATGCGGAAGCAATTCTTGGAAGCAGTTCGCCAATATCAACTTCTGATCGTTGTGGGAGATACTGGATCGGGAAAGACGACGCAACTCACTCAATACCTTGCTGAAGATGGATTCGCCAACAACGGCATCATCGGCTGTACACAACCTCGTCGTGTCGCGGCCATGTCCGTCGCCGCTCGTGTGAGTGATGAAGTCGGATGCAGATTGGGTGAGGAAGTTGGATACACCATCCGTTTTGAAGACAAGACTTCCGAAAGTACCAAGATCAAGTACATGACGGACGGTATTATGCAGCGTGAGATTCTCCTCGATCCGGAGCTCACTAAGTACAGCGTCATCATGTTGGACGAGGCTCACGAACGGACCATCGCCACGGACGTGCTGTTTGGATTATTGAAGAAGACGCTCAAGAAGCGACCGGATATGAAGGTTATTGTGACATCCGCCACTCTGGATGCTGAAAAGTTCTCAACTTACTTTAATGAATGTCCGATCTTGACAATCCCAGGAAGAACCTATCCCGTGGAGATCATGTACAGTCGTGAGCCAGAAAGCGATTACCTCGACTCTGCTCTCACAACAATCATGCAAATCCACCTGTCCGAGGGACCTGGAGATATCCTTCTCTTCTTGACAGGAAAGGAAGAGATTGACACCAGTTGTGAGATTCTCCACGAGCGGATGAAAGCGCTTGGTCCATCAGTTCCCGAATTGGTGGTCCTGCCAATATACGGTGCCCTCCCTTCTGAAATCGCCTCGAAGATCTTCGAACCCCCTCCACCAGGTGGCAGGAAAGTGGTCATTGCAACAAATATTGCCGAAACATCCATCACCATTGACGGAATCTACTACGTCGTTGATCCCGGATTCGTCAAACAGACTGCGTACGATGCGAAGCTCCAGATGGATCGCTTGCAAGTTACACCCATCTCCCAAGCACAAGCCAAACAACGTGCTGGTCGAGCTGGCCGCACGGGGCCTGGAAAGTGCTTCAGATTGTATACAGAGTCTGCTTTCCAGTCTGAGATGCTGCCTACTACGATCCCGGAAATCCAACGGCAGAATTTGTCAAACACGATCTTGATGTTGAAAGCCATGGGCATTAATGACCTTCTCGGATTCGACTTTATGGATCCTCCGCCTACGAATACCATGCTTACAGCTTTGGAAGAACTCTACGCTCTCTCGGCGCTCGATGATGAAGGTCTTCTCACCCGGCTGGGCAGAAGAATGGCAGACTTTCCCATGGATCCCGCTCTGGCCAAATCATTGATTGTATCTGTGGATCTGGGATGCTCAGACGAAATGCTGAGTATCGTGAGCATGATCTCCGCCGTACAAACCGTCTTCCACCGCCCGAAAGAAAAGCAACAGCAAGCCGACCAGAAGAAAGCTCGCTTCCACGACCCCGCCGGCGATCACCTCACCATGCTCAATGTCTACAACGGGTGGAAAGGCAGCGGCAAAAACGACGCCTGGTGTTTTGAAAATTTCATCCAGCCTCGCAGCATGCGCCGCGCCGAAGACGTCCGAGTCCAACTCCTCCAAATCCTCGCTCGCCATCGCTTGAACGTCATCTCCTGCGGCCGCGACACCACACGCGTCCGACAAGCCCTCTGTGCCGGGTTCTTTCGCAATTCCGCTCGTAAAGACCCCACGGAAGGCTACAAGACTCTGGTCGAAGGCACCCCCGTTTATATGCACCCGGCTTCGGCATTATTCGGCAAAGCTGCCGAGCATGTCATTTATCATAGTTTGGTGGAGACGAGTCGGGAGTATATGCATAATGTCACTGCTATTGAGCCGAAATGGTTGGTGGAGGCTGCTCCTACTTTCTTCAAGGTTGCGGGTGGGAAGGGAGGTGAGTTGAGTAAGAGGAAGAAGGCGGAGAGGATTCAACCTTTGCATAATCGGTTTGCTGGGGAGGATGATTGGAGATTGTCGGCGCAGAAGAGGGGAGGGAGGGGTGGTGGTGGGACTTGGGGGTAGTAGATATTGTGGAGAAGAAGTGTTGGGGTTGGTGGAAGAGTGTGATGTGTATAAGGATTTCCGAGAGATCTTTGGGGTCGTTCTCATGATTTAATCCATGGTTTGCAGGCATCTATCATCTATAAGACCTTGCATTTCCACCGGCAGCGAATCGTAGCATTGACGTATCAATTTTTCGGTAGATTGATGATCTTCCAGGTAGTAKCATAGTGAAGTTGTAAAGGTCCATGTCAGAAGCAATGGAGGAGGATTATTACATTATGTTATCTTGGTTGTACTGTACCTCACTCACCCTTGAAGCGGACTACTACTTAACCACATGCATATCTGGAGGTGTTGCATGTGTCGTCAAGTAGCATAGTGAAGTGACATGTGATGGGAATGTCGGGAGTAAAAGGATTGTATTGCCTCGTGATATATTATGTGTACATACTTTATCTGCCAGCGGATCGTCGCCTTATCCGCGTGCATCTCCGGAGGTTTGTCTTATTACGAAACGCGAACCCTGTAAGCTGGGTTTATCGTATAGTGTCACGACAAAAGAAGAGTTAATGGGAAGGTCGGCAGTCCGAGTGATCCAGCCCAGACCATTTGAGCTGAAGTTCTGGTGTTGCACGTTCGTGATGAAGTCCGAGGCCGGTTCCATCCCTTGCTTGGGTATCGTCGCAGGATCCTTGCGGTCATTGATCTTGTCTCTCCTCAACCTACGTTGTACTTGCAGAACGTGAAGTTTTTGTCGGAAAAGGTATCGTGGTGGAAGGCGAGGCATGTTCCACTTGATCATATATCGATTGGATTTGGGTTGAAGTGACGTCCCTAAGAAGACCACTTACTCTATACCTCCGACGAACCGTTGAGATGTCTGCGAAACTTGTCGTGGCGAGAGGCCAGGTATAGTCCGCTCCGGCAAAAGACATGAGTTTGTAGTAGACTGGCGGGCTGGGAGAAATGGCGAGTGCGTTCTATCCCCAAATGCGATGTTGATGCCTCTGTGGCACTTTACTGGGTGAGAAGAGGGTCTAGCAGAGCATGTGAACACTAGATTAGATGCGCCTGGTCGATGCCGATTGCCGCCCTGCAATCCTTTTTATCGCTGTCTTTCCATCTCTGGGATTGAGAGTTGGCTATATCTGTGATCGGAAATGTGACAGATTATCGTCTCCCGACACCTGTAATCAGCCCAATCGAAGCTGACCATCGCCTCCTCCTTTTGTATCGGGCGTTCAGTCCCCGAAATGGTAATCGAGCCTAGACGCTGGCTATACTGGTGGAAGATCGTGAAGAGAAAAATCTCGTGATGAGGTCGGCAGAGTCTAGCGGCGGGAAGGCGCGACCACCGCGTGGGGCTTAGCTCCCGTTCTCCGCAAACCTAAATTTGTGCCGGGATGTAAACAAAGACCTCACGAGCCTGCAACTTTCACAACACCGCAAGCGGTATTATCACATTCCACCACGCGGTCTTAAAACGATGAGGGTAAGAAGTCTTACATATCCCATTGTTTGCCCGATGCGTCTCACGAGAGTTTCTCCTCCGAGTTGAAGAATATTTCCCCTTCGGCCAAAGTCATCCCTGACCAAGAATAATCATCTCCTCCCGGGCCTACAGCACGAAGCTCCAGACTCGAGAGTGAAATGTCAAAAAAGTGAGGGGTCATTGTGGAAAATCAACAGTAGCAAGCCCCACTTTGAAATTCGTGCACCGCCAGCACAAAACAAACCTTTCTGGCCAAACCTCTTCCTCCAAAAACATCCACCACCATCACATCCACCTTCACATCCACCAACACTGCCATCGCCATGGCACCCAAGAAGGGCGCCAGCGCCACACCAGGCCCTCGAACAGTAAGAAATACCCGTCCGGCACTGAACAATGGCATCAATTCCTCCTACGGCAGTCGAGGTGTCGCGGAACTTGGAGCGCAAATGACGACTGGACGCGCATCGGAGACTTACACTCACTTCCAGCGCACCACGCGTTCGCAGTCCACCCGCCCAGAGCCGACTCCCGTGGTGGAGTCCTTCTCATCATCATCCTCCGCCACCTCACAATCTCCGCGCCCGGCCACGGCCATCACCCTGGAAGCAGGATACGACACGTCCCGCCTACAGCGGGCACCTGCCGCATCGCCGCGCGCCGCGTCCGCCGCGCCAGCGGCCCGCCCGGCGGAGAGTGTTCCGGTGGCGGTGGAGCCGCCTGGGCGATGGGCCGTCCTATTCTACACTCTCCCGCGGTACATCGCCCGCCTGCTGTCCGACGCAGACTGGACTCTCCTGCAGAATCTGGCCGGTGTCGTCTTTTCTTTCTTTCTCCTGGCATGTGTTGGCTTCACTCTTCTCGTCCTCTTCGGCGTTGCGCCCATTCCCCGCTCCCTCACTCTCCGCTGGAATCATCTCCTCCGAGGCGTGCAGCTCGCTACTGGCCCTATAGAGATTCYGAACCCCGCGTATAACGCTACAGAGCATAATAGACTGATGTTTTGGAGAACCGATGACATGCTGAAGGCCACTGATGCCCTCAAGACTCAAGTCGGCTTCCATGACGAGTCAATTGCCGAGCTGAGAGGCATTCTTCCCGATTATTTGGCGGTTAAAATGGACGAAAACGGCCAGTACCTCGTTCCTGAGCCATTCTGGAAGGCCCTACTCGACAAAATCGGCAATGACGGCGCGGCGCCGCTCTGGGACAGCTTCATTGCAGCAAATGAAGACAAGCTCCTTGCCAAGCTTTACGAACTTTCACACCACGACATCCCCGAAGATGTCAACACCTCCAAAGATGCCGACCACATCATCAGTCGATTCAACTTTGAATCCACCCTTGCGGCCAACAACAAGATGCACGAGGACGAGATGCGCCTGCAATTCAACAACTTCAAAGAGCTCGTCATGTACGAAGCCAAGAAGATGGTCGATGAAGGCGTTACTGCCACCTTCCAGACCGCGCAGAACATGCTGTCTGAATCAGTTCCCTTCAAGATCTCCACCCAGCAGATCTCCGCACTCAGTCTGACCAACCTCGTGTACAACCGCTACAAACTCATGAACGAGGTCAACTACTTTTCCCCCGGTATGGGGGCTTTGGTTGACCCACACTACACATCAAACACCGCCGGACCCAACAACAAGTCCTGGTTGGGATACTTCTACATGAAAATGTTCGAAGCCAGCATGACGCCCAATCCGCCCGTCAACGCCCTCACCGGATGGGATGAAGGCATGCAGTGCTGGTGCGCAGCACACGGAACAGGCGACTATGCCTATGCCCAACTCACCGTCAAGCTACCCCAGAAAATCATGCCCGCGCAAATCACCATCGAGCACATTCCCCCCAAAGGCACCCGCGACATCGCCGCCGCACCGCGCGAGTACGTGGTCTGGGCACAGATCAGCGACAAGGCCGATGCTGCGAGTGTACGGAAGCTTATGCTACAGGATGAAAACTACGCCGAGCACGTCCTTCCCTACTGCGGCAAGCCGCCTCGCGGGGAGAAGAATTGGATCTGCATCCTTTCGCGCGGCGACTATTTCATTCATGGGGACAATAACGTGCAGTCGAGACTTTTGGCGGGCGAAGGCAAGGTTAGCACGGATCGAATTGCAGTGCGGGTTCTGAGGAATTGGGGAGCTACGGATCATACTTGTTTGTATCGGGTGCGAGTCACGGGCATTCACTCTTTCACGGGCAAGGTTGTGGAGGATTGGTCTTAGTGAGGGGCATATCTTGATGGACAGATGATGCTGATTGCAGGGCACGAGTGGATTGCAGTGTATGATTGAGGGATTGATTGATAGATGTGATGTTTGCAGGAGCGGGAGTGTCTTGAGATTTTGCTGGCTCTCTACCTTGGCGATATCAGCAGCACAGTACACAGTACAGCACGGTTGAGCGGGATTTGTATAGAAACCCCAGAATAAATCATAGTGTCTTTTCGCTCGAACTTTCCGTCATCACTTCCCCCCTTTTGTTGGTTCTTGTATTTAGATGTGTCGCTCGCTCGCTTCATTGATGCTGATGTTGATTGATTGATGATGCTGGTGCCGACGCTGATGAGGATAATCATGATAACGACGATGATAATGGAGCAAGAATCCCATCATGGAAAGCAGGAGAGAGTACATACTTACTATACACATTCGCGTACCTCGCCATGCTAGTTCCCCTAAAGAATAAGTTGAACCCGAAACTACATTCGTCGTGGAAGTGGAGCTGGAAGGTAAGTTGAAGTAAAAGTGGAAGTAGAAGTATTATTGAAGTGGAAGGTAAACGAGCGGAAAGAAATGAAGATTTAAATAGAGTAGACGAAAGAGAGAAGGCAGGGAGAAAGGGGGTTGGATAAAAGCCTATGGTATATCGGTACCTAGTGAGATATATTGCCAACACACACGAGAGAGAAAGAAAGAGAGACGCTCAGCGTAGCCCACGTTACTATATAATGAGATGAGGTTGGTTGAAATTCCGGTTACTTTTCCTCTCTCCTCTTCTCGACGACACTATTTTCTTCTCGCCGGGTATCTTGTGTTATGATTCCAAGACGGTCAAAATTGAAAGACAATGTCCACATTTTAGGTACCATCGCATTGGACCGCTTGTTGGGAATGATTTTAAGGAAGATGGGATTTGATATGAGATGRGATACAGGTAGGCATGTTACGCATGGATGGATGGATGGATGGATGGTTTGTGGGGGGATTTTTCGTCGCGATGTACTTACTGCAGATGTCGTTTTGTCGAGGTGGAGAGGCTAGATGTCTTCCTACCTACTATATCTAGATGTAACATATCTGTTTGAGGGTTGTCGTCTCATCATCGTGGCGATGCATCACATTATTTGACGATGATGATGCATCGCAATTATCAGGAGGTCGGTGAATTTTCAATTTTTTTTCTTTCGATTTATTGGCCGTTGACCGTTGAATGTTTCGATGCTTTTATGTGGTTTGTTCGAGAATGAAAAGACATGTTGTTGAATGGCGAAGTGTGAGTGGTGGAACCGTTTCCGCGGATCGAGAGAAAAAAAGATGGGGCGGGCGGAGATCGGGCCGTGGACCGCCTCGTTCTTTCTTTATCGGAAGGATTGGTTGGTGGTGGAAATGGAAAGTGTCGGTAAGTTATGTGAAGGTTTTATAACGTGCATGATTGATGATCGATTATGTGGGAGAGCAGGAGATGGATATGTTGGATGATAAGGCAAGGTCGTGGCGGTGAACGGGGAGTCAGGAAGGAATGGAGATGATTCATGGTAAAGATGAGGATGAAGAGGTGGCATTGATTTGCAAAGAAGGAGCACGTTTCCCATCGATTGGTAGGAAGAAGATGAATGGGAGCCTTGGGAGGTCGGCTGCCCTGAGAATTGACGGGACAACCACCGAAAAGACATCCATCAGGGATCTCACCTGTGACATGGATCATGAGCCAGTCACACCGCTGTCCTGGTCGCGTTCGGCGCAGGGGAAATGGAAACGTGGTATGTGTTGTCGGTGGACCTGCAGGTGAGATTTCACGCGAGTTGGGGAGTTGTTCTTCACATATTCATTGGATGTAGATTAGATGGATTGTGGGAGAGATAAGGACGGCGATTGCGATGGGATGCGATGGGATGCGATGGACGCGATGCTGATGATCAGATCAGGTGGTGCTGAGCCGGGGAAAACGTCCAAGCCACTAGTCCGGCATGTCTCCCGGCTCGGGAAGGGAAGGGAAGGGTAAGGTAGTTCTAGTTCTACCTAAGTTAGTACCGAATGGAAACGGGACGGACGGGACATTATYGATGACGCCGGTGTGAGGTGCCAGACGATAGGATACTACTGACTTGCTCTCTACCAACCGCAATCCGACATCTCCCCACGCTCATTGCCAGAGATTAATTTTATTGACTCGGACATCTCTGATACTAATCCCGTCCCAGGAGTCAGGTTCGGTCAGGTCAGGATCGTCTCGGCAGACGTATCGCATCGCAGCGCATCGCCTCGCATTGCATTGGCCTGCCACGCCCGGATCAATGCGCTGTCGTCGATGGCACCGGCCCGCGACGTGAATGATGATGCATTCAAGTCATCCAAGTCATCCCAATCCTCTCCCTTTCTTTCCTCGTCCCGCAAACCGACATCGCACCGTCGTCAAACCTCCATCACCTCCACCACCCGACATGTCTCGGATGGACGTGTATACGATCGAGACAGCATCTGGGGCACGCATTACCACGAAGAGGACCCCGATCCCGATCCTCATTCTTCCCTGACGGAATTATCATCATCATCATCGGCGGTGAATACTGCGACGGCGACGGCGACGGAGGAAGAGCAGATCAATCCTGTGACGGACATTCCCCCCGCGCAAGACGACATGGCCACCCTCTTCCCTCCCTCCCATGCCTCCAATGGCAGTCCTCTGCAATTCCCCCGCCGATCACTATACAATTTCCACGATCGCATACCCCTCAACAACCTGCTCCACTCCCTGCATATGCAACATCAGGACTCTCCCCTCCCCCCACCCCAAGACCGACCCATCACGCCCGTCACTCCCATCCGCGGTGTGGTCCCCAGCTACGAGTACGCGCAAGATGTCGAGCAGAGCGCCGAGAGGCAGAAGTATCGGTCATGGCGGCAGGGAGAGGCCAAGGTGAATGGATTGTCCATTGCGGAATCCCAGCGGGTGAAATCCCGGCCGGATAAAGTCATTGATGCGCAATTGCCTCAACCCGAGCCGCCCGTGGCCAATGTGCGCAGTCGCAAGGCCAGTCATTATCTGGGTTTGTTTCGCGAGAATGATGCCGAGGAGAAGAGGGATACAGAGCAGAAGAGGGATGTCGAGCTGAAGAGGGATACGGAGCAGAAGAAGGTTGGCAAGGTGCAGGCAACTAAAGATGGCAAGGGGCAGATATCCAAAGATGTACCTGTCAAGGAGTTCACCATCGAGGAAGAGGAGGAGGAAGATGAAGAAGTAGAAGCGGAGAAGGAAAAGGAGAAAGTCGGGACGGTGAACGACCACACGTCGCAAGTCCAGCCGCTGGACTTGCTCGAGGGCATTCRCAATCATCATCATCTGGAACGCGCTCCCCTCTCCCGCAAATCCACCCTACCCAAGCATGTCGAGGGCGAACGAGGAGAGGGCAAGAAGAGTGATGATGAGGATTCCGACCGCGAACACATCGCCTCGGCCGTCTACTTTCCCCATCAGGGTGTCACCGTGGGTGATTCTCCCACCGAGCAAGATCTCACCCACCGTCAACCGAGTGATGAGGAGCAGGCAGAAAAGCTGCAGGATCGTGCCCATGACCCCTCCGGGAATGATGTCCAGCTCTCCCTCCTCTCAGAAGGCGCCCGAGATTACCTTCAAGGCGCTTCGGGATCGCAGACTCCTCCCACCAAAGATTTCGACCTCCTCCCATCCCCTGCCATTCCCGCAGAGATCAAGTCCGAATCGGAATACGAATCCGGCTCCGAATCCGCTACATCAGGAGACGGCGACGATGAGGATACTGATGTCGAAATCACTCCCACAGCGACACCCCTCGTCAAAGGACAGGCCCATCCCCAACGACGACAGAATCCGGAACATGTTTCCGCCGTCGCCTTGAAGCCCTATCAGCATCAAGTGGGAGGACATACCGCCATCTTCTCCTTCTCTCGACGCGCCGTATGCAAGCAGCTCAATAGTAAGGAGAACATGTTTTACGAGACCGTCGAGAAGTATCATCCCGATTTATTAACTTTCATGCCGAGATATATCGGAGTGTTGAATGTTACATATCGAAAGGAACACAAGCGGAAGAAGGTGGAGGAGTTGGTGGAGGCGGCCGCGTCAGAGGATGATGCCGCTCAAGGAGACACCCTGCAACCGCCCGAGGCTGCTCGAGTGATTAGCCATTCCATGCAGCAAAACGCCACTTCCTCCTCTATCCCCGAAGTTATCTTCGCAAACAACCGCCATCTCATCCCAGACAATCTGTGGGGAAATAATCGCCGCTCCGCAACACCGGATCCTCCCCGGATGAGATCATCGCCAGCAATCCCAACACCCTCAAGCGAGGATGCCCGGCCTCCTCTCAACACTGCTGCGAGCTGGGGATACACCACCCGCAACCTGACTCTTCGCGATCACGTCCTGCGAGAAGTCTTCTCTCCTCCCGTCATTCACAAACATGATCGTCGAGATCGCACCTATCACGGCCGTCACAAATTCCACAAATCTAGATCCTCCCAACTCAGCAAGTCGGCGCGGCATGGGAGTTTGGATGTCTCTTCTCGGAGGAGAGGAGAAGAAGAGGTCATGACAGATGGCGATTCCACGACAAGGACCTCCAACTCGCTTGTCGTTGAACGCACCACTTCCAATATCGATCCGAGGGAGAGTCGCGATGCTCTTAGCAAGAGCGCCGAAATTTCCGAGGAGCCACTCTTGGGGAGTCGTCATCACCGTCGTCGACATAGTGGTGGTGGTCTACAGAGGAAGCCTACCGAGATTGACGGAGCACGAGGAGATTTGGAGTTTCACGAGGATGAAACTTGGAATGCCGATGCAGATGCTGACGCGGAAGAGGACAACGTCTTCTCGATGGAGGATGTCAAGAAGGAATGTCGCAACGTCCAGCGTGCCCTACCCGCCAGTCCGCAYCCAAAGATACAACAACCCCCAGAAGACCCTCCTCGTCTCGGTCCCGCCATCAACTTCAATCCTCCCCCTTGCAACCCCGAAACCTCCCTGACAGTCTCCAGCAGCAGTCGCGTCGAGCACTTCCTCCTCTTGGAAGACCTCACCGCCAACATGCTGCACCCCTGCGTTCTGGATCTTAAAATGGGTACCCGTCAATTCGGCATCGAAGCCAACGATAAAAAGAAGGCTTCCCAACGCATCAAATGTAAAACCACCACCTCGCGGGAATTGGGCGTGCGGGTGTGTGGCATGCAAGTGTATGATGTCAAGAAAAAGAGCTATCGCTTCACGGATAAATATCAAGGAAGAGATTTAAGCGCCGGCCGGGAATTCCGCGAGGGATTAAAGGGCTTCTTCTTCGATGGTGTGGGTTGGAGGCAAGGAGGAAGGTTAATCCCCTCTCTCTTGGAGAAGTTGGCGGCTCTGGAGGGCATTATCCGGGGTTTACCGGGTTATCGTCTCTATGCGTCGAGTCTATTGATGATTTACGACCGAGGAGATCCCGATGCTGGAGGTCCGGGAGGCGGAGGCAAGGGAGACATTAAGCTCAAAATCGTGGACTTCGCCAATTGTGTCACGGCTGAAGATGGAGAGGTTGTACGCACTCGACCCGCTCCTCCGAAGAGGATGGAAGAGGTGGATTGGGGGTATTTGAGGGGGTTGAGGACTCTGAGGGTCTACTTGAGGGCGATTTTGGGGGAGTTGAGGGGCGCGGAGGAGAAGGGATTCGTGGAGAGGGGGGAGGGAGAGGGGATGGGATTTCTTGGTGGAGGGGTTGTTGGAGGTGGTGCTGGAGGTGGTGGTGCTGGGGGAGGAGGCTTGGGGAAGGAGGGTTTGATTGGGCTTGGGGGAGGTGCTGGGGAGGAGGAGGATGATGGGGAGGTTAGTGTTTGATTCGGTCCTTCTTCTTCGGGTTGTTGGTGTTGCCTTCGTGCGTGGGCATGGGAATTGGAATGGGATTGGGTGGGATGGGATGGGATGCGTGGCGTTTTCTCATGGGCTTCCGGGATCGGGACGCAGGAATGGTTACATGGATGGAGAGGCGTTTTCGACTGGACTGGGCTGGACTGAATTGCACTGGGCTGGACTGGGCTGGGTGTGCTGCTGACGGTCAAGGCCACGGTACAGGTGGAGGTGGTTCTTTGCTTCACTTTCTCTACTCTGCTACCGTTTCGTGTCGTGCTGTGCTGTGTTACAAGGTACACGGTCCACTGAAGAATCGGAATCGGAAGGGAATGGGAGAATGGGAGACGGGAGATTGTGTTCATCTTGTTGTTGCTTTTTGCTTTAGCAAGGCGCTGGTGGAGTCTTTTTTAGTTTTTTTCAGGTGAGAAATGAGATGATATATTATATTAGATTGTGCCGTGTTGTTGTTATATCTTGTCGTTTTTCTCCCCTATCTATCATGCCTTCGGCCTCTTGTCAAGTACAATCTCTCCTCTTCACATAGAAATGAAATCTAAAGGAACCTCCTAAACTTCCCCATTCACTCCTCCTATCCCTTCTTCCCCGGCGGCAAAAACACATTCAACACCCTCCTCGGAATCCTCTTAAACCTCACCCGCTCCCAAACCCCCACAATGACCCCATCCTGCAAAATATACACATTCCCTTCCAAAACCGTCTCATCCCCCACAACTTTCTCCATCCTCACATAATTCCTCACTGTCACGCCTTCCCTCCAAGGCGTAAATTTATCACTAATTTTCATACTCCCGACTCCATACGAAATGAACGCATTTTTCAAACGATCTTTTTCCACGGCATTACATACAAATCCACTAATATGACAACTTGCATCCCATAAGAACGGACCTCGGACTTCTTCTTTTGGGAAATTCTTGATCAGGCCGGTGAAATTTAGGAGAGATGTTGCTTCGAGATTTCCTTCTCCTTCTTCGAGGGAGAAGATGGTTTCGGACATGGTTTGATAGGGACCGGTATATTGGACAAATGTCTGGAATATTTCGTAGGCTTGGGCGGATTGTACCAGGCGGATCTGACCTGTGGTTTCTTTGTGGGCGCGGGTTAGGAGGGTGTCGATTAGGGATTGGATGGTGGGGGTTATGTGAGGGGAGGACCAGGTGGAATGCCAGRGGGTGGGGGATTCGAAGTTGATGGTGCAGTGGCCTGTGGTTTGGAGGCGGGTTCCTGTGGGGGTTATGGTGTGGAATGTACAGGTTAGGGTGGGGGTTTTGGTGGTGGTGCTGGCTTCTTCTCCTTTTCCTTCTTCTTCTTGTGACTCTGGAGTTAAGGTGGTGGGAGAAAAGGATATAGTGGTTTCCATCTCAATCCAGCATTCCGAAATCCGAGAGACATCTTGCACAATAAGAGGTTTATGGACTTGCATATCCCGGACATTGATGCCTTTTGGGAGAAGAAGATGTTGATCTTTGATGTTGAGAGAGGAGGGATTTTCTTCAAGGAGGTATTTGGCTACCGTAATGGCCATGTCGAAGTATAGACCGCTGGGCGTGAGGATTACATTGTTGCATTTGTGGTTGATGATTGCTGGGAGGAGATCTGGGTCTGCTAGGCACGATCGGATGAGAATTGAGGGTGAGGGGAAGTTGGGGGGAGTTTGGTGGATGAGTTGTTGGCAGGAGGTGGAGAGGCGTTTGTATGTTGGCGTCATTTTTTTGGGTGGAGTCTTGGAGGGTGTTGTGGGGAAGGGAGAGAGGAATAGGAGGAGGAGGAGGAAGGGAATGGATTTTCTCGTAGATGTACTTGGGGAAATTCTCCTGTTGTGAAACGTTATGTCTATCCGAAGGAATCGTTCTATATATCGAATTAGCGGACTTCATGTCATCTCGGAGTTGTCATCGTCCGTCTGTACCCACATATGGTAGAGGAGTGCATCCATATCATACGGCCGGCCCCGCAGACGGCAGTCTCAGCCTCACTCAGCCTTGCTCATGCATAAAAATATCCGCTTTTGTTAACCTTTGGTCACAACTCCAGAAATTTCAGCATGTCAGATCGTAACGCTGATAAGACTATACATATGTGAGAGTACCTACTGTCGGACACTTTCCGGGAAACACCTTGGCTCGAAAGAAAGAAAGAAAGCTTTCCTACTTAAATACCACATGCATCGGCATCGTCTTCATCACTCGCATTTGCGAGAACATCTCTTCCAGCACGACTGAGAGGCATCTGCCCGTCTTGCTTGAAGCATAAGAGCATCTCGCTATCAGTGAGGTGCGTGGCCGCTGTGGTTGAATTCATGGATTGGGCCATGATATGACTCCATCTGGTATGCGTTGGGAAGAGGGTGCCGAGGACGGAATCAGGGGCCATAACGCATGATCTTCTGCAGATCACATCTGCAAGCTGTGTCCTCCGCTCTGATCAGTGTCACCCACGATGATTGTGTATGTACAAGTCTCGTCCCGTTTGATGGAAAGAGGGAAGATGGAAGCAGCGGACCTCGGGCCGAAGGCAACGGCAACGATCACTCGCATAGGAGGAGTAAGCATGCCATGTCGATACCTAGTCTACCATCAACACATCAACATTATTATCTAGTWAATCATTCATCACATACGGAAAAGATGACCACTCTCAAAGAAGCCGCCAAATGGAATCGACCATATGAGATTCCCGACCCAGATGCTCCATCATCCTACCAACGTGAAATCTACTCTGCATTCCGAGCACCAATCTTCTCCACCAAACCAGCAGAATGGGAGGCCATTGCACGCGAAACAATCCCATCAGCCAACTTCGGCTACGTCTTTGGCTCGGCGAGTAGTCAGAAGACATATGCAGCAAATCTGGAAGCCTTCAACAGATATCGCCTTCGACCTTCTATGCTTGTCAACGCCACCCGTCGAGACATGAGCGTCAATTTATTTGGAACGAGATACAAAAGTCCAATCCTGGTGGCTCCGGTCGGAGTTCAGAACATCATGCATCAAGATGCCGAGGAAGCCACTGCGAGAGCCTGCAAGAACGTCGGTGTTCCCATGATCCTTTCCACCGCCGCCACCYGTACTATCGAGCAGGTCGCAGAAGCCAATGCGGATGGAGATAGATGGTATCAGCTGTACTGGCCCAAACCACAGGAGGAAGCCATTACAGCCAGCCTGTTGAATCGAGCAAAAGCCAACGGTTACAAAGTATTGGTCGTCACCCTCGACACATTCACACTTGCCTGGCGACCAGTAGATTTGGATCATTCTTACCTACCCTTTCTCTGGGGAGATGGATGTCAGATCGGACACTCGGATCCAGTCTTCAACCAGCGGTATGAAGAAATGCAAGCGCAAGACACCCGCTCAGCGTCGGAGAAATTGGGTGAGGCATGGAACTTGATCAAGAGGAATGGAACTCCTTTTGGTGCGCTAAGGATTCTTGCCAATGCCWCGAAGATTGCCAAGTCACGAGCGTGGCTGGATGTCATGAATTCTGGAACCTATCGCGAGTGGCAACATCTTGAAGTCTTGAAGAAACTCTGGGATGGGCCGATCGTGTTGAAGGGGATTCAAACAGTGGAGGACGCACATAAAGCGATTGAGTATGGAATTGATGGGATTATTGTGTCGAATCATGGTGGAAGGCAGCTTGACGGTGCGATAGCATCGCTTGATGCACTTGCTGAAATTGGTGCGGATGAAAAGGTCAAGCAGTCGGGTCTTACGGTGCTGTTTGACAGTGGGATTAGAACGGGGAGCGACGTTCTCAAAGCTATTGCACTTGGTGCGAAAGCTGTTCTCGTGGCCAGGCCATATATGTGAGTCTGACCCTTGTTGACGCGCTGAGAAATTACCGACTGATTCTTTTTCTAGGTACGGCCTCGCAATCAAAGGACAAGCGGGAGTGGAGCACGTATTGAAGTGTATACTGGCGGATACCGACAATTCTCTGGGCAACATGGGCAAGAGATCGCTGCAGGATATCAGTCGAGATGACTTGCAGATCAGACATGATTCGAAATTGTAGGAACGAAGTTTACTGCTGATGGTAATACAGAGTAACAGACTCTCAAACTGCGCTTCAATTTGCAAGCGATAAGTGATGTTCCCCGCGGGTTTGGATTCACTCAACACCTCATCCCTGTAAACTTTCGCTCACATCCTGGAATATCAAGCAGTACTCTCACTCGTCCGCTTCTGGAAGCGTGTACATCAACGCGTTCCTCTCGTCTTGATTTTGAAAGACTCTTGGATTCATCTACGCAATACTTGACAGCTTCGAGACTGTATTCAATGCACATTCAATTCAATCCTATCATTCAAGCCGCTGAGTTTGTTCCCAACTGTGTGTACATCATCCAATAACCGCTGCCAAGAAAGCGTTCGAGCGCACAAGACGGCATGATCGACGAGATTATGGTCTCCATCTTGAAAGAAGCGGGGAAGAATTCGGCAAATTCAAGTGGATGATGGTAAGGTAAGGTCATGCAGCGAAAAATAAAGTTGACACCAGAGGGACAGCTCCATCCATAGCTTTCTCCGCATTGACATATAACCTCCATAAGGTATAACATCTCTCTCTCTCTCTCTCGCAAGTCTTGCTTCCTCATCAATAATTTGCGAGAACCCACAGACGCAAAGAAAAAATGTCGGCAGTCAAAGAATACAAGATTGATGTTCCGCAGCAGAAACTGGATAGATTGAAGAGAAGACTCGATGATGCTGAATTTCCGGATGAGCTGGAGGATAACCCCGGGTGGGATTACGGTGCTCCATTGTAAGAATTCCATTGCCAGTCATTTGGAGGGAATTGGGGAAAATACAGAGCTGATGAAAAGATTTCTATTTCTAGGAAGGATGTCAAGCGCATCGTCAATCACTGGCGCAACAATTTCGACTGGAGAGCGCATGAAGCCAAACTGAACTCCCTGCCCAACTATGAAGTGCAAGTCAATGTCGACGGCCATGGACCCGTTGATATGCATTTCATACATCAAAAGAGTGATGTCCCAGGAGCCATTCCTCTTCTTTTTGTCCATGGTTGGCCGGGAAGTATCTTGGAAGTCACCAAAATGCTCCCAATGTTGAAAGGTGGCGATGGCAAACCAGCTTTTCACGTCGTAGCTCCTAGTTTACCGTAAGCGGCCACTCATCCATCTCCAACAAACAAACCCAAGAAAAATCTCTCCCTTACTGACTCCTCCATCTATCCATCCAGAAACTACGGCTTCTCAGGCCCAGCCCTAAAACGCAACTTCAACGTAAAACGCACAGCAGAAGCCTGCCACAAAGTAATGCAATCCCTCAACTACCCCCAATACGTAACGCAAGGCGGCGACTGGGGTTTCGTCAYAACCCGCGCCCTCGCACATCTCTACCCCCAAAACGTCAAAGCCCACCACATAAACTGGGCCTGGGCAGCTCAACCGGAAAACCCCACTCCAGACCAACTAGAATTCTCGGAGCGAGAAAAAAAACAACTCGCCTCGGCGGAAAAATGGAATCCTTTTGGAATGGGTGATGGGAGGGGATATATCGCCATTCAATCCACTCGACCGGCCACCATAAATTTCGCTTTTAGGGATTCTCCTCTTGCGCTTCTGGCGTGGATTTATGATAAATTGGTGGATTGGAGTGATGCGTATCCTTGGACGGATGAGGAAGTTTGTTTATGGGTTAGCATTTATGTTTTCTCCCGCGCGGGACCTGATGCTGCGAGTTATTTGTACTATGAAGCTTTGCATGATGCGGTGGATGTTCCGGTGCCGGTTGTGCAGGGGTATATTGATGTTCCGTTGGGGATTGCGGATTTTCCTGTGGAGTTGGCGAATATGCCGATCAAGTGGAGGGATGGGATGGGGCCGATTAAGTTTATGAAGGTTTATGAGAAGGGGGGACATTTTGCGGGCTGGGAGAGGCCGGGGGATATTGCTGAGGGACTTGGGGAGATGTTTGGGAAGGGTGGGGGGGCTTATGGGGTTGTTGAGGGGAGGGATGGGTATTGAGAAGGGGGGGACTGTAGGGCATGTTTTTGAGGTATGCTGTCTTTTGAGAAAGGAGTTGGTTATGTCAATGCGCATGAAATTCCATCATTCTTTTGGTATACATTACCTGAAAGAGAGGAGATGAAACGGACTATTTACGGCCTTAGCGGAGCGACGATCGTCAACGGATATAATAACTGGTTAAACGCGTCGTTTGGCAACAAGGTCCAAAGTGACCCGCATATGACGACCATACCTGCAGCATTAGCACACCGAGATCTTCGTTCAAATCAACATCAATCCACTTCTCCATCATTTTACATCCCTCCCTCCAAACCCACCAAAACATAACAGCATCAATGGCATCACCACCCGTATCGTTACTCGCCCGTAACCGCCAATTGGCACCCAATGCCAGCGTTGAGAGTCTCCCCTCTCTGCCTGGGAGCCATGACATTCGGCTCAGGAACGAATGAAATTTCAAGGCAAAACTTCCGTGGATGAATCAACGGCTATTCTTGACGCATTCTATAAAGCTGGAGGGAATTTTATTGATACGGCAAATGTAGGAAAACACGAAATGAAATTCCAGCAGTTGTATCACAGCATCGTTTGAGACAGATCGCTGACGCTTTCTTTTTCAAATTTTGCAGGCTTATCAGAATGGTCAGTCAGAAGAGCGACTGGGTCAATGGATGGCAGACAACAAGAACCGTGACGAAATGGTCATTGCGACCAAATACACATCTCCATACATGGGAGCATTTCCCTCCAAGATTCCCGTCAATTACATGGGCAACGGCAGCAAGAGCATGAAACTCTCTCCCTCGAAGCGAGTTTGAAGAAGATGCAGACAAATTACGTGGATATCCTCTACGTGCACTGGTGGGATTTCTCCACCAAAGTGGAAGAAGTCATGCACAGTCTCAAACGACCTCGTCGTTTTGGGCAAAGTTTTATACTTGGGAGTCTCGGATACCCCGGCTTGGATCGTATCGAAAGCGAATCAGTATGCTAGGGATCATGGTTTGAGACCTTTTTGTGCTGTATCAGGGACTTTGGAATGCAGGCAAGCGGGATTTCGAACGGGAGATTATCCCGATGGCGAGAGAGGAAGGGATGGGTCTTGCTCCTTGGGGTCCTATTGGTGAGGGACGCTTCAAGACGAGAGATGTGCTGGGGAAGATGGAAAAGGGTAGTCGTGGATTGGAAGTCACGCAACGGGATCGGGATGTTTCTGCTGTGCTGGAGAAGGTTGCGGAGCGGAAAGGTAAGACGCTTTATCAGATTGCGCTGGCGTATTTGTTCCACAAGACTACGTATGTGTTTCCTATTGTGGGCACTACGAAAGCGGAGCATCTTGCGAGTAATATCGAGGCGCTGGGGATTGAGTTGAGTGGGGAGGAGATGGGGGAGATTGAGGCGGCGTATCCGTTTGATTTCGGTTTCCCGCATACTTGTTTGTCCGGGACGCAGTTTATGGGAGAGAAGGCGGAGCCGAAGCAGGTGCAGGGACCGGAGGATGTGTTATGTTCACTGCGAGGACTGCGAATATCGATTGGGTCAAGGGGAGCAAGCCGATTGTTCCGGGCGAGAGCAAGTAGAGAGGTGCGGAGGGAAGAAACGGCCTTGGAAGATGGTTGTCGACGATATCGCGCAAGTCTCTGGTATGGCTGGCAAGGTATTCTGAAAAAGCGACAGGGTCAGATCTCTTCCAAAGTAGTGCTTCTCAGACAGAGATGGAGCATGCAAAAATGGCAAGGCTCATACTTGGCGAGCAAAATGTTTTTTATTTTCGCAAGTAGTGAAAGGCTGTTGAAATGTCGCACCTCCGCGACTGATTCTAGAAGATGAGGCAGAGCAGGATGGATAAATATTCCACGAACTCAGCGTGCTGTATGTATGTGGAGAAGTAACGCGTGACGGTTTGTTTTGTCGACGGGGACAAGATTGGACGAGTTTCGACGCATTTGCCACATTTTGATAAACGGCCAACCGCTGACTTACACGTACCAAGATGAGGTGSAATAATGTGTGCAGTTGAACAGGCGAGATTTGAGGAATCCAAAGGGGAAATGTTGGTGAAATGAATGGCAAACGATGAGATGAGATGATGGTTCATGTTATTGAGCAGCACAGAACCTGCCAATTTCCTTCCCCACGCGTCACGCCAACTTTAATTATCCCTCCGGACATAAACAAATGCCCTGCCTTTCCCAGTTCTACTCATTCTCGCGATTCTACTAGTCTTTCCAACCAATTTACTCCCACATTCATCATGACCAAACGATTCAACTCCGTCTTGACGCTCGAAGACCCATTCAACACGACGTTGTCCTCTTGCAAACGCCAGAAATGCTTCTTCGTGGGAAAACAATGCTTTCAATACGTGCCACCACGCCCCACATCCTCCTCCTCCACCAGGAACCACGCGATCCCGAAGTTCCGCCATCTCACGACTTTTATGAACTTACCCTTTGAATTGCGAGAGATGATCTTCTCCTACGCATTCGAAGAACTGATCCAACCTCTCGCCCACCCCTACGACGACCTTCCCGCCCACCATCGATTCCAAATCTACGCGACGTTACGCTTATGCAATCGCCAAATTGGCTATGAAGTGAAGAAGTTATTTGAGAAGCACTTTATCGATCGCATCACCTTCTACTTTGACAATGGGCCGGAATTGTATGATTTATGGAAAGAGGTGGAGAAGCATCCCAGATTGAAGAATGCCGCTTTCTACCTCCGAGCCAAGAATTTCGATGATGTGGATGGGAAAGAGAGGCCCGGAGAGAATAAATTGACGGAGAGTACGGAGGAGTTGATGGAGACGCAACCGGGATTTAAATTCGACTGGTCCATCATTGCGCCGGGGTTTTATCGTTATCAATTCCACGGCTCACAGCGCTGGCTACAAAGACCTGGTTGGGAGGGATTCAAAGTCGTGGATGGTGGACATCATCCGAATTGTGGGGATGATTGCGTCAACTATAAGATTGTGCAGTATCCTCCTTTGGAGAAGTCTCTACGCTTGAGGTCTTTTGTGTGGAATGCGGATTTTGCGGATCCGTCATCTGCACGGGAGGAGAAGACGCAGCAGGTGGGAACTCTTGCGTTGGAGGGAAGGGTCTGTGATTTGGATTGGAGTTGCTATGATGTGGATCGCGCAAGAGAGCAGGTCGCTGTGCATCATGGAGTCGAAATGGACAGTGATCCGTATGATTATGACCATGACCGAGAGTCGGAGGTTCATCTCGATGACTATCGATTGGATCTTGATGGAGAGGTCGAGAGTGATCCTGGGATTATAGAGGATATCTCGGGGGAGAGTGAAGATGCGAGCACTGAAGAGGACTGGTGATATTCATCTGTCGTATACTGTGGAGCGGACGGCAATTGCCTGTACCTTTACGATTGATCACGATCCTACGAATCAAGTCTATTGTGCCTCGCTCCTGGTCATAAAGTCACTATACGGAAGTCCGGCCGACCTTACAACAGACGGAGCGCCGAGAAATCTGGCTTCTTGACCGAAAAATAGAACGCCCTTGGAATCTTGACTAGGTACCGCGGCTTCCGACCATGCATCATTCTTCACGATGAAAGCTTTGAGAAAGTCCTGTTTTCCTTTGCTTCACATACGGATGATCATGGACAAGACACGATTCGGTTCGCTTTGACCACATTCAGGATCAGATTTCTGGAATACGACGGTGGTGAAGTCGTGCTAGTTCCAAAATGCAAGGTGGTTGCTTCATTTTTTGTCGAGAGGGATTGTTGGGAAATGGTGGAAGAAGTAACATGGAGAGATTAGTGTGCTACCTCCCAGGTGGGAAGAAACCTTGAGATGTCTCCTGCGTGGGGCGTGTTCTCACCTCGAATACCTCGATCGATGACTTCTGTGGAGAAGCAGAACAAGACGCCGCCACGCAATTACCTCATGGCAGTGGATAGGGTGGAAGAGTTCGATATCTCAGCCGACTAGTACACTACGCCCAAGCTATGCCGTACGCAATGGCTGTTTTGCGTTGGATAGCGAAGATGGATGGTATACACTACGAGTGAGTCTGTCTTAGGATGCAGGAGGGCTCCCTGAATGAACTGCGAGAAATTTGATGTGAGATATTCGAAGGACTGGTTGCCCGATTGTTATATCGCACCAAGAGACACATGAACTTGTCTTAGCTCTATGGATGTATCAATTTCGACGCCTGCCGGCCGATTGATTACAACCGACGAATGAGCCAATCGAGCAGTCGAAGCCTTTTGCAGCACCTGTACTTATTACAGGCAAGATCTATCGCCAGTAACTTTRGGATGTATTCCATGCGGCCTACTTGATGATCAGCCGGGCGTTTTCCTGCAGACAAGGACTATCTGCCTGGCATGTTCTTGGGTCGAGCAGTGGTCCAGATATCGAAGCAAGTCTACCTAGATGGTGACTGAGAACCTGCCGTCTCTACACTACGAATGAGCGCTTTGCTAGCAGAGAGCTTTAGCATTCAAAAAGCCGTCTGCTTGATTACAACGATTAACATCGGCGTCTGTACGGCGTTAGGCGCTTCTTGACGGTATTTCAGTAGATGAAGATTGCTTCGGATCCWTCCTTCCTCACATCACAATACCAGCATGACGTTTTTCTCAGCTGTATCATCAGTGGCAACGGTAAGCAACGAAAAGCCGATGGGGTAAATMCCTCCTACTCATACCAATTTCCACCAATCCTCCTCCTTCACGCGGAAAAATTGCTTTAGCCGTCATGATGCTGCCAAGGTAGACAACGGTGAGGGATCAGCAGGGAGCGCCACGCGAGATGAGGGGGACCCCACACGGCAGCACGACGGCAACACGACATGGTTGTCGATCCCTCCACATACCGCGCTCTGGGGATCCCTGCGAATGCCGCATTTAGAAGCACCATACACTGCCAAGGTGTTTCGCTTTACGATCCGGATATACTCTCGCGGTCGCCTCGTGGATGCCATCTTTCTGCTTGCAATCCTCACATCAACACAGCAATAATGCGGGTTTCTTTTCTTGCGACACTCTTCGGCCTCGCCAGTGCGAGAGTATTGAATTATAAGCCTGATTATGAGAAGCTGTCTGCTCGACAGGATGCTACTGCTGAGTATGAGGGATACATGTTTGCCTACTTTACCGGTAACGATATTGCGGGAGAGAAGATCTACTTTGCTGCCAGCAATGGGAATAATGCACTTGATTGGACTGAACTGAATGGAGGTCAACCTGCTCTTACTTCGACCAAAGGTACCAAGGGATTGAGGGATCCATTCATCATTCGAAGTCATGGTGAGTGAGAAACTTGGGGATATCAAAGATGCGTGAATGGATTGCTGACATGCAGCAGAGGGCAACAAGTTCTTCTTGATCGCTACAGATTTGTCTATCGGAAGTGGGACTTCTTGGGGCGATTCGGTCAGGACAGGAAGTCGGTATCTAGAGGTTTGGGAGTGAGTAGGATTGACATGACATTCTTTTTCACAAGCTGATCGTCAACAGATCAAACGACTTGGTCAACTGGTCTGAACAGCGTCACATTTTGGTCTCGCCTCCAACTGCTGGGAATACATGGGCTCCAGAAGCCTACTACGACGATGCTATTGGAGCGTACGCTGTCTTTTGGGCTTCGTCCCTCTACGAGGAGAGTGATACCAACCATACTGGGGACACCTACCACCGGATGATGTACGCTACCACGCAAGACTTTGTCACTTTCACCGAGCCTCAAGTCTGGCAAGATGCTGGTACTGCTCGCATTGATTCAACTGTCATCAAGTCGGGAGATGAATACTACCGCTTCACCAAAGACGAGGGGGCTGTCTCTGGCTGTACCGACATCATCCAGGAGAGTTGCCCAGTCTTGCTTGACCAACTTCCTTCCTGGAAGAGCATCGCAACATGCATTGGGAAAAATGCCGGTACTCAAGCCATTGAGGGACCTACCGCTTTCAAATCCAACCCTGACGACGTCAGTGGAGATAAATTCTACCTTTTTGTGGATGAGTATGGTGGCCGTGGATACATTCCACTGGAGACCGCCGACATCAGCAAGCCGGATTGGAAAGTGTCGAGCTCGTACAAACTTCCTGCCAGTCCTCGTCATGGGACTGTGATGCCCATCACAGCCGCTGAGCTTGCAACCATCACTGGCGACCAGGCGAGGAAGCGGGAGAGTGCTCTGATCCCCGGACTGTACGCAGACCCGAACATCGTTGTGTTCGGTTGCGACTACTATCTTTACGCCACAACAGATGGCTTCTCTGGCTGGGGAGGGAACCAATTCTACACTTGGAAATCTACCAACCTTGTTGATTGGCAACGATCAGAGTCTGCTTTCCTCACTCTGAATGGCACCGACGGGAACGTACCTTGGGCTACAGGAAACGCCTGGGCTCCGACCGCCATTGAGCGTAATGGAAAATACTACTTTTACTTCAGCGGCCAGAACCCCACATACGATAGGAAAACCATCGGTGTCGCAGTTGCATCATCTCCAGAAGGGCCATTCACAGCAGAACCCACCGCAATGATCCTCAACAACGAAGCCGTAGTTTCCGGCCAAGCCATCGACCCAGCCGCTTTCGTCGACCCCAAAACCGGAAAATACTATCTCTACTGGGGTAACGGCAACCCCGTAATGGCAGAACTCGCCGAGGACATGACATCCCTAGTCCCCAACACGATTCAAAATATCTCCGGTCTGACGGATTTCCGCGAAGGCTCTTTCATGGTTTACCGCGAACCATTCTACCACATGACATACTCCATCGACGACACCGGGAGTGAGAATTACCGTGTCGGGTACGCGACTGCTCCAAGCGCTACTGGACCTTTTACATACCGCGGAGTGGTGTTGAGTAAAGATTCTGAGAAGGGGATTTTGGCTACGGGACATGATTCCGTGGTTAATATTCCTGGGACTGATGAGTGGTATATGGCTTATCATCGATTTGCTATTCCTGAGGGAGATGGTACGAATAGGGAGACGACGATTGATAAGGTGACTTTTGATTCTGAGACGGGGTTCATGGAGGTTGTTGTGCCGACTTTGAATGGCGTTTCAAAGGCGGAGATTGTGCCTAGTTGTGCAGTAGCTTGACCGTGGGAATGATGATGATGATTATTAGATATGCTGTATGCTGTATGTGTCATGTTGCACATTTCCCTCAGTGCTAAACCGTGTGGTATTACTTTTAGTGGTTCGATTTTCACRCCCTATGCTGTTGACTCACCGCTACACATTTGAGTTCTACCTTTAACTCCACCACTCACTTCGACTCACTAGCGTCTCAGAAATTACTCTTCAAACTCCACCAGCATCTTAGAAAAAAAAAGCCATATATAGCATTCCTCCTCACCAAATACAACACATCAACATCAAAACACTCACAATAATGGCGACCACTCCACCCGAACCCCCCAACTTCCAACCCAACAACCTCTCCACCCGCATAAACGACCTCCGAAAAAAATGGCACGTCCCCGGCCTCTCCCTCGCCCTAATAACCGCCAACCAACCAACCAAAACCCACTCCTTCGGCCTAGCGCACCTCTCCCCACCGCAACCCAGCACAACAGAAACAATCTACGATTTCGCCTCAACAGCCAAATCCCTCACAGCAGCCGCAATCGCCATCCTAGTCCAAGACCCCGCCTACCCATCCATACAATGGGATTCCAAAATGTGCTCTCTCCTTCCAGAAGATTTCGTCATGTCTCAGGAGAGTTATACGCGGGATGTAACGCTTGAAGATATTCTCTCCCATCGCTCGGGTTTACCTTCGCATGATTTGTCGTATTTGGGACAAAGGGCCCACGTACCGGATTCTCCGAAATCTATCACGAGGAATTTAAGAAATCTTCCGATTACGGCTCCTATACGGACGAGGTTTCAGTATTGTAATTTGATGTATACGGTTGCTACACATCTCGTGGAGGTTGTTACGGGGGAGACGTGGGAGAGGTTTTTACAGAAGCACTTTTTTGGACCGCTGGGGATGAATTCTACGAGGTTACATGCTACTGCTACGAGAGCTGCGGGTTTGGGAGAGAGAATTGCGACTCCGTATTTTTGGGATGAGGACACTGGGAGGTTGAGAGAGGGTTGCGTGCAGGCTTATATGCCGCAGGCTCAAGGGGCGGGGTCGATTTTCAGTTCTGTGGAGGATTGGGCGAGGTATCTTAGGGCTGTGATGTTTCGGGAAGGGCCTATTACTGATGCGGTGTATGCTGGGGTTACTGAGGCGAGGATTGTGACGAATCCTTCTGCGGGGGAAGATGATGATGATGATGATATGCCGTTTACTTCTTTGGAGGTGTATGGGGCTGGGTGGGAGATACGATGGTATCGAGGATATAAGATTGYTCAACATGATGGTGGAGTTCCGGGGTTTGGGAGTGTGGTTTTCTTTGTACCGAAGAAGAAATTCGGAGGTGTGATTGTTGGGAATGGGGATGAAGCGGGGACTATTGGGGAGATTATCTCCAAGGAGTTAATTGATGAAATCTTGGAGGTTCCGGAAGATGAGAGAGTGGATTGGGATGCTTGGTACAGGGAGGCACAGAGGGAGTACAAGGAGAGCAAAGTCCCGATGTTGAAACAACTCTGTCCGGATCTTGATGAACCGCAGCCTTTGGAGAGGAATCTGAAGGACTATGTGGGCGATTACTGGAATGTCGGGTATCATCAAATGGTCGTACAGATCAAGGATGGACAACTCTTCATTGATGCCTCGGATCGTTCGGAAGCATTCTATTTGACGCTCGAGCATGCTTGCGATCAGACAAAGTTTGTTGGGCACATGGTCGATTATTATGATGGATCATCGCATGAGTTTGCGGTGGAGTTCAGAATTGAAGGGAATAGAGTGGTGAGTTTGGGGGTGAAGGACGAGGGTACTTACGATGAGTATGTTTGGTATGTTAGGAAGTAGGCATGTTGGAGGGTTTCTTGAAGAATCAAAAGTTGCTTGTCTGTGTTCATGTTGTTCTCTCTCAGTCTTTTCAATTGCATGCCGTCGTGAGAGTCCTGCAAAGTCAGTTCTGCCCAAGGGAGCGTATAGACTGTAGCGGCTAATCATATGTCAAGACTCCAGTGTCTCAATTGTGTGGAACGAATGTGWGAGATGAGAGGACCAGACATCTTTGGGGGAAGTGTAGCACCGGCAGGTGTTCGCACAAAAGTTGGTACACACCTCTGAGAGACAAGAACATCTGGTAGGATGCCCGGATTCGCACGTGCTTGCCGTCCAGAAAAGTCCCATCATCGATCTGCGAGTCTACATCTTCGATCTGCAAGTCTACATCGTCGGTGGTCCGTCCATCTTCTTCTCACCTTCATCCCCMTGATCAGGCTGAATCATACCCAACCTAATAGCCCAATCCCTCCTCTTTGTCTCCACAATCAATTCCTCCGCCAACTTCAACCTCCTCGAATAAGCCTTGGTCGGCTGAGCAACTCTCACCACCCTCCCATGCATCTGCAACGCCTCCGTACTCTCATTCGCAACAGCCAAGAGTCCCGCAGAAGCAAACAGCAGCACCAGTAAACAAAGCTTACTCCCGGACTCCGCATTCCCCGCCAAAGCAGCAGTGAGATACACCAAAAGCGTCGCAAAAGCCACCAGTGAACTCTGCAAGAATGTAGGATCTTGTAACCACTTCCCCGAAGTCACGGCTTTGAGATCGTCAACTTGTCCTTGGAGACGAATCCAACGGTCTTGACTGAGGAGAATCAAAAGGTCTCCTTTAACGCCCGGTTCGCTCTCTCCCCACCAGCCAGGTCGGGATCTGCGGCGTATGACATGGACGTTGAGAGCTCGGGAGAAGATTAGGAGGGCGAGGACTGCGAAGGCCCACCAGTCTCGTGCGTAGAGGACATATACTAGCATGGCGAGAGTCAGGATCACGGCGGTGAAGTAGGTTGTTGTCGCCAGGATGGTCGTCGTCCGGAAATCATAAAGCTGGGTGAGCGAGACCTTTTTCTCCGGTAACGAGGAGACGGAAAGGGTAGTGAGATGGCCTGTTCTTCCGACTTTCTGCAGATACACCACTGTAGCTTGATTCTCTACTCGAAAGACATAGCCACTCGTCATTGCCGCACAAGCGGGATATTCCCCTCCATTCAGATCCGGAGCGTGTCCTTGACGGTGGAGTCCGGGAGCTATGACGAAGATGTCGAGAAGTGAGGAGGTTCCAGTTAAAGCTGTGCGGCGAGCTACTGTGGTGAGATCTGCTAGGGCAACTAGACCGGCTGCATCTAGTGAGACGGAGGGTATGCTTGTTGATTGCCATTTTTGGAGAGCTGAGGTCATCTTGGTGAGGGTTTGGGGTTTGCTGTAAAACGTCCACTGGAGGTCTGTAAAGTTGCGAAAGCTCAAAGGTCAGGAATAGCGGACATTACATGAGCAAGGCTAAGTGAGGCTGAGCCATTTATGGGGCCGTATTATGTGTGCTTCTCAATCTTGTGTTGCGGAGACCGCTGTATGTAAGACAAGACTAGAAGTTAAGAGCTAAGGGCTGAACGACGAGAAAGCGTGAAGGCCACCGTGTGTGACTTTCTTGAGTTGGAGATAGTCTAAAGTGAAGGAAGATAAACTTGGTCGCTAGCGTCGAAAGCTCGGCGCTTAAGGGTTAGGGTTGGGGTAGTAAAAATGTAGTCTCTTGACTACATAGCTATTTATTCCTTTCAAGAGGATGTTCGATAGGGGATTTACAGACATTGGGCTGGAAAGAGGCCGGGAGGATGGGTTCGAGAAAAGAAGGATTAGATCCGCCTTCTTTATGTTTAATACGTCTAGCGTGCTTCCGAGGGTATGCTTCYGGGACTTCAATCTTTAGATGCGACTAGCGTCCACCGGAGAACTCACTTTTCGCCGTACTATCGATGCTGTTCGTGGTCGAGAACTTTGCAGTCGAGAGGGAGCTGTGATAAGGCTCCTGCCAGTCAACGGGACGAACCTTCTCCGGGACTTGGCTACATGGTTTCAACGCGGAGTTCTTCACCTTCCTTTCCTTCTCTCATGTCCATCATACAAAGCTCCAGCATATGCCATCATTCCTGTCGTCTGAAACATTCCTTTTGTTCAAGATGGATGATATGCCTTATACACCTGCAAGGCTCCCTCAACAGACTGGACGACGCCGAAGAAAACAGTCAATGCAAGCACCGTTATCGCCACCCAGAACGTGTACCACTGTGGGCCTTTCCGACGATCATACCACCACTGTGAGAGTGTATTTGGCTCGGCCTCGTCGAAAACCTGCTTGAGGATGGAAAGACGCTCGCCCCAGTAATGGAAGTTCTCAATTTGACGATCATCTGCTCGGAGCTTGCGACAGTGGACGGCTTTGATATCCAGATTGTGAGCAGATTGCTGTTTGGCATACCAACGCCGGATATCGCGATCCGACGAAGGTAACAGTAGCGCAAGTGTTCTCAACGTCTCCTCGCAGAGGTTTGTTGGGAAGATGTCACTAAAAGCAGCGGCCCATCAGCAAGCTCCTCTATTCCACCACGTACAGTCTCGCTTACTGTTTTACGTTCTCCAAGAAGGTGGCCTGGTGAAAAAGCAAGACCTTCGTGTCGTCGTCTCGAAGGCTTAAGTGAGAAGAAAGATCATTGGTCCACTCGATGGAAATTCCAGCGAGGCGCTCCAGACTGCGCGCGTTAAATGTCTTCTCCAGTCGAACGTGCGCATTGCTCGTCTTGTTACTGCTGAATACATCTGCGAGAAAGTCGCGCAAAGAGCCTTTCTCCCACAACAGTGGTCTGCGGGATGTGTATGCACAGCGAAGAGCGCCTATCTCTGCACATGTCAAGGCTCTCGCTGCCCAGTCGACTGAATTCTCCACATCCTCATTCGCGTTGGACACATTGGGCAAGGTTTTGGCTGCCAACAATTCCGCGACAACGTCTTCTCTCGTTCGATGTCCATCGACCAGTTTCGTCGCTATGTCAGCAAGCTCCTGGTGAGTTGTGATGTGTCCACTAGCATCTCCAAAGATCGGACGGCTCTCGCTCTGTGCAATGGAGAAGAAGTCGCATTGCTGAGCATAGTATTCGAAGAAAGAAACCGGTGTGCATGCAACTGGGCATGCTCCCCATAACAGTTCAAGTAAGCGGTTCTTGGCGGCGGTTGAAATTGGTGCCTCTGTGATGGATGTTTCGAGTGAGTCCTTTTCCCGTACAGCATTCATGATTCTCCCTTCAAGTGTGGTTATCACGGAGGACTAAATAGCGAAACGACTAAATCCTCAAGATTATCGTGGACGGTGGCGCAGACCGTCTCGAAGCGCGTGCGGCTGAGCTGCATGAGGAGGCGCTAAAGAGTTTAGCGGATGGTCTGCATATAGGCGAGGACTGCCTTCTCTTCGATGGGCTGACGAGGTCATGTCCATGATTAACTATGAGCACCATGACTTCCACATTGCGCCTTACGCGAATATTTGACCGCGTAGTTGAGCGGCAGAAACCACTACTGCCTTGGCCAGACCCGGAGGAATCTATTGGAGYATTCTATCGAACTCTTGGCCGCTATCAGTGCTGGGAGATGCGAGGCAGAGCTCGTCAACTATACCTGAGTCTTGCAAACGACATCAAAGGCCACCTGGAACGCCATGGCGATATTGTTTCGGCAACGGTCATCTGGTCGGCCTACATGATTGGCAAGTCAAAACAATGCGCCAATCCTACCGTGTTCTTTTGCAGCAAAGATCCCAAGGCACGGCGAGCAGTACGGAATGAAATTGATGGCAGTGGAATTCTTGAATCATACTCTGGATTCCGGACAGGAGACTGCACAAGACCACCGCATTTGGGTCAATTGAGACAGCTTGCTGTTGGCGATGACGAAGTCACAGGCCTTTGTTCGGAAGGCTCAAACACGGACTGCCATGTTGATGTTGGCCGTCGGATCCGAATTCAATCAAAAGATTCCACCGTCCCACTAACACCTGCCACCATAGGAGCCATCTTGGAGTCGGGCGACTCACTCTACTTCACCACAGCAGCTCATGCTTTTGCAGAACTTGATGCCGATCCGTTTGAGTGTGAGAGTCCAATGGACTCAGCATTCGAATGGGACTTTGACGGCGAGCACGACGGAATCCTGGCAGAGGACGCACGGCAGACTGCAGCTTATGTCGTCCCAGAACCAGGTTCGGTCGATTGGGTCTCGAAACAGCCCACACAAGACACAAATGAGCCAATCTACCAATCAAAAGACGTCCGATTCTCCTCTGCCGACAACCCAAGACCGGACTCACACTTGGACTACTGTCTAGTTGAGTTCAAGCAAGAGTTCTCTGAGCTTGAGAGTGGTGCTCAATACTATACTGCACTGCCAAAAGACGTGAATCGCGAAGGACCCGCACAAGGAGACGTCTTAGTCTACACTGGCTCTGGACGGGCCGATAATGGGGTACTATCTGGAACTCCATCCTTTGTGATGTTGGAAGGTGGTCGATTCTCCCAGGAGCTATGGACTATACATCTAGATGGTACACTTGAGAACGGGGATTGCGGCTCGATTGTAATCAACGCCTTGAGCGGGAACCTCGAAGGTCATATCATAGCTGGAGACCCTGAGACAGGATCTGCTCTGATTGTTCCAGCATATCAGATGCTAGAAGACATTCAGCTGAGATTTGACAGCAACATTCTTCTCTTTCAGACGAAGCAGTGCGTCGATCTTCAGCGTCCGGTTACGGAGGAAGAAATCACAGCAGAAGATTGCTTAGACGCTTCGGAGAGCTTGCATTATGATGGAACGGGGACTGACTGGACTGCTGAAATCACCAGACGATTTCGTCGAATGCTTTCCGAACAACGCATGGAGAGGTTGAGATTAATCAGACGAGGGACGCTCCCGCGACGTTCACAGGCCGCCACAGACCTCAGTAAAGGGACTCGTGAAGACTCAACCCAGGACCATCCCACAGCTTCAGATACTTCAAACTTGATGGCCGAACAAGATGAGGTACGGTTTTCACAAACTGTCGCAGCATCCAGCAAGGCGTCCCTTGGAGACTCAAATCAGRACCATCTCACAGACTCATTTGATCTACACTCGGTGATAAGTAGAGAAGAAGAAGAAGAAGAAGAAGAAGAAGAAGAAGAAGAAGAAGTAAAGTTTGAACGTGCCCTCAATACTTTTGGAAAGGCGCCGCTTGGAGACTCAAATGAGGACCGTCCGACGAATGCACCTCCTCCGTACCATATGCTTTGCCTCCGCAACATACCCCGCGATCCCATGCCTCCCAGCGAGCCAAAGACTCTGCGATTCCGAAGCCTTCTGATGTCGCTATCGGAAATGCCCTGCAGATGGGAAAACCTTGAACTATTGGATGAGGCCCTCACTGCGGTTCCTCTGCAACGCATTCACGATGAAGCGCAAGAGGAATTTGACATATTCGTCGCCGAAGCAGAGTCTCTTGGGGAGGGCAAGCAGGAATGCTGGGGCTACCAGGATTGCGTGATTAGGGCACTGCTGAGATGGTTCAAAAGAGACTTTTTCGAATGGGTGAACAATCCAGATTGCAGCACTTGTCTCGCATCAACGGTCGCAATGGGTATTTGTGCGCCCAATCGTGCCGAGCAAGCTCGTGGCTGCAACCAAGTTGAGCTGTATCAATGCAGCAATTCTGTAAGTTCTTCCTGCGCGTGCGACTATATGTTCGACAAGCCTGAATCCGACTTTCCTACTCCAATTATATTCTATTCAACAAACGAAGACTTGATCTAAAGCACTGACTGCGATCCATAGGAGTGTCTTTCGTGGGTACGCTTTCCCCGATACAACGACGCCTTCGTACTACTCCATACCACAAGAGGGCGGGTTGGCGAATGGGCCAATTGCTTCTCTATGCTCTGCAGAGCTCTGGGAAGCAGAGTACGTTGGCTCTGGAATGCAGAGGATCACGTATGGACCGAGGTATACAGTCACCACCGGAAGAGATGGATCCACGTAGACGTCTGCGAAGAAGCATGGGATACACCACTGTTATACACAAAAAGTAAGTCAACTCAGCTCAGCTTGACAGGTCAGCGTACCCTTTCCCAATGCTCACACTGAAAACAGAATGGGGAAAGAAAATGTCCTATGTCATAGCTTTCTCCTCCCAGGGCTGCTACGATGTGACGAGGCGATATGTTCGCGACTCTGACAGCAGTCTCCCGCGGAACAGGTGTTCTGAGGAGGCCCTATGGCATATTATTGGAGAAATCACAGCTTTGAGGCGCCGCGATAAGAGCGCTGATGAAATTCGGTGGTTGAAGGCTGAGGATAAACGAGAGGAGCAGGAGCTACAACGGTATGTTGTAGAGACACTGGTTACTAACATGCTGAAGAGCGATTCCCTCAAACATAGTGCGGGCGAGAAGGATGCTGTTTCATCGACGAGTGATAAGTCGACGGCGACAGTAGTTCGTCGGGGTCGGAGCTCACGATACGGTTTAGAGTAGTGCCTTGATTGGATTCTCGTGCTGCGATGCTCATTCGCGTTCCACCTATGCGTGAGAGGAGTTTGCTGGTGAATAAGGTCAAGGGTTTGTGGACTGGTATCAAGGGCGTGTGGGATAGTGATGAAGATGAGCAAGATTGTGACGATGAGGAGGATGAGGGAGATGAAGGGGATAAGGACGAGAGTGAAGAATATGAAGCTACATCTGATCATTGAAGGAGCCTGTAAGAGCAACAGGTGCTTTCGATCTGAAACATGTCCCAGAGACGGAAGTACTTCTTCCAGTAATATAGTTCTCTGAGCGAAGGATCTGACGTGCAATTTTCACGTGTAATACTGTCGTCCAAAAGAGTAAGGTGTGCTTTGTAGGTGCTTATAATTCACTTGAATTCTCAGCTTCGTCCCCTCGGATCATTTCCACCTCTATTCTCCTTTCAACACATCTATCAATCTCCATGCCCCCACATCCTACTCCGCAGCCACGTCTCTGCAGTCATTGTACAAGTGCAACTGCAAACGACCTGACCAACGTGACATCATCAGAATCAAGCCACTCCACTCAGTCACTCACCTCAACTAACCCAATTCGGATTGCATTGCGAGACACAACGACTTCGTACAGCAGAAGCAAATCTCGCATTCTCCTCCGTTTCAATAGAATTGCTACTTACTTACTGACTACACACTACTGTATAAATGGGGTAAATTGTAGATTACGAGGACTGAAATGCTGCTGCCTGGCACAGCGCTAGGATATAAATTGCCGCACGTCCGCCCCGTTTGAACTATCACCACACACACGTCTTTGCAAAGCTCACTTCATCGCATCGCAATCTGCAGAGATATCTATCCACACAACCTACATCAGCCAGTTAGAAATTGATCTGCTGCTTCTATCAGATCAACCTCTTCCATCCTCATCACTGCCGATCGTGCCATCTGCAACGTATACGAATACCACCACAGTCCGCAAAGACACCAACAAACACCAACCTCCCCACCTCAAACTCCACCAAAAATGCAAATCCCCATGGATGAAATCAACAGCGAAGTCCTCAAAAGAGCCGGCATGGACCCCCCACCCTACACTCCCATCGTAATGAACCGTGTCTCAATCCCCGATGAACCACAATTCCATGAAGCCATGGTCCACGAACTTCAGAAACATGACTCTGCATTATATGAGATTACCTCTGGTGATCTTGAGAGCCCAATTCGCAATGGTTGTTCTGTGGAATGTCTTCCGCGGGTTCCGAAGGCAATGTGCTGTAAGAGGAAGGAGTTGAAGGCTAGTTATAAAGCTGTGAGGAGAATTGAGAAGGCTGTTTATAAAGCTGAGAGAGCTGCTGCTAAAGCTGACAGAAAGAATGCTAAAGCTGGGAGGAAGGGATGTTGTTGTTGAGTGTTGTATCGTTTAATGTCCGAAGTACTTGTGCATCACTCCAGCTCGAAGATGTTCTGGCAGAAGGACCGGCAGAGTTGAATGAGTGGAAATGCAAGTCCATCAAGCCTCACCTTCATCAAGCTCACTACAAAACTCACACACATACCTCGCACAGTGACCTGAAGTCTGATGCTCCCTCCTTCGCAGAGCCCTTTGCCACGCAGGAAAGTCTCGACCTTCTTCACGCCGTGCTTTCCAATACTGTTCTTTATACTCTTCTCTCACTTCCGGCGGCGAGCTTCCTCTGGAATAGGCAGCATTGACCTCTTCACCATAGAATGCGATCCGCAATCGTTCCAATTCCCTTCTACGTTCCGCGAATTGCAAAGCTTTCATTCGTAGAAGCTCCCCAAGTTGAGGCTCACAATCCCGCAGGATCTCTCGAGTGAAATCATATACCATTCCCAACGTCAGACCATCTTCTGGCTTGAGAAGCAACGTCCAAGGTCTACTCGAACCCATTTTCCGCGTCTTGAAATTCAACTGAAGTCCCAATCCCTCATATCCCTTTGGAAAAACCGTGATATTCCTCCACGAAGCATTCTCCTCCTTCCACTCCTCAGGAGGAACCTGCCACCAATCTTCTCCCGAATCACTCATGACCATCCTCACATTGAACTGTACCACATCCGGCACATCTACCTCTCGAAACCACCAACCTCCACGATATATGTGAAGCGGGTGAAGGAACCACCAGAGTGGAGCGGCGGGATCAGTGCCGTGCATGTCCATGCCGTACATGCGATTGTGAAGGGTGGGGGATTGCTGAATTGTGCAGGCGAAGGCGTGATTGATGCGTTGGAGCGGGAAGAGGGCTATGATGGGTCGGGGGTCATGGCCCATCCAATCTTGCTCTCGTTGGTCCTGTTGTGCGTGGGCGATGAGAATTGCTTCAAGTAGCTCGGGGATCGCGAAGACTGTTGAGGCGGCGGAGTTGGGGGGAGGGTCGTCCATGATTCTGGTGGTAGATATGTTTCGAGTGACGTTCGCCTGTAAAGGCTCACGTCTTAGTGGTTATAGCACTACATGTTGATTGTAATGCGGCACAGCAATGAGACTACACATGTGGATACGAGAGATGGCAGGGCGTGGAAGCCGGGGAATGTCCGTCTCCATGTGCCAGATGTTTTACGCTTATTCATCGCGGTTTCCTTCTACCAAGGGTACAATCGTTCCTCGTTCTTCACTCCTTCAACATCATTCTACCATTGCATGTCCTGTCGAGAGGCAGTTGTTGGTTCAAACAACAGTAGTATGCACTGAATCTCGCGATCGCTTTGGCGGCGGCCTCCAAGAAGCTCAGCCTCCACCAAAATGTGCACAGCCACAGGTCTTATACTTGACCAAATGTCACCATCTGCCTTCCGGGACCGGCCAGAAAACATACCCGGCGAACTTGCGAAGCAATGGAGGGGAACTACACTCACAAACCGCTGACCAAAGCTGGTAACATCCGGATTCTTTCTCTCCAGCCCGCACCTGCTCTGGAAGACCCCCTCATTTGTACATTGGAGGAGGTTGACCCCGAACATGTTTCATACACTGCTCTGTCGTACAGCTGGGCCATGGAGGACGACCGACTTCGTCAGGATGGGGCAGGACGATTCCCTTCAGAAGAGGATTATGAGCTCACCCACGCTCCGGGAGACTCATCTACTTCAAAGCCAATTGTCCTGGATGGAGTTCAAATTCTCGTCGGGGAGAATCTTCGCGACGCTCTGCGAAGGCTTCGAGATGACTGCGMTAAGATTGCTCGACTCTGGGTAGATGCTGTCTGTATCAACCAGAAGAACGACGCGGAAAAGAGCAGCCAGGTCGCCATGATGGCGTCCATCTATGGGCGTGCGAGCGAAGTAGTGTCATGGCTCGGTGAAGGCGACGAGAAGGTCAACGCCGCTGTAGAAATTCCGCTCCGATGTTTGCTTGCTGATCTGGCGCGAGGTTCCCCTCTAGGACGTAGACTCACCCTTCAACACAGCTGGGATTGGTCTCACCGTGTTTATCGCCCTACCCGAGAGGCCTGTTCCGTGTGCYGCTACGTTCACGTTGCTGATATAGTGTTTCCCCACAGCTCAGGAAAGAAAGCCGTCTATGGAGCACATCAGAGATGGAAAGGTGCCCTCACTCGTCGCGAAGACGTCCCACTTCTTCCAGTCCTGCGTAGAGCATGGTACGGCTGGCCTACTCCGGCTCTAGGTCCCTGCTACGTCACTCCTTCTTCTGCTTTGCTCCAGCTATCCAGAAGACGTTACTTTTCTCGACTGTGGGTTGTGCAGGAGGCTGTTCTCCCACGACCCAACCGAGTCGTCTTCCAGTGGGGAGGCCGCAAGCTAGCTGGAAATATCTTGACCGTGATGTACAGGCTGTCAATTGATTCGGACTCCGTACAATATAGCTTGGACGGATTCACCGATCCCCCGTTGGACCCCCAAAGTCAACTACCCACAAATCTTCCGGGCTGGATAGATTACTGTTCGGCCAAGAAATGCCACGACCCGCGCGATCGCCTCTACGCCTTGTTAGGCTGCGTCGAGAGCCCGATGAACATCGAACCGGACCACAGTCGAGACTTGAAAGATGTTTATCTTGAGTTTGCGAAGCACCTCCTTGCACAAGACGGATTTGAAGCACTAATTGGGAATTGCTGCGGCGTCCTGGCCTGGTATCCACTTTGGTATCCATATGTGATTCCGACATGGATGCCAGACTTGAGATCCAGGTTTCGTTACTTGACATCTGTGCAAACGCGAGGATCGATGGAATATGCCAGACCGTCCATCTCAGAAGATGGCAAGGTCTTGTCTTGCCACATGATATATCTGGGAACTATACGTCATCTGCACTTTTCTCGAGCTCGGGACATGCACGGACCTGACGCTGTAGTCGTCTGGCAGACACAAAGAGGACTTTTAGATACCGCGGCGGACTTTCCAGAGGATCGCGAGCCGCAGGGTATTGCGGACGGTGCCATCATCGCGATGCTCTCGCAGCGGCCAGATCCTTTACTCAAATTCCGTTTTAAGCCCAGTAATGCGCTCCCCGGAGATATTCTATGCGCGACGCGCTGCGAGAAGAAGATGATTCTACGGCGAGCAGAGACCGCCGGCCAGTGGGAGATTGTCGGATGTTGGTACAATCTACGTTATACGCACCGAATACGTCCAAAAGAACGAAGACTGTATCATCTTGTTTGACGTTGTCATTCTCGACGAGTGGGCGGAGGGTATTGGAGATTGATCTCTGGAACTATGCAGAACATCTCGCTGGCTTCATCACCTCACTTTCTTGTATAAGAATATAGCAATCTCGGAATTCCATCGCAGATTCTTTGAGATATATCTTGGACGAAGGATCCCATCCTCATCACTTTGACTGAGACTCACAGGGTTCATTGTGGTTGTCTGTGCGATTTGGATGTCTTCTTGCGCCCATGCAAGAGTGGATTCAGGGGTGAGATGTGATGCGTTGAGGTGGGAGTCAGTGGCTGCCCTGTCATGAGATTGGCGATACTAGCGCTTGGACTCGAATTACATGCTGGAAGACGATCGATGCTGTCGAACCTTTTGCGGGGAGGGATTTCCGAGATGGGTGTCATTTGGCCATGAGTGCAGTGATGTACCGTAGGCTTCTAGGCCGTTTAATTTCGGGTGGGTCCTGCCTGTGCAGAGTGATGCCTATCGTTGGATCATCGGGTGAAGACGCATCGATAAGGAAGAAGGTCAGAGCACACACACACCCGAGCCTCGCTCAGATATGTATTGGCGTGGCGGCGTCTGTCTGAACTCAACATCAACCACCCGTTCGTTACTCATAGGAGTGGAGGAATCGAGGGTGGCAGGTCTTCCCAAGCTCGGCTTTTTCCGCTCGAGGCCGACTGGGATTGACGAGACATTATCGTCGTGTTTTGTGGTGGCAACTTCTTTCTGTCTTGGGGATCTGGGTATATGGGTTGCATTCGACAACGGTGATGCCAACTGAGGACAGAGCTGTCGATGATATGAGGATTCTTCATCGATGCAAAAACCAAACCCCTCAGTCGTCTTTATGACGTTTTGAGGCCTTTCTTGCTCTCTCTCTGCATAATATATAACTTTGGGGCTGCTGGAAGTATTGTTGGTAGCAGAATGGACCGTTTATAGTATGGAGAGGGCAATTAAGGGGGCTGTTTTGTTAAAGACAGAGCTGTCGATATGAGGATTATTCATCGGGACAAGACATCCTTATTTATCCCTACAATGTCCCTAGGCCTCGCTCTCTACAGATTCGACGATTCTAGGGCTGCTGGAAACAGAATCACTAGCAGAGTAGCCCGCAAATCGATCGAGGGAGCAGTTGGGGGCGCTGCTCATGTTAATGATTTCTCATATCGACAGCTCTGGTTAAAGATTCTCGCATATCGACTGCTCTGACTGAGGAGGCGTTCACAACATTTTTGTGCCAGGCTGAGCTAGCTACAGGAAAATGAATCTATGGTCTCTTCAGGTAATGTTTTGTGGAGCTATGTAGGGTCGGGCATGCATGCGCCATCTAGTCCGGAAGGTCCATTGGTTAAGCTCAAGGAGAGGAGACATTGGGCACAATCCTGCCTTCTCTTCCCATTCTAGAGATCTCTAGACCTGCTGCTCTTCTATTCGCTCCGACTTTTCGCAGTCACCCTTTGCTTCATCATCCTGCGCTGTTCCCCTTTTCACTTCCGTTGCTGGCTCTGCTGGAAGTGGGCGCTGGCTGATCGACAGTCGAAGTTTCTGTTGATTTCTCAGATCAGCATGTTGACGTCGCAAGAAGCTCACTCAATGCGAGCAGCAGGACGAATGACTGGAGTTCGACGTACCTGAGATTTCCTGGAATCGAGCAAGATCGGCCTTTGCGTCCGCGGTAATCCGTTCCAGCAGCGTGTTTCTTTGCTCCCCCGTACTGACCAGGTCTCCCAACACCATGGCCTTCTCATCGAGCAACGCGACAGTCTCTTCTAGAATGATGATCCGGGCCTCCACTTTGTTGTGCAATCTAGCGGCGCATGCCAACTGCCAGCGGAGCTTCGCGCTCTCCTCGCGCTCCTTGAGCACTTCTTGTGTCAGATATCTGGTGCTGGCGGTGGATAAGTCTGGGAACACTCCGTCGATCATAGGAGCATCATCATCGGTGACATCCTGCTGTTCTTTCCCAGAGTCTTCTTGGTATTCCTTGGGTTGGGCGGTGCGTCGGTCGACGCTTTCGCCACCGTCAGGCTCCGGAACTGTGCAAAAAATTAGCTCTGATATTTTCGTCGTGAAAAAACGAGGTGCTCTGACGGTCCGCCATCTCAAAACTCTGCGTGCCACTGGTGAGGAAGTGTGCGTGTCAAAGGTGTAAGGATGAATAGTGAAGTCTAGGGAAGTGCCATTAGCAAACAATTCATGACCGCTGCCGGAGTTCTCCCGAGCGGGAGGAAGAGAGCGGGATCAATTTGACCTCACTTCGCTTTCCTTCATCATGTATTGATGGACTATTGATGAGAGAATGAGGCCAGTGTCTGGTCGGAAAGTGCTGTTGACTCAATCCTCTCGCATGGGTGACATATGCCGACTGAATACTGAGTACCCCTGACCAATGAATCTCTTGTCTCCTTCGAAGCTGCAGGAGGTTCTTGAGTTTGCTTGCTGAAACTCATGAAAGGGTATAATTGAGGGAATGACCTAGCCTCATGTCGTTTCTGCTCGAGAAGTAGTCATGCGAGGTGGCAGAATTGACGATCCGAGGCCAAAAGATCTTTCCATCACCTGCTGGAAGATTCACCGACGGAGGAATATACTGGCAGGAAATGATTGTAGCAGCTCCAAGACTGACGACAAGGTCAAGCACTAAATGAGGTGAAGATGACCTACAAGGCCGTCTCTCAGTCAAAGATCCGTACATCATCAATTCTGCAAAGCAAGGCCCAGAATCTGCAGTGTATATACCCTCTAAAAGTCTCCATCTCCATCAACAACCATCGCCATCCATCCTCACCACCTTCACTCCCTCAACCGAATCAAAATCTCAGCCTCCTCACTAGGCACAGCAAATCCATTAATCGCATTACTCTCCGGCCTCCCCCCCTCAATCTTAATATCATAACTCAGCAACATATGCGCCAAAGCCAATTTCATTTCCTGAGCCGCAAAGAATCTTCCGGGACACGCATGTCTTCCAGCACCGAAACCCAAGAAATCCGGTCCAGCGGCGATTAAAGCTTCGTTTTTCGCTTCTAGAACTTTTGCTAATTTTACGGGATCCCCGCTCTCGGATGCTTGGGCTAGGTAAGTTTCTCGCGGAGCGGAGAAGCGGAAAGGGTTGTAGGAGTTTGTGTCTTTGGGGTAGAATCTGGGATCTTCGTGCAGGAGATTTTGGGAGAAGGCTATGAGGATTCCGTGGGGGAGGTGTGTGCCGTCTGAGAGAGTTACTCCTGCGGGATCATTTACCTGGAGTTGAAAAAAAGTCAGTCATTGCCAGGATATGTGTCGGACGGACGGGGGGGAAGGTATTACCAATCTGACGGTCACTGTTTCGAGGATAGAAGAGTATCGCATACTTTCTCGAATGGCGGAGTCGACGCGGATTAAGTCGTTGACGGCGTCTTTGGTCCAGATTCCTCCGTGGGCGGCTAGAACTCGCTCGCATTCTTCTCGGAGGGAAGCGATGGATTCTTCGGCGTTGGGGGAACTGTAGAGATCCAAGACGGTGTTGGTGAATGTTATAGCTGTGCTGTGAATGGAAGCCATGTTCCAGTTCAGGATTCGGAGGGCGATGGTGTGTTCGTTGAGTAATGAGGGGTCGGTGACGGATTGTTCGAGGATTTCGTCGAGTAGCCATTGCAGAGCATCATACTGCGTTTCACGTCAGCTTTCAGTAGGAAATTTGTAGAAGATGATGCTGAGACGTACGGGTCTTTCCCAAGACTTTAATAATTCCGGATCTTGCATGTGTCGTAGTCTTTCATGAATCACCGGAATCAAAATCTTCGTGCAAGCTGCAAGAGGTCTTGAAATCATGCCTTTGAAAGTCCAATGTACAGGAGCATGCAGACTCTTCGGGATCATTTTCATTATACCGCCGAGAGTGAAAATCGCCACGGCGTAGTCGCAAGAACTTTTTATAAAGACTGGGTTCCGACCTACATCAACGACCGTCAGCGAAACTTATATTGCTTGAGATTGAATGATTGGAAAAAAACCCACAAACTTCAACCCCACAAAACGCTCGATTAGCAGCCTGACTAACAATCTTCATAATCGCAGGATACACCTTCACAGCCCTGTGATCACGTTGTCTCGTAACAGGAAACTCCCTCTCCATAGCCATAACCAACTCCGTATGAATCGCAGAAGTCATAGTCGCGAGTCTCCGAGTAAGTTGTCTTCGAACGATTCCAAAATGTACGGATAACCCACTTCCGATCCCCGGGTAGATTAGTCTGTCGATGGAAAGGGTCGCTTCGATGGGGATTTCTATGTCGATGCGGGAGTCTGGCATGGCGTTTATTTCGGGGATCATGGATGAGGGGAGGATTATTAGGGGTTCTTGGAGGAGTTGGGGGAGGATGAAGAGTTTGTTGTTTTTGCCGTACTGTTATCGTTTTTGGTCAGTCTGGGGAAGTAAATTGGAAGGGGGGGTTTTGAGGTATGGGTTACTTTTTCGTAGCCTTCAAAGATAAGGGATCGAGTATCTTTGATTGTGCGAATTTGTGCTCGCAGTCCTGAAAACCATTGATTGCTTTGTCCGACCCATGGTTGTGATTTCCAGAATTTGTGTTTTGCGGAGAAGGATGGGAGGATGAATGTTGAGAAAGTAATGTAGAATAATACCAGGGCACCGATTGTTGGTACGACGTTTGGGAGGTCGAATGTTGCTGACATGGTTGCGATATTCGAGAAGTCGGTCAGTGCTGAAGCACTGGGGAGGGATGTCTACAAGATATACGACGACAACGATCTGTCTGCCGCGGGCGGGAGTCCGTCAATTAGACTATCACTAGGACTACCTTCTCCACATATTCTCCGCCAAAGGACTTCCACCGAAATGTCACGGCCACGGTATCTACATCCTCCGATCACACCTATAGACACTATCTAAGGATCCTTGATACCGTCCCGTGGAATATCCCATTGGGTGAACGCTGCACTGCATACTGTCGAAAAGAGGAAAGCTGGTATCGAAATGTATTGATACGGGGCTGTGAACCAATCATCGAGCGTTGTTGTCTTGGCGCTTAATGCGTTCGGTCTGGTTCGGGCAATATTGTGTCATCAAGTCCCCGATGTTACGCCAAGGAGACCGACGGCAGGGATCAGTTTTGAGGAAGTTGTGAATATTTTGAATGGCTGACGTTCTTGAATGTCTGCAACTGTTGAAAGCCGTATATGAATTTGTTACTACCAGAATAGTGTGTATTTCTGTCTGTGATTCGGTTTGTGATGCGGCAGTGCTACGTGTGTATGAATCTTCAATTTATCAACCTTGGCGTCTCTTCTTGGCATGCCTTTAAGTACCGTACAGTGGTGCTAGCCGAAGTGGCCACTGGTCAGTGCACGCGCTAGGCGCGGTCCGAGAAAGTCTAGCCCAAACAAGAGCTAATACTTGGCTAGTAGGCTCGATTTCTGATTATAGCCTTGCATCGCCTCCCCGCTGAGCCAATCGTAGCCGTCGAGATCTTCGTCAATATCTGGTACTTACGTTACGGAAGCGGATCGAGCCTTCTACGCACTGACCAGTGGCCACTTCGGCTAGCACCACTGTACATGGAGAAGCCCTGTCTCCTCGACCATGAAAATCTCCTTTGTGAATACCAAGTTGTTCCACCATTGATCTCGCTCGCAGTGTCATTCTCCTCCCACAGTAGTTCCACCAAATCCCCCGCCGACAATTCTTATCATTCTCCCACGTCACCAAGTAAACTCCCAACGCCACCAGAACCACAAATATCAACTTTTCTGGAAGTCTTTCCATACAAAGTCTCCCTTTCGTCATCTCAAAAGCCATTAACGGGACCATGAATCTGAACTCTCCTTTGGTGGGCCAGGTGCCTGCGACGTACGTATTCATCGGCACTTTTACCCTCAATCTCCCGCTTCCGTCTCTCGGAATTTCTCGATCGCTGCAGAGATGAATTCATGTCTCCGGGTCAGACGCAAAGAGAGAATTTGGAAAGCAGCGTCGGCAGAGAGCTTTAACCTTGGCCACCTCTACCCGTAGTTTCTCCCAAAGAGCTGATTTTCGGGAAGAAGACGATTGTGAGGGTGGGCATTAGCTTCCTCAGCTCTCTTTAGTCCCTTGCATGCCTCGATCTCCCGAGAGATGAATTCTAGTCTCTGAGTCAGAGCCAAAGTAGAGGAATTTCGAATAGTGTGTCGAAGGGTCCTAACGTTGTACATCTCTGCAATGATATGATTCCGGATAACTTCTCGGGAAGGCGGCTGTAATGGTCGGGAATTGGCCATCTCTGCACCGAGTTGATCCCGGATGWCTTCTCGGAAAGGCGGCTGTAATGGTCGGTAATTGGCTCCCTCAGCTCTCATCCGTCTCTTGACTWCATCGATCTTCTCAGAGATGTATTCTTGTCTTGGAGTCAGAGCCACAGGAGAAGTTTGAATAGATTGTTGGAGTCGGAGAGCTGTAACCGCGGCCACCTCTGCACTTAGTCGCTGCCGGGGGCCTTCCTGAGGATATGATTGTGATGGTTGAGAATTGGCTCCTTCAACTCTAATCCTCTTCCGGGTAGCAGTCTGAAATGGTCCCGCCACGGCTTGATCGTTGTCCTCGCCTACCAGTATAGGATCTTCTGGAGCAGCACCTTGTAGCGAATTCGATGGAATCCGCACATCGGCTTCTTCCACCCGCCGTCTGTTTTGATTAGTTTTCYGCAAGATTCCCGGTCTGGCTTGATCGCCGTCTTCTCCATAATGTATGCCATTCCTAAAAGGTTGAAATGGAAATTCTTTCTCAGCTTCAGTTCTGGCTTCTGCTTCATTCATGCTGAGCATCAGAGGCTCTTCCACAAGATTCCACCTCGTCTGGGCGTTGGCGTCACAGTTATTGACCCCAGAAGCACCCCACATCATAGCGTTCACCCTCTGCTGGTCGGTAAAGTGTCTGGTCGATGGGGGTTCGGTCCTCATCCCCATGCTCCCTGGATTGCTCAGCAGTGGATCTTGTGGATTTACCGCCCTGTTCCAATCTGCAACTTCTTCCTCATGAGCCGATACGGGCTCCCTTAGATACCTCACCGCCATCATAGCCTCGGCTTCTGCCAGGATTTGTCCAGGAGTTTTTGTCGTAGCGGCTCTCCTCGGACGGCGAGATGGTGGCATTATGGGGCTTTGGAAGACAGATATTCCTTCATTGTGGGTGGGAGGATTCATCTCGGAAGCATCTTGACGGGCGTGGACTTTCCGAGAGGTAGTGCCGGCAGTATCCCGACGTTGATTCATTCCATGCCTGTCCKCATTCACTTGAAGGCTAGCAAGAACATCTGGGCGGTCTTTGAGCAATGAAAAAGTACAGCTGGCAGCACTTCCTGATGCATTTGTTTGCGGAAGAGGACCCTGCAGTGCGGTATTGTGCCGTATGGTGCCATCAACACCCCACATTGGGAAGTGTGGCGTAAACTCGGGTAGGTTGGATGTAAAATCCGCCGCTTCGCGATCCTCAAGCTCGTTCGTGATGACCTGACCAGTCCAGGGAAACTCGAGAAATTCTCCATCTTCTAGAGTTGGAGACTTGGGTAGACTGGCTCTGTGAGCGGCCAGTGCGCGATCCGATTCGTCGAAAAAGAAGTTCTGGTCATACCTGGGGAACGTGTGAGAGACTCTTTCTTCTGGAGTTGGAGACCTGGGCAGATTGGCTGTGGAATTGGCCATTTCGGGATCGGTCGACATGTTTGCTGTAGAGGTGATTGTTGGTGTTGGGTGTATTTTGGTTGTGCGTGCAGCTTGGCTGTGCGTGCAGTATGGGTGTGCGTGCAGCTTGGTTGTGCGTGCAGTATGKGTGTACGTGTAGTTTGGCTGTGCGTGCAGTTTGGATGTGCGTGTAGTGATGTACGGAGACGCTCGGAGAAATCGAATATCTTGTAAGAAGAGAAGTTGAGGACACTGCCTGTAGCCGGCCACATTCTGTCAGTTTGCAGTGCCATGGTATTGGTAAGAAAACTTCGCTTAGGAATGTGGTAGATGTAAACCTTGATATACCATGTGACCACAGACAGATGAAATGAAGTGTCGTATTGGCGGTGATAATGGGTTCAGGTGGATGTAATGTACAGAGGTCTTAATGAGGTAAGAGCCACTGTAATGCGCCGGTTCAGTCCACCACTCCTTCCTCTCACACTGATCGCGAAAGCTAAGCTTTGCTACAACCTTCCTGTCATCGTGCTGACTACCACGTGTGATACTTGAGACTKATTTGTATTCAAACGGGGCTATGGTTAGAAAAAGCAATGTGCAGTCCCTGGCGACGTCTAAATTGAGTCCGGACTAAAAGCTACGATACCAAAGCTGTTGTCAAGTCCAATGTTGACTTCAAGTACAGCTACCGTCACGTTCCGGCCAGAAACTCAATTGACTACAGTACCAAAGGGTAACGTGAAAGTATAAGAGAAGACACATCGCTACACCAGACATTCGGCGGCAAACAGAATTGGGAATTCTGCCCTTTCCCACTCTTTGATCAAAGTCAGAATCAACATCTCTCATCACCATTCCCGGGAAGCTTCCGCCTTCAAAATTGCGCAATCGGGACTTGATGACGCTTTGAAAACGACACTGTGGATTCTTTTTCGATCTTACTGGCCACAAAAGGGACGATATTGGATGCGTGGGGGTCGTGTGGTCATCATGTAGGTGTCTTGGCGAGGTCACAGTTGCTGCATTCTCACATGATCATTCAGTCGCATGCAGCTTCGAAATGATCCCTGACGAAAGCGCTTCCTAAACTTGAATACGTTTGGAATGGTCCTGAGGCTCACCCTGGACGCTGTACCAAAGCAGGCAAATAAATTCATGGATTCCAAGACTACAAGTAACTTGATTGCTTCCTCCTCTACTGCAGTCAAGCTGATGAGTAGCGCTCGAGAATCTCACCACCACAAGCATTATCCACCGGTAGTATTCCCAAGACACGTAAAACACATCTTCTTATTCACAACCGGGAAAGTCTTGGCGAGAACTTTATTCAAAGTAACCTCCTGTCCAGGCCTCAGCATAAAGACAGCATGTAAATGATTCTCCACACCCGCCAAAGTAGGAGAACACCGAAAAAACAAATTCTGGACCAATTCGCCCAATGTCCTGTCGTAGCGCGCACTGAGCCCACCCGTTCTGAGATTGTTCTGGAGTTCCATGCATTTGGCTCGTGAATATTCTCGACCCACGTAGACGTCGTATTGGATGTAGTTGAGGTCCCAGTTTCTGTATTTACCTTTTGAGAGAAAGGCGAGGGAGGCGCAGCGTTGTTGGCCGAGTGGGATTCTGGTTGGAGGGGTTGGCGTCCAGATGCGTTTCTCTATTTGGTTTGGCGAGCCAAGGACCGGGGTGATGAGGCATATTGCCACGAGGGCAAGCAGCGAGATTTTGAGAATTTTAGGGAGAATCATCGTGGGTGATGCGGGAAAACCATCTGGAGCAGCTGCGCAACTTATAAGTGATGCAATGCCAAGATTCCTTCTACTAGTTTCCCCTTTGATGATGTTGTAGCTTTCTTAGTATTGTTGTTGTGACGAGGTCTTTGTAAAATCTTTGCATGCTAGAGCCTGATCACGTTCTACGAAGTTTCCTACGACGCACAGCTCGGAATTGCAGTGCAATAACAAAGCGAGACAATTTGGTCTGGATGCAGCACGATAGATGACTTCTTCTTCCATAAGAATAAGTAGTAAGACGGCTGGGAAGTTGTGCGTCAAATCAAGGGAGGCGGCGTTCGACTGCACTCCCACTGGCAGCCCACTTTTAACGTGCGTGGGTGACTCGTTCTGAGTAGAAGGCCACTCTGAATGATATCCTGATAATACCGAACTTATCAGCGATGCGGTGAGAAAGGCGACTGAAAGTGGGACACAGATCAAGGTTGCGACAAAGCTGATCCTTCACATAATCTTGATTAGCAGCTAGGAAGAGATCGATTTGATGTGTTCAAGACAACGTACGTCGTGGAAGCCACACCAAAGTATGTGTTCTACTAGTTAACTCATGAGAAATCATGTAATGTAGAACTGACTTGATGCAGGGCCGGTGAAGAGATAGCACTCAACGACACTGCAATCGCATCAAACTCCATCATAAGCTTCGAATTTGTTTACTGTCAATCATCTGGAGTATCAAACCTTTATTTGCATCATAGCAGCTTCCACGTGCCACGCACTCCATGGCATGTCTGAGCCCATCCTTTCTTCAGATCCAGTCACATTCCATTTGCCTGAAGGTTGAGTGGCTCGGCATTACTGAGGTGGAAGGATGGATACACCGAGTGGGATAGCTCATATGGATGCAGAATATAATGTTGCGAGTATAAAGTGTGTGACAGACACATCAGGGGTGGGTGGTATTGCACATCACGAGCAGACTAGAACCTCGTTGAAAAGGAAATTTGAACTTCTGCCGGGCAACTAGCAAGCAAGAAGATTGATGGATTTGGCTGTCACCAGTGTATCTTCGAAGAAAAGAAGCAAATATCCCAGATGAGGTCTGAACGGAGTGTGTGGTCATGAACTCATCGTGGATTGGATAATCTAGTGCTAATGCCGTGTAAACATCCGAAAGTCACCCATTGCTCCGCATATTGAAAGCTCCGATCCGCTTGCAAACTCCTTCTGTGAGACCATGTCGCTCATTTGTATCCATAGTCCACCAGGCGACAATTGTGTGATAAAGTAACAGTAGACGGCACTCTCGCTTGTCAGCAGTCATCGGCGAGTCTCCCGTAAAAACTCCCTTCTTCGCTACCTCCCCGTAACCGACCTGTATCTAGCGCTCTCCGTCTGCGTAGTAATCACCGCGAGCACGCTTGTTTGGGAGGAAGTACGAAGCCTGTTCATTGGCTGATTCATCCAGCGAGCTGAGATTCCTCTTGAGCCCGCCATGGATGTCGGTCGGCCGCGCGAGGAAGTCGCCTTGGAACGCGCCTCCGATGTCGTTGGAGTCATCAGCTTCGGCATGGGGTATACTCTGAACACCTGGATGTACAGCAGGGCCGTGAAGTTGCGCAGCCGTACTCTGAGCCATCTCTGAATTCTGAGCCTTGTTGTAGGTTCCACGCCTCTTGCGCTCCTTGGCGGCGCCTTTCGTACCCTTTGCGCCGCCTGTCGTTTGTACTGCGCGCTTCTCGACCGAGCTGTCATCAGAGGACTGAGCTGTCTTCCTGCCGCTGGCTTTCTTGCTCAATTCGGCAGGCTGCGTGACGGACACAAAGTGAAACGGCGTGGTTGCCGGCGCTGTAGACGACGAACTTGCAACTGCAGGATCCGGAGACTTGCTGAGACCCGATTCCAATTCCAAGAGCTTCGCATGCTTCATGGCCTTGGCTGCGTTACCCTTTGCGGACTGGTAGATAGCCTTGTATCGGCCTTCTGGCTTGGCGACATACGTTGTGATGGCGTCAATCCCCGACAAAAGGTTTCCCGCCAGCGTCTTCGTTCCACTGAGTCCGTTCAAGTAACAATTCATTCGTTGATCAGGCGTCCATTTGTCGTCCATCTTTGAATTGTCCGACTTGTTTGGCATGGCGTTGACGTCGAAATGATCGCCGACGGCGTAGTATTTGATGAATGAATTGAATAGGATCTCGCAGATTGCGCTGATCTTCGCGTCAGCGTCGCCGGCGAGGACTCGAGCGGCGATGTCCTCCTTGAATTTTGTGTTCATGATCGATTTAGTCGTTTCATGAAGACCCCATTCGGACTTGGGCGGCAGATTCTCCACCGTTACAAAGGCCTCCTTGATTCTGGCGATCCAGTATTGCCTGTTGTTGGGATGTTTGAAGGAAAGTCTCCCGCTGGAATGGTAGAAGAAGCTCACTCCATAGTGTCGTGTGTAGGCTTTGAGTGCTCCGAGACGGTTAAAGTAGGGGAAAGCTTCTCTCCTGCAGTCGAAGCGACAGAGCCATCAACAGAGACTTGTTCATTGAATTGAAATGTTGCTGAAGGGTTCAATGAGCCGTCTGCGTGTATCTCAGAAGTCGAGGAAGGGACTGCGGGAGCTGCGCGCATGGTTTGTTCCATCTGTTGACGATTTGTTTCTGGTGTGGTGCCAACGATACTCTGCACATCATAGCTGTTGCCATTGATGTGATCGGACTGGTCCTCGGGAGCCTCCAACGGCGCGTAGTCAGGGCCTACAGGCAAGTCATCGAAGAGGTCTTCAAACCCCTCGAAGTGGCTGGGTGACAATGCGTTGTCTTGTTGAACGCCAAATAGCCGCGMGCCCTCGTCGTAGAGTGTGAGAGGGCCATCACTCGCAAGACCGTTGTCGAGGCCTATGTCGATGAACTCCCCTTTCAATGGGTCCCATTGCCAGTTGCCAATGGACTCGCTGTTATCCATGTTGAAGTTTCCTCTGCTGAAGGAAGATGAACTGGTGGTGTTGAAYAATGCGCGGAGTGTGCTGGCGAGATACTGTGTGGAATGTATGTTGTTCGGTATGAATGTGTTCTCGGAGGGTGATTAGTGGACTAGCGCTGTTTCCCCCACAAATTTGCATGTGACAGTGCCGATCATTCACTCAAACTGGATCCTAAAAATAGCAACGTGATGGGGAAAAACGCAAATTAGCCCTACAATGTTGCCAGAACGACTGATTATGAGGGAGTAGTACATCATGCCCGCGATCGAGCTGAGCAAGTCGTCGCCGTACTGCGCGCTACCGCGCTGTTTTAGCAGCATAAGATCCTCCTCAAATCTTTCAGGCATCGGCTAATTGGACCCATCTCGAGCAGTGAGTGGCGCTGGTAGAGAAGCAGCGTCACAATCGCATCTTTGATCTTTTGGATGTGCAGGCCTTTGTTCTGCTCGTACTTGCTCACATCACGTAGACCTCTCTTCGGGTCGACCTGACTGCGAGGCTGGTAGAAATATACGCGGGTGCTGGCTTCATCAGACCATATGCAGATATCATTGGTCATTTGTGCGACGTTCGAGACGATTTTGATAGCAGGCGTGGACGTCGGTGACACGGCCGGGATATTTGCTTCAGCGTCAGCCGTAAGATCAGAGTCTTGCTCTGCGTCAGTGGATTGAGAGGCGCTGGCTTGAGCGCCGGCAATCGCAGCAGGCTCACCAGCCATCTGCCCATCACCTGAATGGTGCTGAGAGTGGTCGCCCGCAAAGTGCGAATCACCCTGCTCGTCGGGGTCGTTATCAACGGATCGAGAGCCCTTGACTGGCAAGGCTGGCGTGTCACGTAAGGCCGTCACAGATTGAGAAATGGGTGCAGTCTCCTTTATAGCAGCGACATGGAGACCGTGGACGCTTCCCTTTGCGGAAGCCGCCCGCATACTTTAAGACTGCTGCTGGGGCCTCATGACGGCGGGAGAGAACTCTCCGCTACCAGGTCGTAAAGAGTGGGAAGGATGTGAGGGCAACTGCTGGTACTGTGCTGGTTCATTCTAATCCCAGGACACAATTGTAATCGTCCAGAACCAACGATTCATCGGTGTCGAAGAAGTCACCCATATCGAGGGATGTAAGATCAAATCCAGCTAGATCGAATCCTGATGCAGTGATGTCAGGGAATGCGTGTTGGTTGATGCCAAAATGATCGATTGGCTGATTCGCGAGAGGCTGCAAGCCAAATTGGAGGTGTATATGATGAAGGCTACATTCTGTTATAGTTGTCAGGAGAGTAATATCTTTTTGAGTGGAGGTATATATGTGAAAAGGCTCAATCGTAAATTATCATGACGGTACATCATTGAATGCTTCCTACACACCAAACGATACAGCCAAGCCTACTTTAATGAATCAAAAGAATGGAAGAAGGGTGTTTGCCTGGTGAACGGGTTTGCAACAAACAAAGGCCTCCCAAGACCTATTTAGTCTACATCACTACAAAAACAAACGGAAAGTTTGCGCTCCTAGATTGATTTGTAGCACATTGGCAGCACAGTGCTGATATTTTGCTGATGACGCACATAATAAAGCTCTAGTGGATTAGCTGTAGTTGTGGGAGATTCCACTACATTCATTATGAGCGTCCATACGCTAGGAGATGTCATTGTATGCATAGCATCTGTTTTGTAATGACCACATCATACACTTCGTAAACCTCAGCATAAAATTTGCGGAAGTCCCATGCAGTCTCACTGCCAATTCAATCTCGCCTACTTGAGAATCATTGTTCTAAAAGGGTCCTCATACCAGCATTTAGTACATGGCCCTGCTCGCATCACAGAAAGTTGTTCGACAATGGTCTGGTGAAGGACATGATCCAAATCTGCGTGACTGTGCTCGATGTAGAATATTCAAAGATTGGGACGAATCGCATAATGAAGCTGTAGAAAACTGCTCACCTAGTGGCCACACGTAGGATATTGTAGAGGCCCGACTTAAGCCAACATCAGAGTCGACTGTCGCTGTGTCTTGTAGGAATGGTCAATCGGAACTTGCAAGTACTCACTTCGTGCTAACTCTTCCGTGTGAACGTTGCTGGCTCAGCCCTGGATTGAGGTCGACCACTAAGAACGAAAAGTCTGTTGCTGTGAGCAATGAGTGTACACTATATTAGGTGGGTTTGAAACGATCCGTTGTAGTTGAATGTCATACATTGAGCAAAAGCTGTTCTACCGTAATCTCGAGCACCGTTTGATAAAAGTCCTTTGAAGTTTGCCATTTCCATCTAAGACAGCAACCGTGATGACTTTCTGCCTACTCCTCACGACGAATGCGCTTGTTGGATCCCGATGTAGAGGTTTGATCGTCGGTCGATCGATCCTGCGTGGAAGCCTTGCGCTTCTTGTTGCGTGTGAAATTGGGCTGCTGCAGGACAGAGCCCCACTGTACCGCACCAGCCTTAGTGGCTGAAGTTTTGTCGTGTCATGGACGACCGGCGGTATTGTTACCCTCGTTCTGCACCATCCGAGGCTTCTTCTTGGTAAGCGCCTTTGTTGGCTGGATTTCGGGATTGCTCTGCGTTGCGTCGCTGGCTTTGAGACCAACGCTCCCATTCTTCACCTTGGCGGCATCTCGCTCTCGCTGTACATTGTCGGATGGATTGGGCTGCCCATCCTCGCCTTCCTCATCGCTAGATTCGGCCTCCTGGTCATTGCCGTCCTTTGCTTGCTTTACCGCAGCACCACGGGCAGCACGCGCCTACAAAAGCTTCTTCTCCTCCACCTTGTTCTCGTTGCTTCTCTTGGCATTGGATATTGTCGTTGAACTGCTGTACGGTGCTGCAACGAACTCATCGATATAATCTCCGCCGTGTAAGACGTTGCTGCAGATCTTCTTGTTGGTGAAAAGGTTGGAGAGAATCCACTGCATGCGCTCATCCGGAGTCCAAYAGTTCTCCTTCTGCACGAATGTCGACCGGCGCGCCTGGACGAGGAAGCGATCCCCGTCTTTGTAGATCTTGAGGAACGAGTAGTAGATCATGCCCGCGATCGAGCTGATCAAGTTCTCGCAATACCCCAGCTCTCCACGCTTCTTGAGTAGATCAAGTTCCTCCTCGAACCCCTTACGCATCGCATCGTTCGTTTCATCGCGGGCACTCGGCGAGGTTGGGTGAACAGCAGTGGACGATGCCCTGTCTAGGCACACGACAAAGAACTGCGTGGGATTACCAGGGATCTTGATGTACTCGCTCATCAACTCCCAGTGAACGAAGAGTATACAGTTGAGGTTCAAAAGTGTATACAGGAATGGATGAATTCTGTCACATTGCTGGAAGAGTGACGTCTCCTTAAGAGGAGGACCGAACGTCCGCCAGCAAACGTACGAAGAAAGAACAAACGATGTGGTAGGCTACTGGCAATCTATCAGTAGCAAACGTCGGACCTCTCGCATGAGATTTCTAACAATCCGGGACATACCACTTAACTTAGGAACTCCATTGTAACGAGGTCTTGATGTTTTCTTTGCACGCTGGAGGTGTGGTGAGCTAGATTGCTTCTTTTTCCACAACAACAAGCAGCAAAGTGCATGTGGAACTGCTGGCCATTTGCGACTAAGGATACGTGCGATGAAGCTGGATCAGCACCTGGCTCTGGAACCAAAAAAGAAAGCCTCGAAACGAGACAGAGGCCGCGTCAGGTCTAACCTCAAGCAGTCGTGATCTCATAAGGACGTGAGAAAAGACGGAGTTGGAAAGCAGGCCACAGGCAAAAATTCTAACGAAGCTGATTTTCGAATGTGTTCGGCTGCTAGTTATGATCTGATCTGTTTGAGACGCTCTGGGCAATGCACCGGGGTGCCCAGGGAAGGTCGAAGCAAAGTATTGGTGTTGCTCATCATTTCATCTCTCATGCAGATGCCCTCGCAAAAAAGGCATATAATAACACTTCAATCAAGACACCGCCGACGACATGTACACGTATGTATGGAGGGTACGTATTGAGAGAAAAACATGTGATGGTGGGTCGCTAAAACGGGATCGATTCGCTGAAAGGAACACCAAAAAAGGACAGCAAGCTTTTGGATCAAGGGAGATCTGCCTTTCACAAGTTTGATTGCATCCAACACCATACCACAGATCATGCGCGTTGCACACAGTATGGAGGGTCTCGGATCCAGCTCGTCTTGACTATCACAAACATCGACGGCTTGCTTGACTAGATCGCTGCCTGATCAGTCCAAGCCCAAATCTCCTGGCGACGTCTTCTTCTTGTAGGGCCCACGCTTACGCTTCGCGGGAGCCTCGTTGTCCACCTCCGTGCCAGCTGCAGCAGCACCGCCCTCAGAATTGGCGGTAGCATCAGCGGAAGCCTTAGCCTCGAAGGCATCCAGCTTGGCCTTCATCGCCTCCTTTCTCATCTTCTTGCCTTCATTGCTTGCCGCGTAGACAAACAATGCATTGCGCCGGCTGTATGGCTCCGCCACAAACTCGGCAAAGGCATGGTCCCCAGCCTTCAGCAAGTTCACTGGGATTGTCTTGCACTCGCGCAATCCCTGCAAGATTTGCGCCCAGCGCTTCTTTGGCGTCCATTCATCATCCATTTGCTTGAATGTCGAGTGGTTCGGCATTGCGGAGGCCAAGAAATGATCACCCTGGGTGATCAGCTTGATAAATGCATCGTACAAAAGACATGCCACTGCACTTGCTGCCATGTCGACGTCCATCTCTGTCGCAATATCACCCAACGTGGCGTCTAGCCTAGTGGCCATTGCCGCACTTGTTCTGTCATTTAGCTTCCGCGTAGAGCCCGCCGGGAAAGAAGGCGTCTCACGCATCGCATCTTTGAGTTCCGTGACGAAGTAATCCTTGTTCTGAAGGAATTCGTCGACGGAAGCTGATCCCTCCTTAGGTCGGATCTGACGACGGAGCGCGTACAAATATCCACGTGCGCCWCCTTGGATCTTGCTGAACTCAGCGGTGTGGATATTGCTAGTCAAGTGCTTGATAGAGGCCAGCTGTTTGGCGGGGGCGGACTGTGCGATAGATGGTGGCAAAACGACATTGTCAGCCGGCGAGATCTTTGAAGGACCATTCGTCGAGGAACTCGTCTGCGTATCATGAGGAGTACTGCTGCCATTATCATGGGAGGTGTCGACGTGAAAATCGGGTCCACGAACAGGCGTAGTGTCATCCTCGGTGGAGCTACTGCTAGGGTGGGAGTGTAGAGCTTGCTCGCGAGGCATTGGCATTTGCATAGGTGCCCTGATAGGAGCGTTGGCGTTCGCCTGGGCAACATCCTCTGGCTGAAAGAAGGTCGAGCCAGACGTGCTTGAGCCGAAGTTGTACATGGTACCGAGATTTGACGCAGCCGGTCGGCCTGCACTGCGCCCGGCCGGAAGTGTATCTGCGTGGGAAGTCGGTTTGTCGAGGATATTACTTTGTCTCGCGCCGACTGATGCCGGTGGTGCAGRGAAGATGTTTCCGTCATTGACTGGCGCTTGTGTCATAGCGGTCGAGACTGACTCGCTGGAGCGAACCTCTGGAGCAATGTCATTGCTGTAAGTGTCGGAGGGAAGAACAGGTCCCAGTCCGTAATCAAGAAGGGCGAAAGAGTCAAGGCCGAAGTAGCTAGCTTCGGGTAGAGTGAATGCGTCGCTGTTCCATCCGTCGCTGTTCATTGCGTCGCCGTACATTCCGAAATCCAATGGGGCAGCGCCATCCTCAGCATCGTCGCGTGGGTCGGTGCTGTTAGTGCTGTTGGATRGGACGCCGAAATGATTGTCTTGGTCAGGCTGGTACGATGAGAGGTTGCGAGAGTCTTCGCCGGTGCTTGCGGGGGCACGACCGTAGTTCATGCGATGTTGTGGGTAGTTCTCGCTGCCGCCAGTTGACTGTTGAGGGTACCAGCCATTGCCAGTAGAGAACATGTTGTTCGAGTCCGACATGGTGAGATAGTCGACCTTGTTTGATGACTAGGTGTATATTTCAGTATGATATGTTTCCGAACATGTATTGCATATATGAGTTGAGGTGTGCCGCAGGAACACCAGCTTGCATGTGACAGTGCCAAGCACTCGCCATACAGGCCAAGGGCCAGCGACAAGCACGCAGATGCAAGAGGATGCGAAACGGTATCATAGCAGAGGGAGAGCAAACTTACAATGAAAGAAGTTGAGAAGATTGCTGCGCGGCGAAGACAAGGTATGTCAACGACGAGTTGCGAATGCCGGGTGGAGCTGGCGAGGTGGGTGCCTCGAAAAAAGCCCGCAGGTCGTTTGACTGCGCGACGACGGTAAAGGGGTAAAGGATGCCGGTATGGGGTGCGCTGCAGGATGCGCGTGTTGTGGAAGGTGTTGTGGTGGTGGTGTGAAGATGGTGGTGTTGGTGGTTGTGTCAAGTCGGAGGTGGGTGGAAAGCCGAAGCTTTTGGGGTGGGAAACTGTTTCGGGTGCAGGGCGGGCAGCTAGCTCCCGGCGGCGAACGTGATAGAACTTCAAAGCAGCGGCGGCGATGAGGCCATGCAGAGTTGGAGGACGGAGCGCATGTAGCGGTCGGTATCCTATCCTACAATGACCAAGGAGAAAGGAGTCTTGACATCGTCTGCCGGCGAGACCAGCAGGGCTTTGGGGGCATGCGGCGGCAGAGGGCAATGCACAGAGCCGTTCGTCGTAGACTGCCAGATGCAACGAACACCGGCATCAACAGCACCAACAATTGGTCCTCGGCGATGACCTCCTGTTGCGACGATCTTACACTCCAGTACTCCTATCCACCCAAGGCCTATTCGATCGGACCGTGAGTCCAAGTTGGCCCACGACGAGCGACCTTCAAGCTGACAGGAAGCCGTGAGGAGAGTTCCACCAGTCTGCACAGCGGCCATGGCTTCAGCGAACATCCATAGTTCGCTATTGAAGGCTGTAGCAAAGGAGCACGGTGGCTCAGGGAGACGGAGGTTACGAGCATAGGTTGCAGCCTACGACTGTTGGATCTGCAGCATCCTGAGTATCGAGCGACGGGCTTTGAGGAGGCGGAGGCGATAAGCATGATGTCGCGCCTGCAGCCATTGACCTCGCAGTACACAAAGCATCGATCGACGAAGAGGCGCAGAGTGATGAGCTTCTTCGTTACTCAAGATCCATCGTCGGACGGTCTGCATGCGCTGCGCTGACCGTGGACAGCGGTGGCGGGCATCGGGAAGCCTGTTGATGGGCGGGCAGTACGAGTTCAGGACAGTAAGCAAGGCGATTGAGCGGACATTGAGCGGGCTAACACTACGAAGCGGTGCTACGCTATGATACGATCAACCCAGTTGATGGTTCGTGGTCCACAGCGTAGCAGCAGCGATAGGGACATCCAAGATACCGCCGGCGCACGACAAAGGGCTCCTTACCACAAAGACCGCATACCTTCTTCACCTTCGAGACCGAATCTCGACGAGACAAAGAGCCGACCTACACGACCGCAAGTCGCCACGACCACAGCAGTCGTTACAGCCTCTCTTCGAGGCCTTTCCATCACCGATGGATATTGAGGGATCGGCTGCCCTACAGGATGTAGAGCTGCCAGATCCGCTGCGGAATGTTTCTCCTCAGACAGAGAGCGTCATAGCCCAAGATATTGGTCATCCTGGCACTACCGAGGTGGAGGATGATGGTGAGAGTGGTGGAGTAAAAGAGCAGGTCTTGGGTTTTCAATAACGCAGTCGTACCGACACTGTTTTGGCGCCACAAGGGAAGAAAGAGCATGTATCTTGGGATACTGAGAGTTGAGGCCAAGATATAGACGCCGTTTGAAAATGCGAAAAGAGTCATGACAACTCCGGAGAGCATAAAAGGGACCGTAAGATGTCGGGGAGTCGAAAGTGCTTCGCTTGCACGATATCTTTGCGAATCTGGCATGCCAGTAAGAGTCTTTCGATCAGGACTGGGTACCGCGCTCGGAGGGCTCAAACCTCAGCAACGATCAAGCCTTCGATTCACAGCTTCAGGAACCAGGAGTAGATGGGCGTCGTGGGGCTATTTGATTGACAGTATCATCTGAAGTTTTGAGGATAGTGGAGGAGAAGGTGTCCAGGGATGTTTGACATGTCGTGGATGTGGCTTTTGATTGCAGATGTTCCAGTGATATTGGCGATGGTGCCGATGTTGGGAAGCTGGCATTGGCCACAAGGGCTAGTGTATTCGGGGCCCCTGGATGGTGAAGGAGACATCTAGAGCTGAGACTGTCGAGCATAGTCTTTTGGATGTGCGTATGCTGGAGTCGAAAACGTGGCCTCTTGAGAGCACTAACTTTCCTATACATGGCGGTCTTTGGCCTTCGTTCGCGTCTTCGAGTCTTCGAGAGACTGTCTGAGCAGCCTAAGGCGATTGAGTTGCCCAAGCTGAGCTCAAGCTCCCCAGGGTATTGCTCTTTGACGGCTCGCAAAGAAGAAGCGTGTGTTCTCGCCGTCCTACTGTCATGTTAGCTGGTGGATGATGCCTATTGCTGCTGGGAGAMACACCCAGCCCGCCTAATTTACCTCCTGAAACGCTTGGGCGCGATGAGCAACGAGTGCCGAGCGCTGCCTCAATGGCAGTAGAAAAGTTGCCATAGCTTGACAACAGAAGTACTGAGTGCACAAGGCAGGAGCCTAGTGCATTCCCGTATAGACTTGTGCATGAGCCCTGCTGGGAACGCTCTCCGCAGACTGCATGTCGATGGAGATGGAATCAATGCGCATATCACACTGTCCAGTAGGTATCGGCGCGCAAAATAGAGGCCCTGTCGTATCAAGAAGTGATGATATTCAAGTGCGAGACTCCCGCGGCGTCTGCCCAGAAAGTAACATTTTGCCTCCCGAATTCACAACCCAAAACATGAGTCGGTATACAAGTGACTTGCATCACGTCTCTCGCCGTACGCGTCATCCACCGCGAGAAGGAAGTTCCTGTAACGGTATAAGGGACGGTACCACTCATCTAGCCACCGCCCAGAAGACCGTACGGTCTTGAAGGCGCGTTTCGCCATAAGCTGCAACTCGTCTCAGCATGAACGCCGCAACCAACTTCTTGCTTCATGCCTGAAGTAGCTCGCCGAAAACATCAGCCCTTCTTGCTGCAGCTCTAAGGTAGCTCGCCCAAAACCTCAACCCTCGAGTCATTGCCGCCCGCCGCAATAATCTTCGACTGCCGAGCCACACGTCAACAACTTTCGCCACCCAGTCAAGGCTCCGGCAGTACCCCAGCTTGCTGAACCCCACTCTCCGAGGACGATTGCTGCTCACCAAGCACAGGTATCTATGCGCGGCGTCTCTTGTTCGATCATATTGAATGAATGGATCCTCCAGGCATCCCGACATACCTCTATTACGCCATCGATAATTGACTCGAAGATCAGCTTATTGATGATGGTATCAAGTGGAGCATTCCATGGAGCACAACCATCAAGACATCAATATCGATTGTCTCGTGCACTGCGACGGGCGCTCGACACCGGGAAGAACATCCGGTCGCTGGCCGGGTTGAGCAGTAGCCATGGAAGAGAAGACACGTCCAGATTCCAAACCTGGCCAACAGCACTCAGATGACAGGCGATGCTTGTCGTGCAGGAGGCACATTTCACAAGTAGCTCACGAGGCGTTTCTCTCACCAAGCCCGGTATGATACCGAAGTCAAGCGGTAAGATGCCTGCCAGTGCATCAATCCAAAGTCTTTCCGCGCGCTTTGTACAAGATGACTGAGGTATGCTGCTCTTCCACATATCGTACCCAGTCCGCAGATCTCCACAGCCAAAGAAAGAAATATCCTCCGGAATGGACCGAGCGTGGACCGGAAAACTGGATCCAGTAAACTATACGGTCAAGCGCCGGTGCCAGAGAGCATTGAGGTCTGCTACTCATGCAGACACGGCGCTTGATCACCCGCTCTGGGACTGGAAGGAAACTAACCTCAGTCCAAGGAGGGATCTTTCAGCGTCTTCGCCCGTGAGCAGCGAGGTCTGCGGCTCCTGCAGACGAGACGTTGATATTGGTTCCTCCCCTAGTACAGGAAGACGAAGGATTCAGCGTTTATTGCCGGCGAGCAAAGGGGTCTGCGACTCAGGTAGCCATGAAGTTGATTTGGTATCCCTCACAGAGCCAGGAGCATGGGGTTCCGGGGGTAGGAAACTGAGCATCGAACACCGGTGAGCTGAATGTCCGCGCCTTCTGCAGGCATCGCCGTGTAGTTCCGTTCTTGGCAGATGGTATGGTATGCGTAAAACTCCAGAAGACGCAAAGCAAGCATGCAGAGGTCTGGAGAGGATCGAGACTTGAAGTCTCGTGCATTACTGCGGTTGCGGCGTGCACAATGATCCAGCTTCCTTGATCAGAGCGGATCCTTTCTCCATGAAGGCTCCAAATAGTCCATTCAGCCTGGCTGCCGGCGACTTTGGACGTCGTAATACATCCTTCGACAGCAGTCTTCAGCCCAAAGCGGCAAGTTACAACAAGCCGCGGCCAGAGAAGTAGGACAGGACCTACCAGCGCTCCTTGAAAACGTGGAAGAAAGGCTCACACTTCCCCGTGCTGGGAATCTCTCGGGGAAGTTGTCCAAGGCTTGCCTCTTCTTCCGATATGCGAACACACAACGCTGGTCCTGATGTTTCTCGATGGCGTCTCGTAGCCAGAGCCGCATGCCGTCCACCATCATTTGGCGCACCGCTCCGTATCTCCGGTACAGCTTAATCCCCAAGGCTGGTTGAATCTTGATACATCTGGCGGCCGGTCGAACAGTCTGTCGATTTTGCAGGTTCGGCCTCTCGGTTTGTTGGAGATGGCGGCGACCTTGCAGGCGGAGCATTGGCTGGGACGGAGGTGCACACATGAGCTGCAAAGTGTCCTGCGGTGGCTTTTGTTCATAAGAGAAAGCATTCTCAAGCTGGTGAACAGTTCATGGCTGTGATGTTGAGAGGAAGATGTCGTCAAGGTGGACGGGAAGAACAGCGGACTTGCCGGATGCACGAAAATGGCAAAGCGTGAAAGCTTCATCGCCCGATACGGTGACTTCACGATGCCGGCTACTTGCATCTACGACATTAGACTGCTGCGTGCGAAGAGGGTACAGATGGCACCTCCTTTCATCAACATGCCACACAATACGATGATCAGCGCTGGGAGTTGTACAAGAAAGAGAAATTGCTCTCAGACATTAGCCATTCAAAGGCTCGCTTTTCTTAGACCTGCTTTCCGATCAAACGGAACGGACGCACCGGCGGACGCTATGTGTACAACCTCACGACACGGTCGTTGACAAGATAAGGACGTCACCCTTCCTCCTCAAGCTTGAATCTGAGCACCTGGTTCATATGATCCTCATCCATCTCATCGATCACAGTCTGCCGACCTTGGTTGAACTTCTCCTTAGGGGTCATCCTCTCGTCTCCGCTGGTCTCATCTTCTGCGACCTTCTGCTCCTCATCATCCACGTCCTCGTCTTCTCCATCTGTACTGCCCTGCACTTCTGTAGCGGACGTGGTGGAGTCTGGAGAGGCGGTAGTCGCAGTCTGGGCGTCGCTCGAAGCGTCGACTTGCGCAGTGGCGTGTGGAGGCGAGTGGCTTGTTGCGTCGGCGGCGTTGGAGGAGCTGGAGACCGCGCTGTGCCAATCTTGCTGCTCGGTGTCTTCGCTGTCTTCTTCATCTGATATTCTCGATCTCGCTGTAGTGTATGAAGACGGCGAGGATGTATCGTCTGGTGAGGCGCCTGTCGCGCCATCGCTGGTCGTGGTGGATGGTGTTGCATGCTGAGAACCAGCCATGACAGTACCTTGCTGTGGAGGGCGCAGCGAGCCTCAACTCGAAGTCGTTGGTGAAGGGTTCGCGGCCATCTCCTTCTCGCGCTCTTTCCTCTCCTTCCTGGCGACCCTCCCTGAAGTGGAACACTCTCTTCATTGGAACGTCGTGGAGTGTCTGGGTCGCTTCTGTGACCTTGCTGAATGAAGCGAGACAAAAGGGAATCCAGGTCCAGCAGACTTTACTGGTCTCCACGTCTTATTCACTCTTCAAGCCAGCAACCATCCCGCTAGAGACTTTGGATCGACTATGCAGAGTCACTCGATGAGGAAGCATGCAGGTTGAGCATGGCCTCTCGCTGTTGATTCACGTTCTCGGTACGATTGACTTGATACCACTACTTTGCAGGAGTATTGAGCTCTCTAGGCTCCAGGTTGGACGCGAAATTCATTGCATGAACGCCAGGGGCGGCGATGTTTGAATCTACTGGACTTGGACGACAATTTTGCCGAAGACGCCTATCATTTCTTTGCAGAGAACACTCTGCTTGTCTACAACATGAGAAGGATGTGAGAGATCTTGCATGAATATCTACGAGCCTCACCGGCATCGTTCATTGCATCTATACACCTGACGTCCACGTCTGACACGTTCCATCTTCAACAAGAGCTTCTCAAGCATCTTGCCAACCCAAATAGAACCGAGGATCGCTAGACTATTCATCGCTGTCCTCCTTGAGTTCTTTCTTGATGTTCGGTTCCTTGTCGGTGCCACCATGTCCAGCCTCCTCCTGCTCCTCCTCAGTCTTTGGCGTGTTCTCCTTGTCCTTATCCTCATCCGACTGAGTCGACTTTCCACCATCAGCGCCTGTCGTCGATGGGATCATAGGCGCGATGGGAGCCGCTCCAGTCGTTGTGGGAGCTTGTGAATTGGCTGCCACACGGACCATGGGGCTCGTACCGAGGCGAGCTGGAAATTTGAGAACGAAGGGGTTCGCAGTCGCCAAAGTTTGATTGTGGGAAGCAATACTTCTCCATTGGGCCTGATTGAAGAGTCGATCATCCATCCAGTAGTCCCAGAGCTCGTGTCTTGGGCAGATCACAGCATGCCGCGAAAATACCACTCCTCCCTCTGTCAGAAGTGGAATCGGCCTGGGTGGATACTCTTGGTAACCGTATCCGGAAGCCGACTCCAGCAGGCGAACATGTGGATAAGTGGGATTTTCGAAAGGCCTCAAGAAGTATGACCTGATAAGAGCGGCCGTGGATTGCAGTCTGCCACTCAGTGGAGCGGCGCCGTGGTAGGGCGGCATTGTTGCTGTGAAGTTTATCGAAATGGAAGGCGTAGTCCCTGGGTCTTCGGTGTAGCTGAAGTTGATCCGGGCGCCTGGGAAGTAGTTTTGATCCGGTTGGAGATACAGCCTGGCTGGAGCACCTGGCTCTCTCCAGCCATATCCGCCAGCGCCACCACCGCCACCACCTCCTCCAGCTCCTCCCGCTCCGCCAGATCCTCCAGCTGCAGCTCCGCCTTGATTTGGATTTGGTGCTGCACTCATCCTTGATGTTCAATCCTGTTGCTGAATGACTGATTGAGACGGGAAGTTAAGTTTGGACAACGCGATTTACTCCGTCGAGGGGCTCCTATAGATATCAGCAACAAAGCACACAAGTTGAGCAAACCAGCCGCAAACAACGGAGACTGCTCGAAGGTCCAAGAGCTTCGCCATGATGTAACGCTGAAGGAAACTTTTGAGAGGAACCTGGGAGATGTGCAGTTCTGTCGAGCAAAGCAAAAAGAGTGCGCCGGTCAAGCAGAAGCAAGGAACGTGGTTCTTCCCGCATCGATGCCCCTTCCATGACGGGCCATTCTCCAAGGTGCGGGTCGAGAGAGAAGGAAGTCGCAAAGCAGAAGGAACCGCTACAGTGGCTCTGTCCTTGCATAGCGACTTGGAGACGTCAAAAATGATGAGCGCCTGTTGACTACACCTTGCCCACACTTCATCGCGCCGCGTGGTTTCTCCTCCGTCTTTCATGAAGCTCCATAATTGCGATGATGGCCGTTCTGGAGGACGATCGGGGAGATTGTCATGACCCGGCGAATCTTCATCCACATGTCCACCATGCAAAATGTCCGAAACATTCCCGCAACGCCTGCGCACTACTCGAGGGATGGGTAAAGAGACCAGTTGGGACTTCGCTGCCTGTCTGGTGAATCTCTTGCTGGCACAGGCTGAGCCGACGATCGGACGTTCTCTGTTTCTTAAATGCTGAGCAGGAGTTCGTGGACGATGTATTTTGCGACCGCGGTGGCTCGAAGCATTGCTTTCGTCTATCGTTGGGGTTCTCCGTCCGGGTCGATCTCTACGATGGTATCGTCCGAAGGATCGCTTGGTTTTCGCTGGCATTATCATCCAGGAGAGTTGCAGTGGTGTTGCATCGATCATTGTATCCTTCTCTTGCGACTCTGAGGCATTGATTTTACTGCTGGTGGCTGCGAGAACGTTGTCTGCTCGCATACCGTCGCCGTCGTCACTTCTGTCCTACCGCCATCTGCTCCACTGGCCTAGATTCGGTCATCCTGTACTCCCATCCAGGATCACAGCAGATTCACCACTGCTGTACGCATTGAGGTATGAGTCGTACAGCCCTCTGCTACAGAATTGATTCTGCGCTTTTGTCAGCCTGGAACGCTCGCAGATCGTGGCGGATGCTTCCCAATCCATGGCTTGCCGCCGTATCATGTGGCGCTATCCTCTCCGTCAAGGCATTCAAGAGACGGCCGTCAAGATGGTGGATCATATCATCTATCGGGAGATAATCTTCGACTTGCTGCGCCCTGCTAGGCGCGTGCGCTGCTGATGTATCGATCTCGGAGACGCCAGGCGCAGGTATTGACGGCAGACTCCATTGTGGCAGAGGCCGTTCTCGTCTATTCGTTCCCGGAGTCCCCTCGATCCGTAATGATTGTCTGCAGTGGATTAGCTTGTCTTCGAGTTTGCTATCCAATCCACGGGAGACATACCACTAGCGGCTGTGCGGTAGCGATGGCAGATGCGGGTTGAATGCCCATGGCGAGATTCCGCCCATTACGGCGCTGATATGCTCCGCCCTACTCCGCCAGCTTCCTGGTACGACAGCCGCAGGGCTTTTCCCAGTCGAGTTGCCGTTCGCGCCATCGAACTGCTGGGCTCTTAAAGGTGTGGGGATTGGCGAGTCGTCGATCGTGAAAGCCGCCGGTGTAGGCGCTGATGGCTGCATCATCGTTCACTGCACGGCAGGAGGTGGTGCRGTCGTTTGCGGAATCGCTATCGCTTGTTGACCGGTCGACAACCCGTCGAGCGTAGACGGCGGAGGTATCTTGTCGTCTTGAGCCGTAGGGAGAGTATTTTGGTTGTCCAAAAGGGTGGTGGGCGGAAGTATCTTGGGGATCTTGATGCCGAAGAAAGGATCCCGGAGGACTGGACGCTAACGCCCCCGCAACCGCGAGACGACTCGCGAGAACCCCTGAGCTTCGAACTACGGACCATTCTGGCAATTACGAGGGAATCTACTGCAGTTCGTGTAGGGTTGTACTACTTGAGCGGAGCCAATGGCCAGTGGGCATTTCCCATCATACGAGGCGAGGAATCAAGGCATCGCATGATCATTCTCATAAAGCTACAGAAGGACAGAAAACATCGAATTGCCAACCACAAATAAGTGGTCATCTCAGGGGACACCAACCCAAACCTGATGCTTCTGCCGTTCTTCCACCGAACCATGGGCTCATCATGAACGTACAATCACGACTCATCCATAGCTTCGCCCAAATCATCAGGGTGCCAATCGCCATCACCATCGTCGCCGCTGCCCAAAGCATTGTCTGGATCACTGTCCGAGGGAGAGTCGAGAACGATAGGATCACCTTCCATTCCTGTAGTAGTGCTTGCATTCAGCAGAAGAGGGACAGTCCGCTGTGGCCCTACCGGAGCAGGCGGGTCGGGGTTGGCGTGAGTGTGAGGCTGAACAAGCTCCCGCACGACGTTCCCTGGAGATCCCTCTCGAAGAGCATAGAAACTGCCGCGAAAGTACCACTGGTCAGTAATGGGGTCGTATTTACGACCTGACCTGAACTGAGGGATTTGGTTTCTTGGACCCATGTTGTCTGTTGTGAGGGGAAATTGCGACCAAAAGTCGAGAACTGGTGCTGTGTTCGTGCGATCGATGTCAATTGGCACAAGACGTGGATCCCGCGGTGCAACTGTTGGCATGGATTGATGGCTGGAACCTTGCCCCATCCGAGCAATCTCTTCCCCCAGCTTCTTGATCTCGTCATCGGAGACCTCTGTCAACTGACTATCATTGCTCCCACGACGTTGCTTCTTCTTCGTACGTGGTTCAGCTTTGGTAGCTGCTTTGTTGCGTCGCGGTCGATTATCTTTGGTCAGCGGCCTGAAGATCGTTGCAGGTGCCATGCCTGGGAACATCGACGGGAGCAGGTCGACATTGTAATCGTAATTGGCCGGTGGTGGCCGCACGATTGGAACCACTTGATACCTCGCGCCGCTCAACGAAGCTTCATATCTGTGCCGCGCTCCATCAGCCATCCATTCTGCACACATAGCCGGCCACCCTTCCCGGTCCAAGATTCTGAGATCACGGTAGAAAGGCATAAGGACTGAGGTGGCCCGGAGTCGACCGAAGGTGTTGAACTCCGTGTTGGGATACAAGTCGGAAGGATCATTCGCCGCAAAGACCTTGCGAGTACGTGTTGTGTTCCACACGATTCGATGGTTCTTCACGTAGTCGCGCACAGTGGCAACGTGATGGGTGATTGGTTGGGCGCCGTGGTAGAACTCCATGCCGAGGTTGATGATGATCTGGTCGTTTCCAACGGCTGGTGGAGATGTACCTGGCTGAGTTGCTGCTGCAACAGAGGAGGAAACTGCTAAAGGAGCTTGAGGAGGCGAAGATTGAACATCGCTCTGTGCGAGCGCTGCATCCTGTTCATGGTCAGCGTTTGTTCTTGCGTCCTAATATGGTGTCTCAATCTTACCTTTGATGGCGGCACCGGCGCTGCGTGGGCGGGAGAAGTCATCGCGGACGTGGAAAGCTGCGGTAGAGGTGGTGGTGCGGCACCAGTTGGAATGCGCGAGGAAGTCGAGGCGGACTGCGTCTCGTTAGCAACGTCTCTAATGTTGCTGTGGATCCGGACATACCGCAGTCGGCTGCATGATGGCAGTCTCTGGTGCAGTCTGCAGCGACAGATTCGGAGAGCTTGTAACCGTTGGCGTGGCGCGGATCTCTCCTCCAGCAGCCTCGAAAGAGTTGGTGCCAGATTGATTGGAAGCAGCGCTTTGCCCATCTTCCTCGCCATCAGAGGAAGTATCGGAGTACTGTGTTACCTTGAGCGCGTCACGCATCTCGCGGTTGTTGCGCATGGGTTCTGGTTTCTGTGGTTGTTTGCGAAGTTGGAAGACAAGGGAAGAAAGTCGGCTTCACGAAGACGCTAAGAATCGAACAGCCTCGCCGCCTCGCGAGTTCTCCTGGATCCTGAAGAGCGGCTCATCCCGCATTCCTTGAGGGACTCAATGCACTGCGTCTCACATTTTTGCCTTCTACAATAAGCAGTGCAGTGTAAAGGTCCCTATACTCTGCGAGAGCTGGTCACAGACTTTCAAAGAAGGTTCTCTTGATATACACGGGGGAAACAGAGATGAGATTGCAAAACGTGATTCATTTCAATCTACGTAAGACGATGCAATTGATCAGGAAGATGCAGCATGCGAAAGAGAGTTCCACAATACGCCAATTCTCCCTTCAAGCCTTGAGGGTATCAGACCTTGCAGAGAAGCTGGCGACAGGGGCTAGTATCCTGCATCGCACTGCTCCCCTGCTTCTCCAATGGAGAATGTACGCTCTGCCAAAGCTATAAGCCAACCTTCCCACCAACGTCGCGCCCTTCCAACCTCATGCCAAGAATGTGCGGCCGGTTTCACTTCGATTCCCGCACCTAGCCATCCAGGATATCAATCAGAACCATTGTCAGAGAGGTTGTCGTAGCCTTCGGAACCTGGACCTTTATAGCGATTGTTTGCGTGGAATTCTCTGTACCGCGCCGGATCTGACCACGGTCGTGGATCAGGATTGGCAGGTGGTGGAGGCGGCATGAGTTGAAAGCTGAACTGATACTGTGCTGTGGAGACAGCTCCTGGGCGGATATATGCCGTGGATACACTTCCTAAGCGGACAGGAGCGGAGGCCGCGACACTCGTATGTTGAGAGTTGCCCATCAGTGTGTTTGCTGAATGTGCTGGGCCGACTGGAGCTTCTCCCATTTCAACGTCGCTTTGATTGATTGTAGGAGCAGGCTCTTCTCCCATCCCTTCGTCGCTCTCGACGATTGTAAAGGCCGGTCCTTCAATCATGTCTTCATTGCTCTGGGTGATTACAGCAGCTGTTTCTAGGTCTCCCTGGCTTGGAGGTAAGCCTCCCGAAGCTGACGGACCACCCTCAGGCCTTGAGTCGCGTCTCGGCGGCTCCGCTACTGCTGTCTGTGGAGTTATCGTCTCTCCGTGCTCTGGGCGATTGGCGGGAGCTGCTGCTCGGTTTCCTGCGCGCGGGCGGTCTTCGATGTGCTGGAAGAAGTCCTTGGCTGATTTTCGAACTTTTCCACGTCGAGAACGGCCTCCACCATTTTTGCGACCTTGCGTCGGGCTTGAATCCACCCCCGGAGCAACTGAGCCCGCTGACCCTTTCTTCGCGCCTTGGGTCTTGCTTGGAGATTCTTGACGCTCCGTGGCTGAAGGCTGCTTCGCCTTCTTCGGCTCGCTTTGTACGTTCGCAGGCTTGCTGGGAGGCTCAGGCTGCTTCGCCTTCTTCGGCTCGCTTTCTACGTTTGCAGGCTTGCTGTGAGGCTCAGACTGCTTTACACTCATGGCATTCTGCCCTTTTTGCAACTTGCGGTCGATATTTGCTAGGGGCGTCGCGTCGGGAAAGAGAGTTGGTAGCAAGTCCGCCCCATAATCGTAGTGCTGCGGAGGTTCTATGCTTGGAACTTGGCGAATCTTCAACCTGCTCAGCGAAGCCAATCGCCCGGCTCGAATACCATCTGGATTTTCATCAGAAATGCTCATCCAGTCAGTCGTCAAGGCGTGCCACTCCTCACGTGTGAAAAGCCTCTTATCGAGGAAGAACGGCATGAGCTTTCCGGTTGCTGTAGGTCTTCCATCTTTGGCAAACTCCTCGGGCGGTGCGTTTCCTTTCGGGTTACGGAAATGAATCAATCTGTCCGTCGAACCTCCCGAATCGCCCGCAGCTTGAATTCTGAGCATGTTGTGCCTGGCAAAGTCGCGAAGTCTGGCAACGTCGAGGGTGATCTGCTGAGCGCCGTGGTATGGTGCCATGTTTTGGCGGATGGTGACCATGGTCTGTGGTGTAGAGGGTGGAGGCATGGCTGTTAGAGGCGGCGGAACAGCACTTGAGCTGGCGGATGGCTGGGGATGCAATGTACCAGCTTGAATGCTAAGACGCGCCCTGCTCTATGATGGGTCAGTGCTTGCCAGCTCATGGCGTGCGGAGGGGCCAAAATACAGATGTCGTGGATGTGGTCGCGGGCGCTCGAGGAGCACTCGTTACCGCAGTACTACTCTGGACTTGGACTTGGCTTGCTGGAGTCTGGATCTGGAATGGACCTGCTGGAGTCTGGAAAGGCAGATCGTTAAGTCTTTGAGCTTCGAGACTGCTACTGGTGTCCTGCCTGCGCACGAACTTACTGTTTGTGGTGGCAGAGGCGGGATTGCCAGCGTCTGCTCTTGTCCTTCGATTATGGGCGCAGATTCGACCTCGCCATCGGAGGCATCTTGCACATCGTCGAGCTCGGAGTGCTCACTTAGGTTGCTGTCGCTTTGCTTGTCTTGGTTGTGCATGATGCGATGATGTTGTTGTCGATGAAGAGTCAAGTCGGCTTTCGAAAATTTTCTCCTGGACGCGACGCGACGCCGAATTGGACATCAATTTCAGGACACCTGCCCTTATCATCAAGAAGCAGCCACGACTGTGCTTCCTCTAGCGTCTACTACGTTCTCCTTGCTTCCAAGAAAGGGCCATGCAAGCTTTGCGAGAATAGGCTTGTAAGACAACATACACGACATGAAGAGCACTTAGCATCACGAACGGGTTCTTGATGACGACCATTCAGGGAAAGGGAGCATAAGTGGAAAGCATCGTTCAATACATTTTGTCTTGGTCAATCCCGTTGTGGATGTGCCATGCTCCTGTCTAGCTACTCACTCCCATCCTCCGAGCCATCCTCCCCTTCAACGTCCATCCCATCGTCGATATCATCCTTGCTATCCGCGTTTCCTCCATCAGCGACAGGCATCTCGGTCGTCTCATCGTCTTCGTCGTCATCATACGGCAAATCCGCATCCTCGATCCAAGCGGCTGGCTGTGGTACATCGAGCGCGAGCTCACCTTCGAAGTTGCGATGCTGGCCTTTCTTACCCCTCAAGTGGACGGAATATCGGATCTTGCGGAAACCGGGCTTATCGTGGTCCTTAACATAGTCCATCGTCAATTTCTCCCACATTGGTGCGCTGAAGAGCCGTCGATCCATGTAGAACTCACTCATTGGATTCTTGGCAGCCATTCTACCGTCGGTTCGGAAAAGCAACTGCTTTTCATACTTGGCGAAGAGTTCCTCCTTCCTTACGGTACCATTAGGCTTGATGAAATGGTTCTTGATGTCGTTCCTCATTCTTGCGATGGCGTTAGGGATGGGCCTGCTACCGTGGTATGAAGCCATATTTTGATCCRTGCGCAACGGGATTGGACTTGGGCTTGTGACCTGTCGAGGAGGATTGATGAGCTTCTCCCGATTGCGAGTGGTACCTTGCTTGCGCACGGGAGGCTTTCTAGTAGAGGCTTGATGTTGTGGACTAGCAGCTTCCGCTTCAAGAGCTGCCTCGACCACGTCGCCTTCTTCTACAGCCTCCTGTTCGTGCTGGCGAGCTGGGCGCTGAGTGGTGATTCGAGCTTTGCGCCTACATGTTCGACGCACTCTAGGACTCTCGAGGAGCATGCCTCCATTTTCGCCTATCTCCGCGACTTCTCCGCCCTCCTCATCTGCCTCCACAGGCAGCTCTCCCCCTGAGCTTTCGATAGCCCGATTAGCTTCTCGGTCTCGGTGGACGCGTTCCAAGAATGCAACTTCGGCAGCGCGTTTCTCAGGCCGGACGCGTCGCGTGAAGGTGCTTGGCTGGGGCGCAGGCCCTAGATCTTCATCGAGATCAATGGACGAATTGTCAATGTGGAGAGGTTTGCTTGGAATACGCAATCCTCCCGGAGTTCTGCTCGTCCATGACCTTCCATCGGCTGAGAGCACCGCGTCGGGGTGATCGAGGCGTGTACCGGTCCACTTCCAGTTCGGGCCATTGTGATGCTGTCCGTGATGCTGAGGGTTGTTCGCCATGGCGCTTGAGTTTGCTGGATGCTGCTGGAGAAGACGGAATCACTTTGGTGCTGCTGCTTGACGAGTGTAGAGAGTCAGTACGTGGAAGCTCGAAGTTCTGGCGAGCAAAGTCTACGGAAATCTACGCTAGCGTTTGCAGACGCGTCAACACAGACTCGCTGTCTACGCTGATCGGCCTCTTGAGAATCCAGTACAGAAGGTTTATCAGCACCACAAGCGTTTCGTGGTGTATACTTTAATGACAATGGAGCGGCAGGAAAAGGGGGTCATTGGCAAGAAACAACTAGCCATCGAATCACATCTTATAGGCAGAATTTGGGAAGACTTCATTACTTTTACTTCCAGGAGCCATGAGCATTTTGCTGTTATCTATGATCAACAGGCAGCCTTCGAGTGTGCGCCAACGCTTCCTCGGCCGGACGCCCCTTTTGGAGAGCGTGTATGGAGTTGCAGTTTGAAAAACATTGCAGAGCTGGAGCTTGCCAGAGTAGTAGAGAGCGATTCAGCAACCCTCCTACGATATTCCGTCCTCAGCGTCGCCCGCACTCTGCGCAGTAGAAGCCTCCTTAGTGATCGCCTTCCAAGCTACCACACAGTGTCCTCCAACCCACTGCAGTTCCGCTTCCAGCCTCTCATCCCCTCTCGTCAGCATGATCCACTGAAGACGAGTGAAGAGGCGAAGGTCATGAAAGTATCTCAGCAAAGGGTTCCGGAACGTCATCGTGCCTCGAGCGGTAAAGATGGCTGGGAAGTTCTGCACCAAGCGAGCTTTTGTCTGCTTGTTCAACTTCTTCCTTGGCTTCAGGGTGGCGGTGTACAAGTGGTCTGCATGGAGGAAATCCGTGATATCTCGTACTTGTTGTGTGACGATTAAGGAGCCTGTGTAGAAGGGCATATCATGGGTGATGGGGAATGCCGCAACTTCGTAGCCAGGTGGCTGCTCGCTGAGAGAGATGCGCCAGGACTCAATGAGTACGCCCGGTGGCTCGAAGAGTGCTCGGATCGTGTATGGCATTTGGTGCACTGCGGGGGGCTTTGGCGGTGGCGCCGCAGCAATCGGAGGAGGCTGCGATGCTTGTCAATTGTTGCGTCTATGCCCCTGGGTAGAGAAGCGCAGCACTTACCTGCGGCTGAACTTGCTTCGCGGCGAATTGCATCCTCTCGGCCTCCGACATACATGCCACGTAGGCCAACATCGACATCCCGGTAGTGTCATTCTTGGATGCCATGTTCGTTCCCTGTGGGCTGTGTTCGGTGTTTAGGTGTGCTGAATTGATTTAAATCTTGGACTAGACCTGGAATCTGGAACTTTGACCTGCAGGAATTTGGAGATGGACTACACGACCCTGAAATCTTGCTAGGAAAAGTAATCGCGAGGATCTGGCATCTTTTTTCCATCAGATCCCGCTTGAAAGACAATATGGCCCCTTCTACATTTTAAGGAGTTGCATAGAAGTCACGCAAAAATCATGAGCGTGGTGAGAAGCACTTGACTACATGGTCGCGTAGGAGGTTCTCAACACCGCCGGTTCTTTTTACAAGACCAAAGCTTGGCTTCTGGTGATCGGATTGATCTTTACGATCGTCAAAGGGAAGTTCATTCTACCTGGAAGAAGTTTGCTATCTGAGGTGTGAATTGACGTCTCTCTGCCATGCATGGCGTCTTTGAGACTTCATGAGTGGAGGTTCTCCTTGTTTGTGCTTTCTTTGCAGCTATGTCGACCTTTCCAAGGAAGCACCCTTCATCTCGAACGAGCCTCCTGTCAAGGTCGCTTGTTGTATCCATACCATCCTCAGCGCCTGCCTATTCTCCTTCTCCTTTCGGAGGCTTCTGTCATGTCGTGAACCTTTTGATTGACCTGATCCACCTTCATCACGCTTTTCCATCCGCTCCGCTACGAGCTGTTGTCTGACTCTTGGCCTTCTCGCTTGATAGGAGCACTTTCATCTTTTACTCCGTCGAGTTCTGGGTATGGTGTGCACGAGTGCTCAGCGACATGACTTGCGGCTGTCGATCCATCTTCAGAAGCTGTKCTCGCCATTCGAGATCTGCTCGCGCTCCTGTCAATTGTCGCTGGCGCCTGGTGATCATCTCCTGAGCTGTCCGAGCTATCCTCTGGTACTAGCCATCGAGCACGGGGCTTCCTGGTCTGATGTTCGGTGTCGTCGGAGCGGTCGGTAGCAGAGTTGGCATTGTTGCGAACCTGACCCCTGGCTGCTCGCGAGGCACGTCGCGTGAGTTGTGTCGTTGCGGCTGGCTCTTCAGAAGACTCTTCAACGTGCGGCGCAATCGCGTAACTTCCTGGACGATAGATGTTCCGCCTAGAGCGACGGAGGAATGTGGATGGAGTCTCATCTTCTGCCTCTTCTAGAGCTTGTGTTGCGGCGGGCTCTTGCGAGGACTCCTCATAGTACTGTGCATCTGCGTAACATCCTGGACGATAACTGTTTCGCTCAGAGCGACGCACGAAAGCTGATCTCCTGTTGCGTAGCTTGGACGCGTTCATTCTTGCGGTAGGTGGGTCGATTGCCTCGTCGGTCGCGTCTATTGAGGTCTTTAAGACAAGAGCTTCATCATCCTTCGTGGTGGCGATCGGAGACTGGCTTTCTGAGTCTTCTGGAGCCTGGTGCCGGTCTCGCTGGACGCGTCTGTTCGTGGTTTGTTCTTTTGCCAAGCTGCTGTCCTTGTCCGACATTTCCTCCTCGCCTATGATATGATCCTCCTCAGCTCTTCTGCCCATCTTTGCTCTTTCTGCGGATGGCTGCGGCAGTGAGAATTGCTTGAGGGAGGCTTGATCTTTGAGCTCTGAGGCTGCGGGTGGTTGTGAGTGTCTGGTGGACGGCTATGGATGAATAGGAGCTGGTGAAACGCGAGACGCTATCGACGGTGGTGAAGCTCTTGCAGCTATTGTAGCGGTGAGCTGGAGGAACTATCAATCGTTGCGGGGATCTGTGTCGTTGCTGGCGCGTGTGGATGTTGGTGGCATGGTCTTCCGAGAGAAGAACGGGCTACTATTGGGGATTCAATGTCGTCGGCGGTGGTTTTCTCGCGATGCTTCCAGGTCATGCAGGCCTGCCGACACTTCTCATGTCGCATTTAGCGTGTCTGCTCGGAGTCACTGGCGCTTTGAAGGACGCGTCTTTATGGATGGTGGCAGAGAAACCGCTGGCTCCTTCGTGAGTCTGCCGTTCTAGCATGGTCGGCCATCTCTAGAGGTCACCAGATGGAGCTGCACGTTCATGAGAGGGAGAAAGACAATCAGAGCTCAATACTACCTCGTCGTCGCCGTCGCGTGGACTCTGGTGTCGATGGCGGAAGCGCTTGGCATGTCGCGTTCCACCCCTGAGTTGCCTTGACGGCCTACAATATCAAATACAGCGGTGCAATGGATGTTAAGACACTTGAGGCYCTTTCAATAGATGTATCTATCGTTCATCACGTCGTGTCGTCGTGTTGTGGTGGTTGTGAGAAGAGTGGATCCGCCATGGTCAAGCCCACCAATACCCCCAACATGGTCAACATCGAACAACTCAACAACGCACCAATGGATACGCTTCAAATTCACAGCGGAGCCTGTGTACATGATGCTGAGACTATTGTCGTTCTCAGGTGGAAAAAATGTTGTGTTTTGCGAGAGTTGTCGGCAGTGAGCAAGCCGATATTCTAACGTATATAGTTCACGCCGAATTTACTGCTCTTGCCTTCGGGCAGCCCTCGATGTTACAAGCCCTTACGGCTTGGTCGAGTGGTTAAATTACGTAGAATCCCCTTCTACGTCATCACACCACACAGCACAACAAACATTAGGAGACATCTGCTAATACATAACCCAGAAACGGCTGTGTTCGAATCATTCGGTTGAGCTTCAATATGGGCCCATTGAATCCCCTTCAGTGGGGAACAATGCTACAAACTATATTTTTGGCAATTCTTTGGGCTGGTCTTTGGACCAGCCTACCCTTTTTGGCTGGCGTAGCGACCCTAGGTTGCAGGCCATCACAAGGCACCATACCACAATGACACTCCTCATCAATTGCGTAGCCAGCAAGTCCTGTTGTTCCACGATATATGCTTGTAGAGTGTGTTGTTCCGCTTTGGATGTACCGTTTTGGTCCATATCGAACGCGAATGCTTGGCGGAAAGGAGGGAATTGATATTCTGCACGACCAGAACTGTTTTCTGGCCCGGAAAAATCACGACGTGCATCAGCAGTGTAGTACGCTGATTTTGAGACTATTGAATTCAATATACGAGGTTGTGTCCTTTTTGTGTTGGTGATGACACGAGAGATTGAAATTTGAAGTTGACTGCTCTAGATATGCAAAAAGGCACGCATCCATCCACATATCCTCCACATGTTCAATTTTAATGGGAGATCATTCAGTAACTCCCTCATGATCTCTAGGGTCGTTAATATGCGGTCAAATCAATATTACAAGAGGTATTGGCGTTGTGGTGGACAGGTCAAGCAAAAAGCCAGCGTTCGAACGCGTCGACGGAATTGCCTGCATGGAGATCGCTCGAAAGGGTAATTGCACAAGAGGCGAGGGTTCGAGACCCAGCCCACCAGCTTCTGCTCAGCTGAGCCTCTACCCGACCTTAAGGGTCCCCTCTACACTAGCACCACCTGGCAGTCTACATGATTGGTTGAATGGACAGCAATGCCTCCTTTTTGATGAATGAGCAGCCTAGTGTTTGCCATCACCAATAAAGCAGTACTCTTGAGCCATGAAGGAAAGAAGGTGTATTGCAAGGAGTGCGGCGGTGGCTGCGGCATGGTTTGCAGGAAGTGAAGCTCCTCCTTCTCTCTCGCCAGCTTTACTCTTTACAATCACCACCACCTCCTTCCTTCTCGTACACACCGTCGGCAACCCATCGCTGAAGATTACGACAGCACACGCAGACACAGGCCGGCAAACGTGTAGCTGCAGTCTATGGCAGCACCGTGGTCACGACGCTGCGGCACCACCGCCAGAGACAGCAAAAGGTCCGCAGCGGCCACCTCCTCCGCCGCTCTTGCGTAGGTTGGGCTAGGCATCTACGCAACCTTCTCACCTTCACACGAAGCTGTCTCCCTTCAACAACAACTTCACCATCAAGGTATGTCACGCTGACTCTCGCCACCGTTTCTTGCCACATCTTCCTCCTGAACACATCGCGACGATGACAAACTGCTGACACTGTGACCGTGCAGACGTCCTGCGGCGGCACAGGAACTCTGGCAGCCCGCTTTAAAAGAATGACCCGCCGGTAGACACGACCGCCACCGCCATTCAGACATCGAACGCACCGCCCACGCAAAGATCACCCTCTCGACGCTTTAACATGCAGCGGATCATTCTCGCACGTCCCACGCCATGGATCCACAAAGCCAGTCAGTTGGCTCGGAATATTCTCCTACCTGGCTTGCCCACCGCTGAGCCGAAGGATGTCATCATCGACCAGCAAGAGAAGTCGCCCAGTAAAAGACTGTGGGGATCGCCATACCCTTTCGAAGCAGCATGTGCACTCCTTCCTTGATAAACAGACACCGGTACTGTAAAGTTCGACCTGGAAGTCATATCGGCTATACGCAAGCTGCTTGCCGAACAGAAGTCCAAGGTTCGCATCCATCTTGGTGCTGCGACTTCCGGTATCTTCGAAGACATTCTCCTTGGCGATTCGATCTCGCGAACGCAGCATGACGAGACTGTCTACATCAAGATGAGCTCGAAGCTTCCAGGACTGAGTATACGGACCAGTCTGTCGGCGATTCTGTCGATCGATGACTCCGAAAGACAAGCTCAGCTCATCTCCCTCACGGGTAGCGCTCTCCGCCGCCGGACTGAGCACAGCGATCATCTTCCAGCAAGGAAGAGTAGGAGACGCTGCCCRGCCCAAGGCCAGCAAACCATATCCACGAACTTCCCAATGGAGCTCAACTTGGCTCACTCGCTTCTGAATCCGACGTGCGCAGCCWTTGTTACGAAAGATCACCAGTGGTGCAGTACAGAGTCAGCGAAGTTCGACCCTTCGCACAAAGCAGACATCAGACAACGCCATGTCCCAACGCGCAGTGCAAACCTACCATTTGAAGCAGCGGTACCTGCGGATCTGTTCCAGACAGTGACTTCGCTGAAGCCTCGGTCATCCTGGTGAAGACAGGGACAACAAACTGAGCTTCGGTCGTGGGCGTGGTCCACCGTCAACGGTACTGCTTGGTTTCCTGTGAAGAGGAGAATAACAAACAGCGCTTTGATCGTGGGCGTGGTTCGAACCGACGGTGACGCCTCGGTGTCGTCAGTACTGAATAGTTTCCCGGTGAAGAAGAGAACAACAAACAGGGCTTTGATCGTCGACGTGGCTCGAACCGACATTGACGCCGCGGTATCGTTGGTACCTGCTGGTCTCCCTATCTGGTATTCCACAGCGGAACAACTTTGGGAGCGAGTGTCGACCTCCCTTGGCCAGTTCGAAGGCCTCACTGAGCCATTCAATCGGTAGTAGTGACGGTCGGTGTGTACAAAGAGCAGGGACGTAATGACTTCTGGAATGAACATTCACCGTCGCTTGTTACGCCTTGAGCACGAGAAGCATCCCACCCCCAAGCAACGTACGGAGGAGGATGGTCCTCGCCAGCGTTCTGTCAGCGATTTCAGCGCTGAGAAATTCTCCTTCGATAAAGACCACATCAAGAAGTGGACGATTCACTTGAAACTTCTTTCAAGTAGAAGCCTGCAAAGGACTGGCAGTACGCCAGTGTGCCGCTGTGCGCCGCCCTCGACCGCATCAAGGCACTGGATGACGAGAGCTTTCACCGAGGCTAGGCCTTTCTTGAGACCTTCAGTCATCCTCATCTCTTACGTCGCACTTCGACTGTCCATTCCTCCGCGATGTCAATTCAAACAACCAAATGGGCCCCCAGAACATCGGCGGCGGCGACGGCCTGTCCGGCGCCCCACCGGGTCGGGTCTTGATGACTTGGCCCGGAGGGGTGCACGGATGGGCTGGTCCCAGTCAGTGAGTGGAGATGTGAAGGCCCGGTTTCAGACACAGACTGAAGCTGAGCTGTGGTCTGACATTGGAGTGGATTTTCCTTGCATTTGTCGTTCTTCACACGACTTGGCTCGGAGCTTTTCGTCAGTTCAGTCACGACCCTGGACGACGAGACTCTTCCGGCAACGCCTTCTGCTTCTTTCCAGAAGGCGATRGCCTGCGACAAACTTGGCAGCTCTCCCAATTCTCTTGAAGACAGCGTTCGCTTGGCGCCGCGACACTGGAAGCACCCCACCTTTTTGCTTCCCCCTCTTATATATCCTCCGGACAGGGTAGGCGCACATCGCTCTCCTTGTGTTCGAGCAAAGCTGGGAACCGGTGACGAGTTCACCAGCATACCTTTGCCTTCGGAGAGCTCGTGGCGAGTTCACAAGCATCTATTTCTCCTTGGAGAATGGGACTGCCTTCGGAGAGTTCGTGACGAGTTCACCAGCATTTATTTCTCCTCGGAGAATGGGACTGCCTTCGGAGAGTTCGTGACGAGTTCACCAGCATTTATTTCTCCTCGGAGAATGGGACTGCATTCGGAGAGTTCGTGACGAGTTCACGAGCATCTATTTCTCCTCGGAGAATGGGRCCGAAAGCAGCAATGGTTGTGGGGCTGGAGGCTTGTCCCTCGGTCAACTGGGAGTGTCGGGAAATTTTGCAAGGACACTTCCAGAAGCACTGGCTGAGATGCTGTAGAATTGCTGCTTTTTGCTATGGGCTGGAGTCATCTTTCAAAGCGAAATGGAAGTCTCCTTGAAGGCCAACGGGAAGTGTTCGATCGGAACTGCAAGGGCAATGTTATAAGCAGCGTCCTGTCTGCTTCGTCAATCTGTTGCTTTCCTCCGACTTGGACCCGGCCACGATCTCACTGTTTTCGCTGGAAGTGTGTTGAGAGATTGCCGCAAGAAGGCAAAGCCAAGTGATCTTGGCATATCCGAGATTGCCCGTGTGGACCTTTCGGCCTCTCGTAGAAGCCTTACAGCCCGACGACAACCAGCATCGCTTTCCTGGAATTCGATGTCTCTGTCTCTCAGCTGCCAAGTGACAAGGTCCTTCCTTGTCGAGGGAGTTTCGCCATGCTTCTCGCGGAACCTTTCCTCACTTCAGTCCTCAAAGTTCTCATTTGAGTATTTGCTACTACCACCAAGATCTGCACTAGTGGCCGTTCTATTCCTGGGGTATGCTGTACCAAACCGTCGCCAACTGCCATTGAAGTTGGTGTCGGTCGTGGTCAATGGGCGACACAGCAGCAGCAACGCCGTTCTCCCTCTGTCAAGTCCATGGAGCCGCTCAACTACCTTTGCCTTCTGGGTCGTGCCATGAATTGCAATTGGAAATTCATCGTGGACAAGATCGTCTGCAACATTGGTGGACCGGATCGTCTGCAAAACTGGTCCAATGGGCTCCAAATTTTCACTGGCCGCTCGTTACGCGTCAATCCATTACCGCTGAGATTCCGAGCCCGATCGGCGGCCGTGGTGAAGCGACCGGTGGAGATGTTTGTGTCGCAGAAGTGGCAGAATCTGCGCCGACAATACGGAACACGGCGTCTGCTGATAATCAGCAGGCGTCCATCTTCCTGCAGCAGAAGCTCAAGGTCGGTACACCCGAGCAGAAGCATGATGATGTTCGCGGCCGCATCGAACAGGTACGTGGGCTTTTTCCAGCCRCTGTTCCATCCAGAGTCATCTCGGGCAGCGCTGCTTCGAGCACGGCTCTCCCGTGCAGATCATCATCATCGCCTAGGCTATTCGAGGCAGCTCTCTTGCTCCGCGTCCGCGATCAGCCTATTCCTACAAGGACATCAGAGAGATCGGAACAATGCTTCGAGACCTTGGGGACCTGCTGCGGTTATGAGTACAAAGTGATGGGTTGGGACACCTGGCTGGCGGGACAGAGGGCGCCGGGAGAAGCGTTGGGGTGTCGGCTTCCGACAGGGTTTAAGATTTTGATGTGCTGTGTGGAAACAGCATCCATTTGCATGGTATTTGAAGGAAGGACTAGTGATTGCAAGGCTGCGACTGGGCTTTGGGCTGCCTGGCGCAAGTGGGTGGGAACTTGGGTCAACGTCGTACGCGCGAGATCATCAAAGAGGAAGATCCTGGTTGCAAAGCTCGTTCAACAGCTAGGAATTCAAACATATCAAACCGCTTCAAGATACCTCTCCACATCCCCAAGATCCGCTAGGATGGTGAGTATGTGTGTCTCACTGCAAAGCTAAGAATCTCAGCAGACACTCTCTTGCCCATGGTAAGTTCGGACCGAACGTCGTCGCTTTCACAAACTTTGGACAAGTCGATCTTTCATATCTTCGTACACTGATCAGATCCAAAGTTCACAATCGCTTCCGCCCGTGTGCAAGAGTGTCAGAACTGACAAGGAGCTCTGAAAGAGAATTGACATCAACACTCTACCGCAAGTTTCGTCAACTATGATCTCTGCGAGACATAGCATGCGAGCCGCCTTGCCATGGTATCTTCAAGATGCATCTAAGGACAGACGGATTTACACAAGACATCAAGGAGCTTACAGATCTACTTCAAGTCGGAGGTAGTTGCATAAGGATATCGGAATCCGGACAAGTTGACCTCGCCTGTCTAGAGAGGTGTAGGGCTCTCACCTAGGTATTCTTCATCTGCTCAAGCTGACTATTTAGAGGTCTGCGTTTGATCATTCGTACAAGAGGCCAGGATGCTCCTCAGGTGACTTTTACCTGTTGAGGCTGAGCTTCCAAAGTTTCGCATGGCAGCTTCGCCGGAAGAGATTCCGGAATGCYTTTGATCGCCGGCTAGCACGCCGTCAGATGCTGGAATATCATTTGCGGCCAGGATCTTCCACCCGAAGACCATCAAGCATGGCGATGCCTCCTGCCTGGTTGAAGGACGTCGTTTGGCCTATTTGCTGAAAGACATCAGGAACGTGACGAGCATTTGCCATCTTCCATAAACCTTCCCGTCTTTCTCCCCAATACCTTGCCTCCTTCATGCTCAGCAGAATCCGAAGTAGCCGCGTTGTCTGGTGCCACTAACTCTGCTCTCCCGTAGCCTCATTTCCTCGTTTGCTTCGAAAACGGGAACCTGCATAATCACCATCCCACAAGCCGGGAACTCTGCTCACCGACAACTGCCCGCAAAGCCGGTGGACTCTTGTACTCCGCTGGATTTCAAAACTTCAAACAACCATCTATACACAGGCCTTGTGGCTCAATCGGCAGAGTATCGGTTTCCGACGCCGGTGATTGTGGGTTCGAGTCCTACCAAGGTCGGCGTTCTGTTTTGCTTCAGGGTTTGAGCTTTTGAGAAGGGAGATGAGGTGGTTGCGTGAGGTTGAAGGAGCTGGGGTTGAGACTTTTGTGTTTTACTTCGGCTTGTTGCTCGACAGAGGTTGGTCCATGTGCGGAGGCAATGGGGATCTGATGGGCTTCATTCTCCTTGCAATCTTCCGTGAGCTGACCGCTGATATGGTAATGCAGGTTCTCCGACCGCCAGACTTTGATGCTGAGTTCATCTGCCGCAAGCTTGGCACTCTCGCTTAAGGCGTGGCGAGGAATGAAAGTCTTTTTCTTTCAGGACGATTGTCTCGGTGGCTTTTGATATTCTTGGGCCTCTGGAGATCCCTTGGATACAAGGTCCGCTTTTCGTCTTCCAAGAAACCTCAGGAAAGACACCCTGGATAAAAGACGATGATCCATGCATACTCCCAGCACCACCCAGAGCCAGAGTGTGTTGAGAAAGAAGCGTCGACAGGGCCAAGTGTCGTTCTTACATCTCTGGCGCTACTAGATGTCTTTCCGTCTCCTACGATAATTTCACATCCTAACCGCTTCTCTTCCCAACACGGCCTACCATCCAGAAGACGCCTTGCCACAAACAGGAGAAGAGCTCGTCGCTGCGATGCTTGCACTTGCGATTGGCCGCGAGAAGGAACCAGTCGCCACGACGAAGAAGACGGCGCACCAAGCACTGGCTACGTACCAACTCGCTGCAAGTAAACAGCACCTACGAGCTGAGACTACCGCAATCCTCGACACAGCACAATGCTCTGAAAACCCAATCAACATGTCTCTCTTTCCTTCGACCATCTCCTCACCATCATGCAAGGACAGACTTCCCAACCAAGAGATGAAGTCGTCAAACAAACTTTCCACAAATTCCAAAAACCTGCCAATTTTGGGAATTCTTGGCTTCGGATTGAAACTCTGTTCAGTCCGATGGGAGACCTCACGTCTGGGCAGCTTCGTGCAGATTTACATATTTACTGGACTACACGCACGAATTCATGTCCTCGTGATGACTGGATTGTAGCAGAGGGTAGAGGCTGAGGCTGAGTATCGTCCGTGGATGTCAACCCTTTTTGTGATGGATGTTGATTTGCTTGACTTCTTTATAACGACCAAGATGTCTCTGTTCCATGTTGGCTGGAAGTTCGCTCTTTCTTGAAACATATCATACCTGCATACAGCCTCGGATCGCTACTTTTCATCTCTGTTCACACGTTCTCGCTGCATCCTGGCCAACTTGCTTGGCGTCTGCAAGCCGGTAAGTTGACTTTGCAATGGTCAAAGTTCCAGAGAATGTAGACTCAACTGTAATAAGACGTCAGAGTATCTCCAACGATCTACTGAAGACTATCCTGCTTGACAGCATAGATTCATCACTACGACTTGAGATAGAGGACGCTGACTATGGTCGGAGAACTCCATAACGGCGTCATGGAAAGGAACATCGGGTACTTCACCTTCGGACTTGGTCAAACAGCAAGCGCTGCACTTTCCCGAAGGACTGCTTGGTAGTGGACGTGGCAGACGTTTCTTCCATTCGCATTTGGAGATCAAAAGTTCATTTCGCTGGCGTGCTGTGTCCGCTGTGCGATCGAGTGGCGAATGATCCCAGTGAGTGCAAGGTGAACAGCGGGCTGTCCTCACTGCTCCGATGTACCTTTCCCTTGCAAACCCGCATCAGCAGATCTACTTAAACTCTGGATGCTTTGTTCATCCACCAACTTGGCCAAGGACCAAACATGTTCCAGTCCGGCTTGTATGCATCAGGCTTGAAAGGCCTCTTCCTGCTGAGTGAGTGAAGGATGTCCGATGGATTGACATCCAGACCGAAATGAACCGCTATTCTTGCCATTGCCCGCGAGGTCTACCGCCAGAGAATCTTCACTCTGTTCCTCCTCAAAGTCCGCTCTCTTTGCTAGATTCACGGAGATTCCTTGTGTTCGCTTCATTGCTGAAAGACCTTCAGCGTTTGCAGAACGATTATCATCTTGCTCCGGAAATCCAATCTTGACTCTCGTCGAGGTAGCATAGATCTAAAATACAAGATCTAAAATACAAGATCGCAAAGAGCAGGATCCTCCACCACCCCGACGGAATCGCTAACTTCGACAAGTACTGAGGGCGTCTTCATATCCTCGGAAAAGGCCGCCCACCGATGTCCTTCTCATCCGATTGGCACTATCATGCAGCTGATTGGGCAAGACTCAATGTGACTGTTGGGAAGACTCTTTCCCCAGGAAGCTTCTTCTCTTGTTGACTGACTTGTGACTTTCACGACCAGATCTCCTGTGCGACTCCAGTACAGCGGAGGAACGTGGCAGGAAGTCTCGGATGTAGCATTCTCACTGCCCGGTACGGTGCATTTAGATGTCGGTTCTTGGCTAGGGAATCGGGTTCTCTAATTGGTACGTTCCAATGATGGAGGACATTTCAGCCGAGGCGGCGAAACCTGGTCTCGCCTTCGTGATAAGTTTACATCTGCAGAATGATCGGAGAGATGTACTTGCAATAATAGCTGTTCTGAAGTTCACTTTCTCGGTGCGGCATTAATGATACCATCTCTTTGGCTTCCCTCCCAGATTCAAGCACCGAGCTTCTCTCCTTCCTTAGCAGCAAGATGCTGAAGTTCAGACCCCAATCACATCCTGGGGTAATATGCAGTAGCTCCCTCCCAGAGCGCACCTGCTGTTTCTGAACATGAAGCGGGAAAAGAGAGAAAATTTCACCAAGTTGTGACATGTTCGCACAAGCACAGACTCCGAGAACGGCATCCGTGTGTATTGAGAATACCTAGAAGAGATGTCCACGTTGCGTCAGCAGCATGGAACCCGGCGTCTTGTAACTGCACTGCGTTCGGAAGGCGGTCGGCAATGTCTCTTCCGCTTCTGCGCGGCCATGGAGAAATCTCCACATCTGTATTTGATGTATGGCTGGGACCAACATCCGTGTAGAGAAGGATCCGGTATCTGCTCGCGATACTCTTCCACCAAAGTTCCACTTTTCGCTGGTGTGTTAGCTCAGGTCGCCTTCTCTGCGTTCGAACTTTCTTTGATACTCTTCGTATGATGGAAGGTATTATGGCATTTCGCTTTTGCAGCTGGCAAGCATCGGATGCCTGTGTTGTGAAATAGCAGGTGGTGAAGAGCGTAGCCTGGATTCCAACTTCAGCATGCCAAATCTCGGGCAGGTCGGAATCCTGGACAAAAAGTTTTCGGAGGTAAAATGACGGCACGTGCAGAATGTGTTGATGACACACAAGTGACGTCGTTCGCTGACAGGCAATGAAAACTCTGCATGTGCGCWACAGAGAGCGATTTTCCCACGGGCGGCGATGGCGGGGAGGTTGACAGACTTGAGAGATGTGATCGCAGTGGAGTTGAAGAGAAAACGTTTGGTGTGAGTGTATCATTGCAGTATCAACGAGCGTGTGTATGTAAAAGTAAAGAAAAGAAAAGCAAAGCAAACAARCAGAAAACTCCATCTATCCCTCGCTGTGGGTATCATCGCCAATCTCGCTGAAAAGTCGCTCGTCAATTCTATCATGTCAAATCGCGCCGTCAATCAATCTCATTGCAGCCCAAGTCACCACTCCTGCTCGTCGTATCGTATCTCATCCTTGCCATCATCATGTACGCCGTTCCTTTCTACCCAACTAGAAGCATCTACTCAGATCCCTCAGCCCAGCGTTTGAAGCACGGGGTGCAACGCACACCATCATTCTTCAGCGTGACGGGCTTCTCCTTATGGCACGTCTTGCACCACAGACGCGCACCGCGCTTGAAGTTCTTGATCAGCAGACCCTCCTGCACAAAGTCCTGATCCTGGACGACGGGGTGAGCGGCCATGTAGGTGACCTGGCTGCCGAGAGCTTGACCCAGAGCGGCGGGGCCGGAGGGGTAGAAGTGGCGGTCCTGGCAGTTGAAGCCATGAGGGCAGTGCGTGCCGTTGGAGGATAGGAAGATTTGGCAGAGAGGACGGTCGGGGCCTGCGGCTGTGAGGGGTGGTTGAGGCTGGATCAGGAGTGGAGTCTGCTGGGAGGCAGCGGCGTTCTGGGGAGGAGCTGGAGGGGCTGTGCCCGTGGTGTTGTTGACGAAACCGGTGATTGCTGTGTCGAGGTCCTGATCATCGGCGTCGATGGCGGTGAGTGGTGCTGGTGCCTGCTGGGCTGGAGCGAATGAGGTCGGGTAGGAAGCCGACTGCTGCTGGTGATGGGCAGTGTGCTGAACTGGAGCCGATGAGGTCGGGTAAACAGCCGACTGCTGCTGGTGATGAGCAGTGTACTGAGTTGGCGCCTGCTGAATTGGAGCCGATGCGGTCGGGTAGGCAGCGGACTGCTGCTGCTGATAAGAACTGTATTGGGTTGGAGCCGTCATGTAGGGGTTGTTGTGAACTGGCGGGAGAGGGTAAGTGAAGTCGTCGGCAGGGACATCCTGCTCATCATCTTCGAACGACTCCTGGTTCTCCTCGTTGCTGTTCATCAGAGCGAGGCCCTGCTCGTAGGGATTGGTGGAGTTGATATCCGGGAGCAAGTTCATGTCGCCTTGAGGCCACTGGAATGGCTGATCTGAAGCCATAGTCGCGGGAGTGCCGTCCATGTTGAAGTGCTGGCCGTCAAAGGCGGTGTGGTTCGCACTGTAGCCGAGCGGACCACCAAGGCTCATGTCGAGCATGGTCTGGAAGTCGAGATCTTCCTGAGAGAAGGCATTGGGGATGTCAGTGGGGATGTCATTGGCGGAGGCCGATGACATTTGAGGGAATGAGGATCGAGGKATACTTGGCACCTGAGTAGGAGCAGGCGGCTCCTCATCATCATCGCCGAAGAGAGAAGACATCTCGTCCTCGCTGTCGTCGATGATAGCAATTGGGGTGAGGGGAGGGGAGGGATCGGTGGTGGCCTCCTCAGAACCGGTGGCGATGGTGGGCTCTGTAACTGCTGGCTGCTCGGCGACGGTGTCGGCCTCCTCCTGGACTTCCTCAGCGGGCTCAACATCGTCCTCAAAGCCGGGAAGCTGAGAGTCGTCGTCACCGAAGGAGAAGTCGGGAGACTCGGGTGTGGCCTCGCGAATGTAGGTAGCGGCAGATACGTGCATGTTGTCGTTCTTCTGCTGGGCAGCGACGGCACGCTCATCGAGCTCGCGCTTGGCGTTGGCGACCTCCCACTTGTGACGAGCCTCTTCCTGGTCGGCGAAGACAGCGTTGGTGTCTTGAAGCTTGTTGATGAAGTTCTCGGTGAAGGGGCTGTAGAGGGGAGCGTCGCCGACGACGCTGTCAGCACGCTTGCGCTTCATCTTCTCTTGCGGTGGCTCGAAGCCGGCAGTGTTGTTCATGATCTGGTTCTTCATCTCAGGCGACGAGCCAAGGAAGAAGTTGAGCGAGTCGGCAGACTGGTTCTTGAACATCTGCTTGGCGTAAGAGAGCGCAGCAGCGTCGGCGATCATCTTGGTCTGCACCTCAGCGGACGAGCCCAGGAACTCAGCAATCTGCTTGGGAGTKCTGGTGAGGAAGAGCTCGCGYGCATGCTCGACGTGAGCGGCGAGATCTGGAATGTCTGACAGATCCTCGGAGACGGTGTCTGGCTGCACCGCACCGGAGAGCATAGAGTCCAGCTTGGCCTGAGCAGCAATGGTGTAGACATCGAGCTCCTTGACGGCGACCTCCTGTGGGTGCGACGGGATGTTTGCTGGCTGTCCAGAGCTGTACGACGCCTGATGGAACGACGACAGCGACTGCTGCGTCATTGGAGCATTGAACTGCTGCGCTTGCTGGTGTRGAKCKMRGKKGKCGMMGT